TGCCCTTGGAGTGAGCTGTCACAATGGTCGAGAGTCCTAGTGTTAAAATTCTAAAATGACATAAGAACATAAGAACATAAGAAAGGAGGAACACTGCAGCAGGCCTGTTGACCCATACTAGGCAGGTCCTTTACAATTCATCCCACTAACAAACATTTGACCCACCCAATTTTCAATGCTACCCAAGAAATAAGCTCTGATGTGCAAGTCCCACTCAAATCCAACCCCTCCCACTCATGTACTTATCCAACCTAAATTTGAAACTACCCAAAGTCCTAGCCTCAATAACCCAACTAGGTAGACTGTTCCACTCATCAACTACCCTATTTCCAAACCAATACTTGCCTATGTCCTTTCTAAATCTAAACTTATCTAATTTAAATCCATTACTGCGGGTTCTCTCTTGGAGAGATATCCTCAAGACCTTGTTAATATCCCCTTTATTAACACCTATCTTCCATTTATACACTTCGATCAGGTCTCCCCTCATTCTTCGTCTAACAAGTGAATGTAACTTAAGAGTCTTCAATCTTTCTTCATAAGGAAGATTTCTAATGCTATGTATTAATTTAGTCATCCTACGCTGAATGTTTTCTAACGAATTTATGTCCATTCTGTAATATGGAGACCAGAATTGAGCTGCATAATCTAGGTGAGGCCTTACTAATGATGTATAAAGCTGCAGTATGACCTCTGGACTTCTGTTGCTTACACTTCTTGATATAAATCCCAGTAATCTATTTGCCTTATTACGTACGCTTAGGCATTGCTGTCTTGGTTTAAGGTTGCTGCTTACCATAACCCCCAAGTCCTTTTCGCAATCTGTATGGTTAAGTTCTACATTATTTAACTTATAAGTGCTAGGGTTATGGACACTCCCGAGCTTCAGAACCTTGCATTTATCTACATTGAACTGCATCTGCCACTTTTCTGACCAAGAGTAGAGTTTGTCTAAATCCTCCTGAAGTTCCCTAACATCTACGTTTGAATCAATTATCCTACCTATCTTCGTGTCATCGGCGAATTTGCTCATATCACTAGTAATTCCTTCATCAAGATCATTGATATATATTATAAACAACAACGGGCCCAAGACTGATCCCTGTGGAACGCCACTTGTTACTGATCCCCACTCGGATTTAACCCCATTTATGGACACTCTTTGCTTCCTGTCTGTGAGCCATGATTCGATCCACGAGAGCACCCTTCCCCCAATGCCATGAGCTGCTACTTTCTTCAACAGTCTTTGGTGCGGAACTCTGTCAAATGCCTTACTAAAATCTAAGTAAATAATATCAAATTCTTTGTCGTGGTCAACAGCCTCAAAAGCTTTACTGAAGAAAGTTAATAAATTAGTTAGACAAGACCGGCCTCTTGTGAATCCATGCTGAGTATCATTAATCAAGCTATGCTTATCGAGATGGCTTCTTATAATCTCAGCTATAATTGACTCTAGTAATTTGCCTACAATTGAGGTCAGGCTTATTGGGCGGTAATTTGACGGTAACGACTTGTCCCCTGTTTTAAAAATAGGAATTACATTAGCCATCTTCCACATATCAGACACTGCACCTGTTTGAAGAGATAAATTAAAAATATTAGTTAATGGTTCACAGACTTCCATTTTGCATTCCTTTAGAACCCTTGAAAAAACCTCATCAGGACCCGGTGACTTATTTTGCTTCAGTCTGTCTATCTGCTTCACAACCATTTCACTAGTGACTGTGATGTTACATAATTTATCTTCTTCTGATCCACTATAAAAATTAATTACCGGAATATTATTAGTTTCTTCCTGTGTAAAAACCGAGAGAAAATAATTATTTAAAATCGAGCACATTTCATTCTCTTTGTCAGTAAGATGCCCATAGTTATTTTTAAGGGGACCTATCTTATCTCTGACTTTTGTTCTATATACCTGGAAAAAACTTTTTGGGTTAGTTTTAGAATCCCTAGCAACTTTAATTTCATAGTCCTTTAGCTTTTCTTATCCCCTTTTTAATGTCCCTCTTAGTGTCAATATACTGATTCATAAGATGACCCTCGCCTCTTTTGATACGCCTATTAAATTCCTTTCTTATGCCCTAGTAGATATTTCAGCCTATTATTCATCCATTTTGGGTCATTTCTATTTGATCTAATTTCTTTATAAGGGATAAATGTTCTTTGAGCAGCATGTATTGTGTTCAGAAAACTGTCATATTGATAGCTCTCTTCGTTATCCCAGTCAACAGATGATAAGTGTTCTCTAAGCCCATCGTAATCTGCTAAGCGAAAATCTGGGACTGTTACTGAGTTATCCCTACTATCATACTTCCATTCAATTCTAAATGTAATTGATTTTGGTCGCTAGCACCCAGTTCTTCTGAAACTTCTAAATTATTAACAAGGGATTCATTGTTTGCCAGAACTAAGTCAAGCAGGTTATTACCCCTTGTAGGTTCTGTCACAAACTGCTTCAGAAAACAATCCTGAACTACTTCTAAGAAGTCGTATGATTCTAAATTCCCAGTCAAGAAATTCCAATCAATATGACTAAAGTTAAAGTCTCCTAGAATTACTACATTATCGTGCCTTGTGGCCCTAACAATTTCCTCCCATAGTAGTCTTCCCTGGTCCCTATCTAAATTTGGGGGACGGTATATCACACCTAAAGTTAATTTTTCAGCCCCTCTGAGAATTCTATCCAAACAGACTCTGTATGTGTTACTTCAGACTTAATACCCGTTTTAATGCAACAGTTCAAGCGATCTCGGACATACAATGCCACCCACCCCCTTCCCGATACTTCTATCTACTTGGAACAATTTGAAACCCTGAATGTGACATTCTGCAGGCATGTCCCGACTTTTTGAATTAAACCACGTCTCAGTAATGGCAAATACATCTATGTTACCTGCATAGCAACTAGTCTCAACTCGTCCATCTTATTCCTAGCACTGCGACTATTTGTGTAATATATACTTAAGGACCCCCCTTCTCTTTATCATTCCTGCTCCTTTCTGTTTTTTACTAAACCTATTACTGTCCTTGTCAATTAGTGCCACTGGCTTTCCGATATCCACCTCATTTTGCCTATTACTGTTCTCCTGTACTCATATTACTACCCTGAGACTTCACAGTTTTCCCGCAGAAACCCATACCAAAAATTTTCCTGTTTAAAGACAACAGCTCCCTCCACTGCGTTGGCCAGTGCTCCCACCCCACACCTAGATAAGTGAACCCCATCCCTGGCATACATGTCATTTCTGCCATAAAAGAGGCCCCAGTTGTCAATGAAGTCACCGCATTTTCCTTACAGTATTTGCCCAGCCAGCAATTGACACCAATTGCTCTGGAAAACCCATTCATTACCAACACCTCTTCTTGGCAAAATGCCACATATAACAGGGCGCCCCCCCTTCTTCCTAATCATGTCTATAGCTGTCCTGAACTTTCTAACTAAATCCTCATTTTCTACGCTTGCCTACATCATTGCCTTCCAGCATGAGGCAAATAATAGGATTGACCCCTTTTCCCGTTCATGATTTTGTCAAGCGGCTAACAATGTCCTCCATCCCAGCCCAGGAAAGCATACCCCTTTTTCTCCTACTTCCTGTCCTTCAAGCAGAATGCCCTATCCATGTATCTAACTGGCTATCCCCAACAACAACAATATTCTTACTTCCTTGTCGTTCGTCGTGACCCATCCCAGTAGTAGACTCACATTCGTCGGGAAGCACCGAGAATGCGTTGGAGGTTTCCACGGGAGTTTCCACAGCAGTCTCTTTCTTCTTCATCGTTTCTGGCTTTCCATTCGCTTCTTGATCGTCAACTTCGTCGTCCCCTGCTGTCAGCCACTGACCACGATCCCTTCTTGAAACCCCGAGGACTCGAAACAGGAGGACTACTACGAATCCTCTTGTTTCCTCGGTCAATCGCCGTATCTCCATCTTCGTGCCTTCAATTCTTCCCTTTAAATTGCTGGTAAAGTTGCTCGATGGAGGGCATCTTGGTTCAGTCCACGGGAGCAAACAAGACACTTCTTCACAGAGTTAAGTACAGGTCAGCACTCAAAGTAAAAGGTCACCACTCAAGAGGGACACAAACAGGTCTTCACAGAGCTAAGTACACGTCACCACTGTGCTAAGTACACGGGCACACTGAGCTAAAGTACACGTCACCACTAAGCTAAGTACACGTCACCACTGAGCTAAGTACACGTCACCACTGAGCTAAGTACACGTCACCACTGAGCTAAGTACACGTCACCACTGAGCTAAGTACACGTCACCACTGAGCTAAGTACACGTCACCACTGACTAAGTACACGTCACCACTGAGCTAAGTACACGTCACCACTGAGCTAAGTACACGTCACCACTGAGCTAAGTACACGTCACCACTGAGCTAAGTACACGTCACCACTGACTAAGTACACGTCACCACTGACTAAGTACACGTCACCACTGGCTAAGTACACGTCACCACTGCTAAGTACACGTCACCACTGACGTGTACTTAGGAGAGTTGCATTATCTTCGTAATCCCTCCTGTTATGAGTGTACACTGATTCTCTTTTTGTTCACAAGATGCTTTGACGGGTTTTATTGTCGGTTTGTACAAATAGATGAAAGCACACACACACACACACACACACACACACACACACACACACACACACACACACACACACACACACACACACACACACACACACACACAGTGTTTGATCAGCTGATGTGTGAAGTTCTCGACTGTGGTGAGTGTTGATGCTTGTTGATGAGAAGCGTCGCTTCAAAAGAGGCCGGATAGACACCAAAGTCTGATTTTTGAGTAAATTGTTGGGTGTGAAGTGACCGGTTGGCGCCAGGAATAGATGCCACAGATTAACATAATACAGATAGAAGGTGACACTTTGGAGATAGAATATAACACTGTGGGACGAGTTGTGTTTGTAAGAAGAAGCGAGAGTTGTAGGTGGGTAATTATGGGGTGGGTGGGTGTGGGCGTGAACCCACCTGGAGACAGGCGTGGTGGGCAGGCAGTGAGGTGAAGATCGACCACTAAGGACACCAGCAGAGAGCACACTGGCTGCCTGCACCCAACCTTCTGGCCTGGCTCCCTTCCTAACCTCCCTGCTACGCCGGCACCCTCCTTCATGCTGCTGTACGCACGCACACAGCTACTACAGTGAAGTGGGTCGTATGCCGTTAAAATGAGGGATCAGGAGCTGATTTTGACACATGAAACTACCGTTTCAGTAGTAGATATGACAAAACCTGTGGAAGAAGGGAGAGACTGGAGGGTGTTCCGGGGGTCAACGCCTCCGCGGCCCAGTCCTTGACCAGGCCTCATGGTTGATCAGGGCCTGATCAACTAGGCTGTTACTGCTAGCCGCACGTAATCCAACGTACGAACCACAGTCCGACTGATTGGTAGGTATGATAGGGGGATGAGAGGCCAGGAATCAGTAATACCTTTTTATTGAAGGCAAGACCAGGAGCAGAGAATCGACCCCTGGAAACACAACTAGGTATGTACAGCTGCGCCTACACACACCCAGACATCCCTCAGACGCTGTTAGTCATACAAGCCAGCGAGGATGGAAGTGCAAGGACGGTAGCGGTGCTTTGTCTTGGCGGTGCTCGTGTCCTGGCGGTGCTAGCATCTCGACGGTGCAGGCCAGAGTACACCACCGATATTGCAGCAATATCTCTTCAGTAGCAGTAACCGCTACAGCATTATGACATAAACAATAGTTTAAGAGGGTAAAGAGTAACATATCAACCTTAATACATGCTTCGTTCAGGGTATTCTGGTCTCTCCAACACGGAGACTACCACCGGCTTTCTCATTAAACATTCTCTCCGCAAAACTTTATTACACCACATGATATATACACCGAGAAATGTGGGTCTCAGTGTATGTACACAGGAGTGTATATCACTGAATAAACACGACTACTTTAATCTATATTATAGATTAAAGTAATCTTAACTGTTGTTGTATAGGTGAAAATCAACCTTACTGACTCACGTGCACTCCATAGGCTTTTAAACAAACTGATAGGGAGAGAGAGAGAGAGAGAGAGAGAATGAATACGGGTGAGTTTGTTTTTAAAGCTACTCTCCTCAAAACTTCACTGGTTTGTCTCGCTGCTCCAGGTTAGCGAGAATCTGTATGACTCATACGGATTTAGTACCTTTTAATAATAATAATAATAACAAACTTAGTATATTATCTTTTCATTTTCCCCCTCTGTCTCATTCTTCCTTCGTTCATTCCTCGCTTGCTTTACTTTACCAAGTGTATTACTGAGGTAAAAAAAACCTTCAGAACTGGGGCATTGATCCTTTCCATTAATCATTCCACGTGTCCCTAAACTTGTCAGCCTCACGTCAACCCCGGGAGCAAGGCGGGAGGGGGAAGAAGAGGGTGGAAGGGAAGGAGGAATGAGGGTGTTGAGCTGAAGGTAGAGATGGAGGGAAAGTCAGTGTGAAGGAGGGAAGTAGGAGAGGGAAACGAGTATGATGAATTGAGAGAAGGGGAGTGTGAAGGTTAAGGGGAGAGGGGAATGTGTGTGAAGGTTAGAGGAAATGAGACTGGAGGAGCGAAGGTGAAGGTAAGAATAGAGAGGGGATTGAGAGAGAGAGAGGGGGGGACTTAAAAGGGAGTGGGTTGAGTGAGGACTGAGGGAGGGGGGGGGGCGACCGTCGTGTCTTGGGTTCACAGCCCCAGGAACATCATAACTCTACCATTGTGTACTGTCATTTTACTTTTTTTTTGTATCTCTTTGTTGTTACAGGAACAGCGCCGCAGCGCACTTGTCACCTACACGGATTTACTTTACCGTTTCTTTTTTTAAATAATAATATGCGTTAGAACAGATACCAGTTGGAAGACAAACTGAGAATAGTTTTATAATAAAACGTGGTATACAGAGACCGTAGAGTAGAACAGGAGTTACTGTCCGGTGGTGCTCTCGAACTGTTCGTACTGGCACCACGCAGGAACCACAGCCTGGCTAATGAGGAACAATTTTGATAAAAAGTTGTAACGTTCCCAGTTAAAGAGAGATAGAAGTCTGCTGGTAATTACCTGTATATTTGTACCCTTTATACTTATTGAGATGTAGTGCATTTATTGCACCCCGGCTTTTTATTTGAGGTGAGGGGATTTTCATGGCTATCATACCTCCACCTAGTAATAAGTTTTCTTGTTCTGTGCAGGTTTAGAACCAGTCCCCACATAATTCCAGGTGTAAATTATGATGTATCTTTCTCGCCCGCACTCCAGGAATAAGATTGTGGTGGTGGTGTGTGTGTGGGGAGGGTTGTATGTGTGTGTAAGGTAGGGGTGTTTGTATGTGGGGGGGGGGGCATATATGGAGGATGTAAAGTGTGGAAGAAAAGAGGAAGCATTATGCACCAGTAGTATTCTTTTTTATTCGCTGCTTCCCTCTTCCACTTTCCACCTCCCTCTCTACAAACCTTCTACCACCCCTCTACTCACCGTCTTTTGCCCCTCTTCCACATCATTCCTCATTCTTCCTAGCACTTTCTTTTTTTTTCTAAGAGAAAGATGTCAGTCAGGTTATCACTGGGTGAAGGTTGTTTATGTTACAGCTAATGGGAAATGTCATTATATTTGTAATTAATTAATTAAGACCAGACTACGACCCCCAGATGCATTTATGTAATTTTAAGTATCATTAAAGAGCGTATCGTTGGGAAGCAACTCCTGGTGTTATACAGGACAAGCTGCTAACAAGTAGGTTTTGTAATACCTTCATATAAACCCGTGATTATTATGATGGATCCGTATTGGTGGTGTAGTGATGATGACAGCGGCAGTGGTGTGACAGTGGCGGTGGTAGTGGCAAAGGTGGTAAGATGTGGTGAGAGGTGGTGATACATGACAATACCGCAGCCTTCCGTGACTCCCACACACTCTCTCACATGCTCATATAATTAACAACTCACTCTCCAGTCACTGCTTCGCATAATTCTTTTCGCTTTTATAGCAAAAAAAGTTGACATGGGTACATTTAGAGGTTGTACACATGCTTCTTAAGTTCGACCGTGGATTAGACATGTGAAAACACCATAATGCCTTCAGTGGGACTGGAACCAGTCGTGAGGAATTACGCAGCTAAGACTGTCGTTTCTGCCATCCCAGTCACGCCAGATTGTAAACAAGAGGACGCCCTCGGGGACAAGGCTATTTTGGTCCTGATTCCTTGATCGATCTTTCTCCGGATGGATTCTCTTTCTTCCTCTCCTCCCTACCCTCCCTCATCATCCCCTTAGCTCCCTCGTCTCTCCTCCCCCTCTCCTTTCCCTTTCCTCTCGCCTTTCCCTTTCCTTCCTCACCTTTTCTCAGCATTTCCCCTCCTAAGCCTTTCTTCACCTCTCTCCTCCCCTTCTTTCCTTAGTTCCCCAGCCCCCTCTAACTCTTTCTTTCCCCCTTTTTGGAGGTGGTTGGGTTTGCTACGTAACTCATTAGTGAGAGCATTCCATTCATAATCACAAGGTTCCGAATTCGATGTCTTGACTCTGAGAAGCTTATTGGCAACTTTCCTTACACCCTTGTTGCCACTGCCCACCTAGCAGTAAAACAAGTACCTGTGTGTTAGCCTGGTGTTGTGGGTCACATCCAGAGAAAGTAACTTAGAAACCTTCAACCCTTCAGGAATGTCATATCCTGCTAAAATAATCATTCTTGTCGTATGTGTAAGAAACTAGTACCTGCTGGAAGTATTCAAGAGTTAAGTACAAGGTATCCGTGTTTCTAAATGTGTTAAAGTTAATAAATCTAACCCCTTTGCATCTGAAACCAGGCCTCAGCCTATCATTTGTTTCAAAGTGAGATGAGTATATACCCAAACAGGCCCGTACGCAGAATGAACTAAATTGTCTGAATATAGCAGATTGGCCGTTCCGTAGTGGGATGTCACTGGTCAGGAGAGAGAAACAGCACCACATACATTGTATTTTGGCGTCCCTCTGTATATTTTTTTTATACAACATGCAGTCTCTCTCTCCTCTTCCTCGCCCCTCCCTCTCTTCCCTCACCCTCCAGGGGCACAGTGCTTACGTTAAACAATATAGTTATAGCCGAAGAGGTGTAAGTAAGAGAGATGGAGCGCAGTGCGGCAAGTGCTCTCCATCACTCGGTCTTGGGGGAGGAGACATTTCTTTACATACATTGAATGACAACGTCTCAACCAATCTCCACATTTACATAACCAGCAACATCGAGAAAGTCCACATTTACAATAATCTGCATCGTGAAGAAAATCAAGATTTCCTAAATCTGCAACGTGAAGGACAATTTATGTAGAAATAATTTTTTTTTTCAACAAACCGGCCTCATCCCACCAAGGCAGGGTGACCCAAAAAAGAAAAACGAAATTTTCTCTTTTTAAATTTAGTAACTTATACAAGAGAAGGGGTTACTAACCCCCTGCCCCCAGCATTTTAGTCGCCTCTTACAACACGCATGGCTTACAGAGGAAGAATTCTGTTCCACTTCCCCATGGAGATAAGAGGAAATAAACAAGAACAAGAACTAGAAAGAAAATAGCAGAAAACCCAGAGGGGTGTGTGTGTGTGTGTGTGTTATATATATATATATATATATATATATATATATATATATATATATATATATATATATATATATATATATATATATATATATATATATATATATATGCTTGTATATGTATATGTAGTGTGACCTAAGTGTAAGCAGAAGTAGCAAGACGTACCTGAAATCTTGCATGTTTATGAGACAGACAAAAGACACCAGCAATCCTATCATGTAAAACAATTACAGGCTTTCGTTTTACACTCACTTGGCAGGACGGTAGTATGTACCTCCCTGGGTGGTTGCTGTTTACCACCCTACTACCTAGTAGAAATAAATATTATTATTATTGCCTTTGATTTCAGCAATTACTGCCTCTGGTTAAGTATTTACTGCCTTTAGTTAATAATAAGTGTCTCCAGGCTCATGAGGCTAATCTCTTGGTTAAATAGTAAGTGTCTCCAGGTCTCCAGATTAAGTAATGGTTGTCTGGTATTGCAGGTCGGGTGCCATTCATCAAGGCTGGGGCATTTGTGGTGGCCGAGCTTGACCCTATCGTCGCCTTTGTCGCTAATAAGGTCAGTATGATGGTGGAAGAAAGGCAAAAGAGAGACAAATAGGTCATTGTGGCTGGGTATTCATGTTATCACTAGCCATAATTCACTTTGTACTGTAGTTGAAGATCAATTAGTGATTAGCTACATATTGGCCAGTGGCTGTAGATATTTCACTGTAAAAGGACCACATGTTGGTAGTATATGGAGCTTTTATATATGGCTGCAATTTATGTGTGCATATTGGAGTATTCATTAGAATACAGTAGTGTTTAGACATCTATTGCATCTCTGATAATAATGCATGCTTATGCAGACTGCATGCTGGTCTACATATCCATCTGTATAAAGGTCACAGATGTGCCAGTATTAGTAATGAGTCTTGGTCAAGAATCAAACTGTGTTTTACTCTTTGGACTTTTACAATTTGGAAGTCATTTGGGTCTTACACAGAACTAAATATGGCTGTTAAGCTTAGTCATATGTTATAGTGTCTTTTGCAGTGAGTTTCTGGACCATGAGAACTTCTCTTGGCATAAACTATGCACTGCATCTGCTTATTGCTGTATTTTCATTAATTATCCATGTAATTGCAAGAGTTTTGAGAAGCTTGTTCTTGGTGCAAGTTTCTTGCAGGAAGATGAATAGCTTAGCTAGCAGACAGAAAACCACACAGTACATCTTATTCTCTAGTGGAACTAATGTGACTTACCAATGCAGAACAAATTGTTAATGTACAATAGTTCAGGTATGGGTTCATAAAATGTTATGTATTTGTCTTGTTAAGAATTATTCATTTAACCTTTATTCAGTGTATACTGTACCTCTTAGTCTTTTTCATGTTCTTTAGTTTATTTAATCTTATTACTCACTTCTGCCCTAGAAATTCATGGTTAGCTTCACTATAAACCTTGGTGTCAGTTATTTTCGCAGGCATAATTTTCATATCATTGTCATCATCAGGGTGTCACATTGACAGACGGACTGGACACCACACAGAAGGCAGACATGCGGGCCTACATGTCACTTGTCAGCAATGTCTTGGCAAATGCTGAGGTAAGTTTCACTTTGTTCAAGCTTATTACTCCTACTTATAGAGTTAACGAGTAAAAGTGATATATGTATGTGTTCACTAAATCATTTTGCTCAACAACAAAATTCTGTTAAGTTTAGTTAACAAGTTAATTTAATCAGCCTTTCATGCATTGAATATGGGCACAGCTTAGCATTATATAGGTAGAGTACCTGCATTTGTAATTAATTGATGACTTTTAAGAAACTCCGTCATGGTAAAGTTCTTAATGATTTTGTGACATTATTACAGTAATTACCCCTAAACTAGAGATAGATCAGATGTCTGCATATCAAGGTTTGGCATCAGAATTTGATGCTATTTGAGTATTAGTTTGAGGAATGGATAAAAGTGTGATTATCTTGTGCAATTATTATTATGCATGGGGAAGAGTTAAACCTACAAAGGTCATCAAGCACCTACGAATGACATCTAATCACATTTGATCTGAGGAAGGGAAGCTCCAATTCCTTGGATAAAAAGCCTTTCACCAACATCAAGGCTGCACTTGAAAGGTTTCATGTTTTAAGAAAGCAGCTTGTGAAGGAAGAGTCTTACATCACTGTATTTCTCATCATTCTGTGACCTTCTCTAATGCATTTTAGATGAAGTGGGCTGTGAACTAACTACAGCATATCTGGGCAAAATAATGTAATAATGCACTTGTAACTACTCACATGAGATGCCACCTGTTTCAAAACATTCAGCCCAGTGAGGAATGTACTGTCATGGTGAAAGTCGCTAAACTGAATCATGTACAGCATTTGCTATGTGGATACATTACAAAATGTCTAACATACCCTCTCTTATTGTAATTGCCAGTTCCCTAAATTTGTTTTACTACAGTGCCAGATATATTTTATTTCAGCTGTACATCTCGTGGCTTGATCAAGTAACCTATGAAGATGTAACAAAGTCACGCTATGGGTCGGTATACCCTTGGCCAATTAACCACATTCTAACCCACCAGAAACGCACCCAGGTCATACGACGACTAAATGTTCTGGGTTGGAAACAAAAATCATTGGAAGAGGTGAATTTGGCAAGATGCCATGCTTTGTGTTTTCAATTTCTTATCCTGATAATAAAGAAACAACTAGTCACTAGCAAGGGTCAAAATGTTTGGAAATACTGTATACTTGTGATTAATATTTATAAAATATTCACTGTATTTGGACCATTTCTGTTTTTAGTAACAAGGAAGTGTTAATTTGTTGAGCATATCTTCTGTATTTCAAGTTAAAATACAGTATATGTTACTGTTCTTATATGTTTATTTTGCCCTAAGGTGTATAATGAAGTGGAACACTGCTGCAGTGCACTTTCTGAGCGTCTGGACAAACAAGACTTCTTCTTCGGTAACAGGTATAACACAACATTCCAAGATAATTTTTTAGGTTTGTATAATAATGTGAAGCTCCAAAGAGAATATTGAATAAAACAATTAAGAATAATAATTTATTTCTTTGGGAGTTAGTGTGTGGAAATGCTTATGTTGCTGCAGATGTAACCCATATACTGGCAGACCCTGCTTATACCTCAGGTTAGGTTCCAGGCTACAGTAGGGCCCCTCTTATACAGCAGGTTAGGTTGCAGGCTACTGTAGGGCCCTGCTTATACATCAGGTTAGGTTCCGGGCTACTGTAGGGCCAAACTTATGCATCAGGTTAGGTTCCTTGCTATTGCTGTAAATACAAAAGTCACTGTAAAGTGAAACATAGCCCTTTTTTTCACTTTCAAGTGCATATAAAAATCTGGTAACATCTTTTCTTTCTTTCAACGTACCAGCCGTATCCCACTTCTGGTAACATATTTACACTAATATATATTAAGTGAGCAATATAGGTTGGCCTAAAAAGTGCATGTACAGTACACACATTACTTACCTTAAAATATTTTTCTCCTTATTTTATAGTAAGTGGTGAATATATTTATTGTAGGAAGTCTTAATAAGTGAAGAATGTGTATAATTGAGAAAACTGCTGTATTAATGAAACTCCATAAAGTGACATGCTGTAAAGTGGAGCCTGCCTGTACAGTATTGTAATGCCCTTTTTCCAGGCTCATATGTTTACTTTAGTTGCTTGGCCATGTATATATATAAATATATTTTTTTAACACACCAACCATCTCCCAACAAGGTGGGGGCAAAACCAAAGGAAGGAACACTTTCACCATCATTCACTCCACTGTCTTGCCAGAGATGTGGCAATACTATAGATCAAAACTGTAGTTATCCTCATCCCTCATTCATAGTGCATCAATGTATGCTTTTGTTTGTGTTTTTTATAGACTTTGGAAGGCTTATATAGCAAAATATTTGTTAAATAAATTCTCTACACTATGGAAATAAGCCACTTCGACCTTTTTTTGGATATCCTGGGTAATTTACATTATGTATGAACATTGTACTTTTGTGTACCTGTGTCTTAACCCTTTCACTGTTGCAAGCCCCTTTCTGAAACTGTCATTGTATGTCAAAAAATTTTTGGAAAAAAAAAAAAAATTTTTTTTTCATGAAATGATAGAATCTTTTCCCGATGGTAATGACACCAAAAGTACGAAATTTGATGGAAAACTCACGGAATTATGCTCCCGCAAAGCTAGTGGTCTCGACGACATATATGCATCGGTGATTTTGCCGACTTTGAGCCCTGTTTTTGGCCAATTCCGTTGTTCCAGTTGACCAAACTCATAGATATTTCTTTAGAACTCCATTTTTTCTATCAATTGGGTACAAGAAACTGCCCATTTACCAATCTGAACTACCCAATAAAGTTGTCAGAAATTGGCAATTTGGCCAACTTCATGCAAATTAAAAAAAGATCCCAATTTCAAAATAGGGTCCAGAATAAACAATGTAGACATTCTTGGCACTAAAATAACATATCCTCTGTTCATTAGTCACATCTCTAGGCCCCTCTTATATTACTATTGCTTTCTATTTTGATTTTTTATTCATACAAAAAATACAAAATTTACTGTTATGCAGACTACTGCATTATTGTAAAAATGGTATAAATAATATCAATGCACTAGTGAAAGAATATTAGACTCCCCAGTTGATGTGTATTGGACGTGTGGTGTGATTTGCTTACTCTTGAACATTGGTAAAAATCGAACATTTCCACTACTTTGAGCTCAGTTTCAAGGTCGTTTTCATCGTGAAACTAATAAAAATCATCTCTATTTCTGCAATATGCTTTTCATTTTATCATGTGAGACTATGAAAAAGAGAGTACAACAATAAATACTATACGAAAATACACCTCAAAGTCGGCGTTTTAATCCAAAAAAAATAGTCAGGTTTGTTTTCTCATTATGCACTGTGTGCTGCAGGATTTTTTTTATGTGGTGCACACTGACCACACAGACCCATTCTCTCATATGTGGGCCTACCAGCTTTCTCCTGCTTGATTTGAAGCTGCTAGAATTATTGAGTATATATATGTCCGAAACACTGGCTTGTAAGACGTATATATACGACCAAAACAGTCAAAGGGTTAATAAACTTAATGACTTATAATATTATATTATATTAATATTATATTAATATTATATTAATATTATAGAATTGATGAGGGAAAAAGAGTGAGTGGTGCACTTAGGAGTCTGTGGAGACAAAGAACTTTGTCCTTGGAGGCAAAGAGGGGAATGTATGAGAGTATAGTTTTACCAACGCTCTTATATGGGTGTGAAGCGTGGGTGATGAATGTTGCAGCGAGGAGAAGGCTGGAGGCAGTGGAGATGTCATGTCTGAGGGCAATGTGTGGTGTGAATATAATGCAGAGAATTCGTAGTTTGGAAGTTAGGAGGAGGTGCGGGATTACCAAAACTGTTGTCCAGAGGGCTGAGGAAGGGTTGTTGAGGTGGTTCGGACATGTAGAGAGAATGGAGCGAAACAGAATGACTTCAAGAGTGTATCAGTCTGTAGTGGAAGGAAGGCGGGGTAGGGGTCGGCCTAGGAAGGGTTGGAGGGAAGGGGTAAAGGAGGTTTTGTGTGCGAGGGGCTTGGACTTCCAGCAGGCATGCGTGAGCGTGTTTGATAGGAGTGAATGGAGACAAATGGTTTTTAATACTTGACGTGCTGTTGGAGTGTGAGCAAAGTAACATTTATGAAGGGATTCAGGGAAACCGGCAGGCCGGACTTGAGTCCTGGAGATGGGAAGTACAGTGCCTGCACTCTGAAGGAGGGGTGTTAATGTTGCAGTTTAAAAACTGTAGTGTAAAGCACCCTTCTGGCAAGACAGTGATGGAGTGAATGATGGTGAAAGTTTTTCTTTTTCGGGCCACCCTGCCTTGGTGGGAATCGGCCGGTGTGATAATAAAAAAATAAAAAAAAAATATTATATTAATTACTGCTATATGACTCCCTGACCATATGTCCATTTAAATTTTTACTGCTGTGAAATGTTTGTAAGATCCAGTAAACACAAAATATCTATTGTGAATACAATCAGTTTCTTATAATATAGATACATCTTATTACTTAATTGGTTTTGATGATGTGGTTTGTATTCTTGAGTCTAAGTTCTGTTTTGGTATAAATATCATTTATGTTAGCATTTATGAAGGGACTCAGGGAAACCAGTTAGCCAGACTTGAATTCTGATGTACTGTGCCTCCACCCTGAAGTAGCGGTGAACCACAATACTTTTTTTTTGGGTGGGGTGGGGGCTCATCGGAATTGTGATGTCAACACACCTTTGGCAAGACAGCAATTGAGTGAATGAAGGTGGATGTGTTTCCTCTTTTTTAGGTCACCTTGGTAGGAGACAGTAGGTGTGCTAAAAAAATTAATTAAAGCATTACTAGTGTTGTCATTGGGTGAAATTTATAAAATGTTACAAACAAAAATTTAGACTTTTGAATATGATAAAAATTATGTTTGGTAATAGGATTAAGAGTTTGCTTATATTGTAAAGAAACAGAATCCTATGATGAATCTTAATACGTATTTTGTTTAGAGTATCAGTGTATGTTTATAATGATAGAAATAGCTGACAAAATTAACTATTGTCTTTACATATTAATAATAATTTATTACATACAGTATGAACATGCAGGAAATCTGCTTTCGAGGGGATGACTAGGAGAGTTTAAGACAAATCATTGGAGTTATGGTTTTAGATATTCCAGACATAGTATTCTGGTGATAGGTAAGATTAAGGAAAGATGCAACACTTACATGCACACAACATGAAAGTATAGGTTAGCATTCGGAGTGAACAATAACTGTGGTCTCTTAAAAAAATTGATGCTATATATGTATATTATCCACTTTGAATGGCATATCCAGTGTAAATATTGTTCATTTTGCCAAAACCTTATCTTTGACAAATTTTACATTCTGAACTTTGAGCACCTTTAATTTTGTAGTTTTTAACTGAAATTTTTATATTTCTGCTTACAGACCAACTGAGCTAGATGCTTTAGTGTTCGGACATCTATTTACACTCCTAACAACTCCACTTCCTGACAATCGACTGGCAACCATTGTACGATCATTCGGCAATTTGGTGAAACTGTGCCAGATAGTTGAGAGGGACTTCTTTGAGAGGAATAATGGAGGAAGCAGCAGTGGCAATGGTGACGGTGACTATGACAAACTGGATGATCTCAACCAACTTCCTGTGTGATCACAAAGATTTATCATCTTGTCATGATGTCAAGAATTACCAACAGCCTTTACTTCAATTTAAGGCTTGCAAAAATCTGAAAACAGTGAAGTGACAAAAAGAAAAAGTTATAAAAGAAACAAAACAATCCACATATAATAGATGATATCTGTTATTAAATAACGATTCTATTTCACACATATTAAAGCTGTGCAAAAACAGGTTCGTATAAATGGAAACAAGTTAGTTTCACAAGAATCATCGAGCAGTTAGGATGTATGGAATTAATGTATATGCCTATATGCAGTTTACAAATGTATATTGATAACAGATGCAGAACTTTTATTGCAAGAAATTGAATAATGAATCTGTGATGTCTAGTGGCATTTAGTGATAAAGTCGTATTTTTGAAAAGCTTGTAAAGTTATTTTGTATTGTTTGTAATTATTGTAATATTTTATGCATTCTTAATCAAAAGCATTTATGGTAAAAACATTTAACTTGATTTTTGCTTAAAAACAAAGAATAAATGTGATCATCCCATTTTTGTTTTACAAGTAGACTAAGTGAAACCTGTGCCTCATGTGTATAGTCAGGTATACATGTTAACCCAGTAGTTGTTGGTTAGTTAGTAGTCATGCATAGTGTCACCAAATTGTAATGCGCTGTATTTGTGTTGTTATTGTATATACAATACAGGAATATATATCCTGCCATAAAATCCAGTGAACATGTCATACCATCTGTAAATAATCTGGACAGGTGCTATCTATCTTTTACAATATATTTCCGATAAACATTAATCTTGTTTTAATTACAAATACTACAGTAGAGCTTTGCTCAGATCAAAATTTTGTCTATGAATAACATTTTCCCAGTTGAATGTTTCAACTCAACAGTTGTTTGCTTTTATATTAGTGTCCCATGTTGATTTAGTGCTGTTCTGTGATTACAGTAATAATTAAATTTGTAACCACAGTATGTAGGGTATTCCCAAATGATTTAACACTTTAAAAGATGAAGTAAATATATATTTCTACGAGAGTTTTCCCAAAATTACTGTATAATTTGAGGCTTGCTCTACTCCAGCATAGGGTCAAATAGGTTTCCCACTTGTCACCACCACCAGAAAGACCTGTGCTGCTGTATTCCAAAATGTTACAGATTACAGCACAAGCACCCCTGTAGATGAATGGTTCAGAGAACCGACATGTTGTTGAATTAGACACATGTGCAACTCTTGGGTATCTTTATTGAGGAAACGTTTCGCCACACAGTGGCTTCATCAGTCCATACAAGTTTCTCGTTTGTATGGACTGATGAAGCCACTGTGTGGCGAAACGTTTCCTCAATAAAGATACCCAAGAGTTGCACATGTGTCTAATTCAACAACAAGCACCCCTCAAGGGAAGGTGTTTGCGCTTTTTATTCAAGAAATTGCATATTACTTCTTCCTTGGATTGAAGCTGATTGCCTCCCATTTTTCCAGGTGCTATATATCTTCTATGGGCTTATTGCTCACCCTATAAATATAATAATAACACCACAAAAATATCCTTCAAGGGGCTGCCTTAATGTAGGTCAAGGGTTCTTGATCAAGGTGAATGGAGCTATCCTTCCTAGAATCACACATGATACCTCTCATATCTTAAGCAATGTATGACATCACTGTGTTAAGTCATACAGCACCTAGGGAACTGGAGGCAATAAGGTTTAATCTATTGAAGGGGAGAACAGGTTCTCATTGAAATAAAGGCACCATAGTGATATTTGCTGAAAATAGCAAGCATAGTGAGGAGGTAATTTACTAATGCTAGTCTCTCCAAGGAGGTTCATTGATGCCAGTGAGGGGCACTTGATCCAAGCAATTAGACCTGATCTCCAATGGATCGAACCTAATTGCCTCCCATTCTTTCCCGGAGCTTAGCACTTCCCCATGAATATGTTTGGTCCAAGTCGGACCGAAACATTATCGCAAGTTCCTCTCTCTCTTACGTGTGGGTTATTTGTGTATTCTTCCCCATGAATGTAATATACTAAAGGGAGCTCATTTTACCTCAGATCCTCTCAAGGAAGGTGCTTTTATGTTGGTGAAGAGCTCCTAATCCAAAGAATTGGACCTATTCTCCCTTCTCCTTGGATCGAACCTAATTCACTCCCATGCCATCAGGTACTGTATGACCTGTACTACTAAGCATTATCCTCATGAATGCTGGAATAATTAAACTTTTTTTATCAAGCAAAACTGGATATTTTAAATTTGCTACTACTGTATTCTAATTGACAGTTACATAGTGGGAATAACAGCTAGCTATATTTCTGTTATGTTGCATCATACAGAATGGATTTCATAATGTTTTGAAGCTGTATAGCCCTTGTGGCTTAGCGCTTCTTTTTGATTATAATAATAATGTTTTGAAATCTGGATGTTTCAGTAGGGTAATGAGGATACTTAACCCTTTGACTGTCGCGGCCTTATATATACGTTTGTGAGGTACCGTGTTTGACGTATATATACTCATAAATTCTAGCGGCTTCAAATCAGGCAGGAGAAAGCTAGTAGGCCCACATGTGAGAGAATGGGTCTGTGTGGTCAGTGTGCACCACATAAAAAAAATCCTGGAGCATGCAGTGCATAATGAGAAAAAAAAAACTCCGACCGTTTTTTTTAATTAAAATGCCGACTTTGTGGTCTATTTTCGTATAGTATTTGTGGTTGTATTCTCGTTTTCATGGTCTCATTTGATAGAATGGAAACTATATTATAGAAATGGAGGTGATTTTGATTAATTTTACTATAAAAAGAACCTGGAAATGGAGCACAAAGTACAGGAAATGTTTGATTTTTGCCGATGTTCAAAAGTAAACAAATGATGTCATTGTCCAATAAATGTCCAAATAGCCATTCTAATACGCAGTCATGAATGGGTTGATGTAATTTTTACAATTATTACAGTATTGCAGTAGTCTGCATAACAGTAAATCTTCTATTTTTTGTTTGAATAAAATTTCAAAATAAAAAGCAAGAGTAATATCACAGGGACCTGGAGACATGACTGATGAACAAAGAAAATCTTATTTTAGAGCCAGGAATGTCTGCATTGTTCATTCTGGACCTTATTTTGAAATTGTCGTATTTTTTAATTTTCGTGAAATTGGCCAAATTGCAAATTTCTGACCATGTTATTGGGTAGTTGAAATCGGTAAATGGGCAGTTTCTTGTGCTCAATCGATAGAAAAAATAGAGTTCTGAAGAAATAGTTATGAGTTTGGTTGACTGGCATAATGGAATTAGCCGAAAATAGGGCTCAAAGTGGGCGAAATTGCCGATTTTTAAATATCGCCTGCAGCGCTGTATAGCCCTTGTGGCTTAGCGCTTCTTTTTGATTATAATAATAATTTAAATATCGCCGAAGTCGCTAACTTCGCGAGAGCGTAATTCCGTCAGTTTTCCATCAAATTTCGTTTTTTTGGTGTCTTTACAATCGGGAAAAGATTCTCTATCATTTCATAAGAAAAAATTTTTTTTTTTTTTCGAATATTTTGCGACACCAGGAGCAACTTCAGGATTGGGCCCTTCGACAGTCAAAGGGTTAATGCCTTCAAGCCCCTCAGGTACTGGCAGCCCTTACACTGTCACAAGAATTAGCAGCCATGGCACTCAGTAAACGTGGCATCCCTGGCAATGTTAGTATAGTTGACAGCCTAGCACTTTCAGAAAGGTTTGCAACCATAGCACAATCAGTAGGATTGGTAGCCATTACACTAGGAGGGTTGGCATCCATGGCACCATCAAGGGGATTGGCAGTCATGTTACAATAAATGTTGGCATCACTGGCACCATCAGAGGGACTGGTAGTCTTGCACCACAAATTGTGATGGCAGCTCATACATTAGCAAAAGAGCTGCCACCCATGGTACTGTCAGGAGGGTTAGTCACCATGGTACTGTCAGGAGGGTTAGTCACCATGGTACTGTCAGGAGGGTTAGTCACCATGGCACTGTCAGGAGGGTTAGTCACCATGGCACTGTCAGGAGGGTTAGTCACCATGGCACTATCAGGAGGGTTAGCCAATATGGCACTGTCAGAGTTGGCAATGGAAGTAAGTCACTCTGACTTTTTGGGGTTTTCCTAGGTTCTCTACACATATGCTGCTATGTATGATAATTCTATGTAACTGTATTTGTGTATACCTGAATAAACTTACTTACTAGCTATGGCACTGTCAAGATTGGCAGCCCTGGCACTTAAGAGTGGCAGTCCTGGCACTCAGGATTGGCAACCCTGGCACTCGAGAGGATTGGCAGCCATGGCATTCAAGAGGATTGGCAACCATGGCACTCAAGAGGATTGGCAGCTCTGGCACTCAAGATTGGTAGCCTTAGCACAATTGGGAAGGTTAACAGCCATGGCACCATCAGGAGAGTTGGCAACCCTGACACAGTTGAGAGGCTTTAAACCCCTCATGGGAGGCACGTTGAAGGACTCGGATTCAAGGAAGAGGACCTGTCCGGCCTCCTTGAGCACAAATGTCTCCCATTCCTTCAGGCATTGTATAACCCGTACAGGTTTAGACCTCCCTTCCATGTAATAATGGCAGTTGTGGCACCATCAGCAGGACTGGTAGCCCTGGCACAGTTTGAAAGGACAGGTAGGCCAGGGACCATCAAGAGGTTGGCAGCCTTGGTACTATTAAAAGAATTTGTATCCTTGGCACCATTAGAAGGGTTGGCAGCCCTGGCACCACTAGGAGGGTTGGCAGCCTTGGCACCACTAGGATAGTTGGCAGCCCTGGCACCACTAGGAGGGTTGGCAGCCCTAGCACCATTAGGAAGGTTGGTAGCCCTGGTACTATTAAGAGGGCAGCCATGGAACCACAAGCAGGGTTGGTAGCCATGGAACTATGAGTAGGATTGGCAGCATGGAACCATAAGTAGGGTTGGCACCCATGGAGCCATGAGTATGGCAGCCCTGGTCTGGCACTATCAGGAGGGTTGGCAGCCTTGGCACCCCCTGGAGTCCTGGCACTCAGGATTGGCAACCCTGGCACTCGAGAGGATTGGCAGCCATGGCATTCAAGAGGATTGGCAACCATGGCACTCAAGAGGATTGGCAGCTCTGGCACTCAAGATTGGTAGCCTTAGCACAATTGGGAAGGTTAACAGCCATGGCACCATCAGGAGAGTTGGCAACCCTGACACAGTTGAGAGGCTTTAAACCCCTCATGGGAGGCACGTTGAAGGACTCGGATTCAAGGAAGAGGACCTGTCCGGCCTCCTTGAGCACAAATGTCTCCCATTCCTTCAGGCATTGTATAACCCGTACAGGTTTAGACCTCCCTTCCATGTAATAATGGCAGTTGTGGCACCATCAGCAGGACTGGTAGCCCTGGCACAGTTTGAAAGGACAGGTAGGCCAGGGACCATCAAGAGGTTGGCAGCCTTGGTACTATTAAAAGAATTTGTATCCTTGGCACCATTAGAAGGGTTGGCAGCCCTGGCACCACTAGGAGGGTTGGCAGCCTTGGCACCACTAGGATAGTTGGCAGCCCTGGCACCACTAGGAGGGTTGGCAGCCCTAGCACTATTAGGAAGGTTGGTAGCCCTGGTACTATTAAGAGGGTTGGCAGCCATGGAACCACAAGCAGGGTTGGTAGCCATGGAACTATGAGTAGGATTGGCAGCATGGAACCATAAGTAGGGTTGGCACCCATGGAGCCATGAGTATGGCAGCCCTGGTCTGGCACTATCAGGAGGGTTGGCAGCCTTGGCACCCCCTGGAAAGGCTGGCAACCTGGCCTCCTCTGAAGGGTTGGTAGCTGTGACACCAAGAGGGTTGGCAGCCCTGGCACAGGAGAGTTGGGTCAAGTTTTATTTAACATTGGCCGTCTGCCACCGAGGTAGGGTGACCCGAAAGAAAAGAAATATTTCCACTATCACGCCATCACCATCTTGCCACAAGTGTGCCGACACTACAGCTCAGATACCCATCCAAATTGCAATATCCCCACCCGTACTTCAGAGTGCAGGCACTGTACTTCCACCTCCAGGACTCAAGGCTGGCTAACCAGTTTGCCCTGAATTCCTTCATAAGTGTTACCTTACACTCCAACAGCATGTCAAGTCATAAAAACCACGACTTCAAGGGTGATGGACTGATTACATCGTCTTCACATCTCTACTGCTCGTGCCTACTGTACACGACTAAAGAAGTCTACTCTGTAGGCGAAACATTTCGGAATAAATTTGCCTAACTGTTGCCTATGTGTCTTACCTACCAACCTGTTGGTATTGTATACCATTTTGATATAAAACGACTTACAAAATTTTGCTCTGCTTCCATAGTGGAAAAATCTAGAAGCTACTAATGAAAAACCAGTACCACTACCAGATGTTTCTTCTGAGGATCCACCAGTATTACCTGGAGTTTACCTGGAGAGAGTTCCGGGGGTCAACGCCCCCGCGGCCCGGTCTGTGACCAGGCCTCCTGGTGGATCAGAGCCTGATCAACCAGGCTGTTACTGCAGAAAATAAAAAGAACATACCAAATCAAGGCAGTAAAGATGATGAATCACCACAACCACATTGTACAGATGCTTGTGTAGACATGGACAGTGATGCGCCATCATGTGATTCAGACCCAGCCATTTGGTTTTCTGTTGGAAAATATGTAATTTTTGGTCAATTGCCACCATATAGATACCGAAAGCGTGACACCAAAGATATAAATCAATACACATCGGTAATTATATAATGTAGATGGAATATATTACAAACTGAAAATTATAATCTAAAGTCAAAAAAATTGAGAAAAATGAAATCAGACGTCTTCTTCGAAACCTTTTGTTTATCGTTCATTTTAGTTTATTTCTTATTTGTAATTTAATTTAATTTCCATGTTGAGTGCCCCCCAAACCTAAAGTGTCCCAGGTCCCCTCAGGTCTAGATCAGTCCCTGGCTCGCAAGACCCTATGTCTAGTTCTTATACAATGTTATGTGGACTACGCTTCCTCTTCATGGTACTCTGCCTTGACAAAAAAACTGAAAGATTGACTACCAATCACCCAGAACGAAATGGTAAGATTCATCCTGGACCTGGATCCAGGAGAGCAATGTAGGCCAGGATGAATTATAACAATTGGATATGTTGAATGTTGACGACAGAGCAAAACAGAAGTTAAATCAGGTTTATAAAACTGCCCACAGTGTCCGGAATATCTTGCTGCCAATTTTGTCAAGGCTGGGAGCCAAAACAATCATAGTACTAGGGGAAGAGAGCACAACTTTGGTAAAATAATCTGTCCTTCATGTAGGACACTAGGGTAAAATAATCTTCCCTCGTGTAGAGTACTAATGGTACAATAATTTTCCCTCGTAGAGTACTACTGATACAATAATCTCCCCTTATGTAGAGTACTAGTGGTACAATATCCCCTCATGTAGATTACTAGTGGCACAATAAACTCCCCTCATGTAGAGTACTAGTGGTGCAATAATCTCCCCTCACGTAGATTGCTTGTACAATAGTCTCTCCTCATAGAATACCTGGAGTTTACCTGGAGAGAGTTTCGGGGGTCAATGCCCCCGCGGCCCGGTCTGTGACCAGGCCTCCTGGTGGATCAGCGCCTGATCAACCAGGCTGTTGCTGCTGGCTGCACGCAAACCAACGTACGAGCCACAGCCCGGCTGATCAGGAACTGACTTTAGGTGCTTGTCCAGTGCCAGCTTGAAGACTGCCAGGGGTCTGTTGGTAATCCCCCTTATGTGTGCTGGGAGGCAGTTGAACAGTCTCGGGCCCCTGACACTTATTGTATGGTCTCTTAACGTGCTAGTGACACCCCTGCTTTTCATTGGGGGGATGGTGCATCGTCTGCCAAGTCTTTTGCTTTCGTAGTGAGTGATTTTCGTGTGCAAGTTCGGTACTAGTCCCTCTAGGATTTTCCAGGTGTATATAATCATGTATCTCTCCCTCCTGCGTTCCAGGGAATACAGGTTTAGAAACCTCAAGCGCTCCCAGTAATTGAGGTGTATTATCTCCGTTATGCGCGCCGTGAAAGTTCTCTGTACATTTTCTAGGTCGGCAATTTCACCTGCCTTGAAAGGTGCTGTTAGAGTGCAGCAATATTCCAGCCTAGATAGAACAAGTGACCTGAAGAGTGTCATCATGGGCTTGGCCTCCCTAGTTTTGAAGGTTCTCATTATCCATCCTGTCATTTTTCTAGCAGATGCGATTGATACAATGTTATGGTCCTTGAAGGTGAGATCCTCCGACATAATCACTCCCAGGTCTTTGACGTTGGTGTTTCGCTCTATTTTGTGGCCAGAATTTGTTTTGTACTCTGATGAAGATTTAATTTCCTCATGTTTACCATATCTGAGTAATTGAAATTTCTCATCGTTGAACTTCATATTGTTTTCTGCAGCCCACTGAAAGATTTGGTTGATGTCCGCCTGGAGCCTTGCAGTGTCTGCAATGGAAGACACTGTCATGCAGATTCGGGTGTCATCTGCAAAGGAAGACACGGTGCTGTGGCTGACATCCTTGTCTATGTCGGATATGAGGATGAGGAACAAGATGGGAGCTAGTACTGTGCCTTGTGGAACAGAGCTTTTCACCGTAGCTGCCTCGGACTTTACTCTGTTGACGACTACTCTCTGTGTTCTGTTAGTGAGGAAATTATAGATCCATCGACCGACTTTTCCTGTTATTCCTTTAGCGCGCATTTTGTGCGCTATTACGCCATGGTCACACTTGTCGAAGGCTTTTGCAAAGTCTGTATATATTACATCTGCATTCTTTTTGTCTTCTAGTGCATTTAGGACCTTGTCGTAGTGATCCAGTAGTTGAGACAGACAGGAGCGACCTGTTCTAAACCCATGTTGCCCTGGGTTGTGTAACTGATGGGTTTCTAGATGGGTGGTGATCTTGCTTCTTAGGACCCTTTCAAAGATTTTTATGATATGGGATGTTAGTGCTATTGGTCTGTAGTTCTTTGCTGTTGCTTTACTGCCCCCTTTGTGGAGTGGGGCTATGTCTGTTGTTTTTAGTAACTGAGGGACGACCCCCGTGTCCATGCTCCCTCTCCATAGGATGGAAAAGGCTCGTGATAGGGGCTTCTTGCAGTTCTTGATGAACACAGAGTTCCAATACAATAATCTCCCCTCATGTAGATTACTAGTGATACAATAATCTCTGCGTGCGGCCAACAGTAACAGCCTGGTTGATCAGGCCCTGATCTACCATGAGGCCTGGTCACAAACCGGACCGCGAGGGCGTTGACCCCTGAAACCCTCTTCAGGTTCCCAGGTTCTCTACACATATGCTGCTATGTATGATAATTCTATGTAACTGTATTTGTGTATACCTGAATAAACTTACTGGAGTTGAGCGCCTCTGGTGGCGAGAGTGGTGGCCTTGAGAGAGGTTCCTTGAAGGTGGTGGTGAGCGTCTCTTGATCCAAGGAATGTGATCTATGCCACCTGGGAGTGAACTTATCCTCCCAGGTTGTCCATGACCCCCTCGGGTTGAGCGCTCCACCGTGAGTAGTACTGATAGTGAGGGTATAGTAGTGCCATCTAGTAGTGGTAGTCAGAGTTAGTCAGGTTATCAGTGATGGTGTTATAGAGATGGTCAGGACAGTGACCAACCTCAGGTCACTAAAGGTCAGTTGAACTTCAGTGTTTGTACGAAAGAGACGTGTTGCTCCTCCTGCCACCCCCGCCGGCTTTACCGTTTCCTCATCCTTTTAATACACCCAAATATCGTAAGTATTGTCTGGTGACGTATTTGTCAATACAACGGCAGAGTGAAGCTGCAGCTCCTGGTCCCCACCACCAGTTTGGTCACCAAATTATTATTTTAATAGTCTTAATTTTCTTTGGGGTCTGTCTTGGAGGGGGGCGGGGGTGATTGACCTTAGTGAGGGGTTTTGATGCGAGGAACTGGAGCTGCTCCCCTTCCTCTGATCAAACAATAACTCACACTAGGCGTTGCATAACTCATAATGGTGTATACAGTTCTGGGTTATTTTTATTCCATTATTGAAAAATAAGTTAAAGGTCTCTTGATCCAAGTAACTTGCTCCTTGTGATCCAGATATAAACTTCCATGTAAACATATTGTTAGTCATCAGGTTTATGTGAAAGAAACATTTATTAAAGAAAAAGATATTTTTACATACTATGTTAAACATTAATGTTTATATTAGGCAGTAATGTTACTAGTATATATTACATGGTAATGTTTACCTATGTGTGTAATGTTCATGGTTATAATGTGAATGTGTTTTGTTTCAGGTGTGGTAACAGGGGTGCTGTGCCTGGCTGTGTCTGCTGCAACATTGATCAACACAGCAACATTGACCAGTCTGAGGGGTGGAGACAACCACACTAGTAAATGATCTGACCCATAGCATTTATATGAAGACTCGGCAGTTGGAGACGTTGTTAGAGGTGGGTGGGGCCCACTTTTAAGGTATTTCCAGGTTATAAGTCCACTAAAGTTTGGTTATTGAAGCAGATAGTAATTGTATTAGGTAGGAAGGTGGTGGCGAGAGTATAGGAAAGATTGTAAGCAATTGATATCAAAAGTAGCTTAGTGGGAAGTATTACCTTATTTCCTGACCAGAGATGAAATCTCTGGTCAGGAAATAGAGGAATGCATTCTATAGGTTACCTTGAATGGGGTGGAAATAAAAATTGGAGAAATGGGTTGTAAAGCTTAGAATTGAAGACTGACTAGATTTTAGGAAGTTTTAGCTAGTGTAATATACAGTCTATACCCATCCTACAAGATTGTTGGAAGCAGAGATGAAATGTATGTATGTGATATATGGCTCATTTGGCAGTGGCGTCAATTGAAGAACCGGGATTCGATCCCGGGCACAGGTGAGCATATTCCCTTGTATCCATTGACACTTCACATAAAGGAGGAACACTGCAGCAGGCCTATTGGCCCTGAGCAGGCCTACTGGTACGGGTCGCATCCTGGGGGAGTATAAATACCCTAATAAAAATGTCATAGCAGTCATCCTGACTTGATTGTGTAATTGTGTTAATCTGCGGGGTTAATTATACTGAGATAGTTTAGTGTGGCGAGGGTAATGGTAGAGGTCTTGATTCTGGGTGTAAGGAAAGCCTGTTAAATCAGGCATATCCATTAAGGAGCACTGAAGCAGGCCTTTTGGCCCATGTTAGGCAGGTTCAACTCTCAACCACTCATTTGTCTAACCTATTTTAGCTTCACATGAGGGGATACATTTTCCTTAGGCAGTATATATTATAGTCGGAAAAATCAATAAGTTACTCAGAAATGTGGAATTAACCACATCTTCCTATTTTCAGTAGGGTTGTAGAGGGCCTCGCTGTATAGTCCTTGTGGCTTAGCGCTTCTTTTTGATTATAATAATAATGTAGAGGGCCTAGCCAAGTAATTTTATGCTTTGAAGTCCCAAAAATATTTTCTGTAGTATAGCCTTGCGAGTTTAGCGCTTACAACTCCACTCTGTATGAGAGCGTCTGGGGGGGGCATTTGTTTTGAAATTGGGTTATACAGTATATATTTACAGGGACTTTTTAGACCCCTTGATCTTGCCTAGACCCCCCTTGATCTCACCTAGACCCCCCTTGATCTCACCTAGACCTCCCCTTGATCTCACCTAGACCCCCCCTTGATCTCACCTAGACCCCCCTTGATCTCACCTAGACTCCCCTTGATCTTACCTAGACCCCCCTTGATCTTACCTAGACCCCCCTTGATCTTACCTAGGCCCACCTTGATCTTACCTCCTTTCATCCCCCTTGCGCCGCCACTGCTCTGCAAATTAGTAAGGCCTATACCTGGAGTATGCTGCATCGTTGTGGTGTGTGTGTGTGTATATATATATATATATATATATTATATATATATATATATATATTATATATATATATATATATATATATATATATATATATATATATATATATATATATATTATACACACATCACTTTGTAGGTCTACAGTTATTTAGTTTCTATCAAAATAACTTAAAGAATTAGGTGGTGGTAAGATATAGAACTGGAGCATCTGCTATATGCATTATGAATGCATATAGCAGGGGAGAGTAATCTCCCCTGAAGGCATAGATTACGTAGAACTGTGGGCCTGGGAACCCACCAACGACCTTCAGTAGCTGTCTGCAATCTGTTATTGCACGTGGTTTCCGTGGGGATGTTGGTGGGTTTCGGGCTTTGGGTAGTGGTTGTGGTGGGTGTTCTACGTTTTTTATGCCTTTGGCCAAACTGTGCAAAGTTAAATATTGATTATTGAGTTTACACAATTTCATTATTTTTGAAAATTTAAGCGGCGTTCAAGTTCCTGTGAATATAAGAGTACAGTATTAGCGTTCAGAATTGCAGTTTGTAAGCAGTGAAGTCTAACTTCTGGCAGCAGACGTTAATGATGAAAATAATAATAACCTCTGATCTGAAGTGAAGTGTTAGTCGGCAGAAAGGATTCTCTAACATCTGATGCTGATGAGTATAGTTGGGGGGGGGGGGTAGTGATTTAGACTGGTATTAGTGGGAATAGGATTATTAACCCTGCTGGGTTAGAAACTCAGAAAGAGGTAGTGGGGGCTTGAATGTAGTGGTCCTCAGGTTGTGCCTAGGATGGTAGCCATAACTGGCAGGTAAGGTAGGTTGAGTTCAGGCTAGCATAGTAGTGTGTTAGGAAACTGGTACACAGCAGGACTCCAACTATTTAAATAACTCGGCACACTTGGCTAACAACCAACACTGAGGGACGTGGAAGTGTAGGGAAAATGTCTTATGAAGGTAGTTAGGATCTTGTTAAATTTGGATGCCCTTCAAGGGGTGTCTTTGTACTAGTGAAGGTATTTTGATACAAGCAGTTGCAAGTACCTTCCTCTTCCTTGGATCAAACCTGATTCCCCAAACTGTGTATAACCGGTATATCCATATCGATATAAAATTTACCCAAATGTGCACGTATGTAAAATTGTTTAAAGGGGGGGGGGAGCGCTAAACTCTCGGGGATCAGGTCGATGAAAGTCAATCAGGTTTGATTCAGAGGAGTAGTGCAATGACATATTTTTCCCAGTTAAATATAGCCAAACATACTCCTAATATCCCTTAGTAACATGCATTACAACTTGAGGGTAAACTCAGAAGCCCAAATTTGTTTAATTGCCGCAGATTCCTCTTTGTCAAGACAAGGTGATCATAATAGCCCGTGTTAGAAGACTTTGTACATGAGTGCCCGCTGCCGCAACACTTAGGAAGCTATGCTGACAATACAAACACAAGGTCGTGAAATTTAAAAATTTATACTTCAAACTACTAATAATGGCAGTACTGAGGCTGTCCGCCTCATTATTACTATTGTTAGTAGGGTTGGGGTAGGTCTTTTTTTTTTTTCTCTCTCCCCGAGCTTGAAGCTCCCGAATTGTGTGAATGTTGTCCTGCTGACAAATAGCAATTGAGGCTTGTCATTTTTCTTGTGTTCTTTGAACACCTTTGTGTGTGTGTTCCTTGAACATTGCTGTGATAGACAATTTATTTATTACATTTTAATTAGTGATAAGTTTATCGAATCTTGTAGGTTGAAGATATTCTCCATGTTGTGGGCAGCTGCTGTGTGGCGACGTCCATGTTGTGGGCAGCTGCTGTGTGGCGACGTCCATGTTGTGGGCAGCTGCTGTGTGGCGACGTCCATGTTGTGGGCAGCTGCTGTGTGGCGACGTCCATGTTGTGGGCAGCTGCTGTGTGGCGACGTCCATGTTGTGGGCAGCTGCTGTGTGGCGACGTCCATGTTGTGGGCAGCTGCTGTGTGGCGACGTCCATGTTGTGGGCAGCTGCTGTGTGGCGACGTCCATGTTGTGGGCAGCTGCTGTGTGGCGACGTCCATGTTGTGGGCAGCTGAAAGCCTTCAGATATCACCAGCAGCAACACACCAAAACAATGTCTACAAAGACAAAAGTATGACATTACTAGACTATTCATGAACTGCAGTAAGCAATAGTTTGAATAATTGCTGTGTATCTAAATGCTTCATTCAATATTTTGTAGAAAGAAAAATTGCTAAAATATTTTAAAAACTGATCAAAAATTACCATGAAATTGGAGTAATAAAAATTTTTTAAATTACCACAGATTGATGGAATTGGAAGAGCTGGAGGTGTTGATGGTGTGGTGGATGGTAGAGGAGTGACAAGTGGCGCCACTAGTCTTGACCTCCATGGCTAAATGGCGCCAATGACCTGGAGGAGGGGGGGTGATGACGTCAGTGGTTGTTGTGGGGAGGGGGAAGGTCATTAGAGGAAGGGTTGGGGGCTGGCTGCTGGTGGAGGAGTTTGGAAGCGAGTAGTTAGTTGTTAATGGTGGGAGGGTTATGGGGTAGGGGAGGTTGGTTGTTTGTCACTTAGTAATTACCAAGGGACTGACAGTCTTGTTACTGTGTTAACGTGGCTTGAACCTTGATATGTGAAACGCCCTGGACACTAGCCTAAAGACACTCGTTTGCCAATATTCGTAATTCTAATGAACAATGTCCATAGACTCGTGTTATTATTATTATTATTATTATCAAAAAGAAGCGCTAAGCCACAAGGACTATACAGCAATAGACTCGTGTTGAAAGACTCGTGTTGAAAACCGTCTTGATGTTCGGCTTGGGTATTTGACATCTCTTGTGGGTTTAGTGTTTAGTTTTGATCATGGCCGGATTTATACCTGGGGAAGCCCTCAACATGGAAATTAAGTCGGATTACAAATAAGAAATAAACTAAAATGAATGATAAACAGCAGTTTTCGAAAAATGTTAGGTTTCGAAGAAGACGTCTGATTTTATTTTTCTCAATTTTTTTTTTAGCTAACCGATTATAATTTTCCGTTTGTAATATATTCTATCTACACTATATAATAATTACCAAAGTGTATTTATCTTTGATGTCACACTTTCAGTATCTACATGGTGGCAGTTGACCAAAAGGACGCATGCTTTTCCCTGGCAGGAAACCATGTGGGGTGGCCTGGTGACTAAAGCTCCCGCTTCACACACGGATGGCCCGGGTTCGATTCCCGGCGGGTGGAAACATTTCGACGCGTTTCCTAATTACACCTGTTGTCCTGTTCACCTAGCAACAAATAGGTACCTGGGTGTTAGTCGACTGGTGTGGGTCGCATCCTGGGGGACAAGATTGAGTCAGACTACAATGGAAATAAGTTGCAGTCCCCGATGACACACTGACTTCCTTGGGTTATCCTGGGTGGCTAACCCTCCGGGGTTAAAAATCTGAACGAAATCTTGTGTTATGGCTGGCTCTGAATCACATGGTGGCACTTCACTGTCCATGTCTACACAAGTATCTGTACTATGTGGTTGTGGTAATTCATCACCTTTATTATATTGATTATCATCTTGATTTCGTATGTTCTTTTTATTTTCTGCAGATGGTCTTTAGAATCAGTATTAAACATTTTAGGTTCGGATTTAGGTTAGGCTAGGTTGGGTTATGTTACAGTAGCTTAGTAAGTTTATTCAGATATACACATATAGTTGCATAGATTATCATACATAGCAGCATGTGTACAGAACCTGAGATAACCCCAAAAAAAATCAGTGACTTATTTCCATTGGGGTCCTGTATGCATTTGCACAAAATAAAGCTATTTCCAGTGCACGACCCACTTAATATTAGACAATATAAATCTCAAATCATAGTTCAACTCGCACCTGGATCTAAAATAAATTTTTAACAGGATTGGCAGGCATGGCAGGGTAAATTGGGTTGGCATCCCTTAGTTATTGCATGATAATGAAGGTTGGCAGCCCTGACACAAGGCCACGTCTCACTGACATAAACAAGAGGGAGGACAGTAGCGCCTCCTCCCTCTCTAAACTATTATATTTCCTCTCAGCCTTCTGAAAATACGCCATTATTGTATTAAACTATCACTAATGGTGTGTGGTGAGAGGAGGCGCACCTCGCTGTGTGAAGGTAGTGGCTGCAGTCACTACCAACAACTGTATATTGAAATATCTTAGTCACGTCAGTGGTTGTTGTTTCCTATTACGTGAGTGAAGCTTCTAGATGTAAGTAATAATAATAATATTTATTTCTGTAAGTTGGTATAAACCTTGGTAATAAATACCGACAAGTTGGTTTAGAAAGACACGTAAGCAAACACTATGACATATTTATTAGAAAACGTTTCGGTCCTGGGACCTTGATCACTTCTAACATGTTAGAAGTGATCAAGGTCCCAGGACCGAAACGTTTTCTAATAAATATGTCATAGTGTTTGCTTACGTGTCTTTCTAAACCATTTCTGTAAGTATATGATACAACTTGTATAGACCATAGCTGACGTCAGTGACATACTGTATAGGAAGCCCCTGGTTATTTAGAGCATTTCGGGCAACTTAGATTAATTTTGTCCCCAGGATGCGACCCACACCAGTTCACTAACATCCAGGTAACTGTTTTACTGTTTGGTGAACATGGACAGCAGGTGGCTTAGGGGAACTCCCGAGTACCGTCGTAGAAGCTAAGACATTGTGTAGTTTTAAAAATAGCTTAGATAAATACATGAGTGGGTGTGAGTTTGACCTGACTAGCTTGTGCTGCTAGGTCAGATGCCGTGCTCCTTAAGTGAATGTGACCTGACCTGACTAGGTTAAGGAGAATTGGACCTGCCTCGCATGGGCCAGTAGGCCTGCTGCAGTGTTCCTTCTTATATTCTTAATGTTTTCACCCATATTGGGGATTAAACCACGAACCTCAGTGTGTGTTTACCATGATACATTGTGCTACATTATATATACCTTTCATCATACACGGAAAAAAATCATGGTTAGGCAGTGTATTTCTGGGGCATTTTGGATTTACTCGCCTCGCCTAGTTGTGGTTGCAGGGTACGAGACTCAGCTCCTGGCCCCACCTCTTTACTAAACACTACTAGGTCCTCTCTCTCCCTGCTCCATGAGCTTTATCATACCTCGTCTTAAAGCTATGTATGGTTCCTGACTCCACTACATCACTCGCCAGGCTGACTAAAGAAATACTTCCTAACATCCCTTTGACTCGGATGAGTCTTCAATTTCCAAGTGTGACCCCTTGTTTCTGTGTCCCCTCCCTGGAACATCCTGTCTCTGTCCACCTTGTCTATTCCACGTAGTATTTTGTATGTCGTTATCATATCCCTTAATTCTCCTGTCCTCCAGTGTCGTCAGGCTGATTTCCCTTAACCTTTCTTCATAGGACATTCCCCTTAGCTCTGGAACTAACCTTGTTGTAAACCTTTGCACTTTCTCTAATTTCTTAACATGCTTGACCTGGTGTGGGTTTCAAACTGGTGCTGCATACTCCAGTATGGGCCTGACGTTCACGGTGTACAGTCTTAAAAGATTTCTTACTTGGGTATTGGAACGCCATTCTCAGGTTTGACATGCGCCCATATGCTGCAGCAGTTATCTGGTTGATGTGTGCTTCTGGAGACATGCTTGGTGTTTTATTCACCCCAAGATCTTTCTCCTTGAGCAAGGTTTGCAGTCTTTGGCCACCTAGCCTATACTCCGTCTGCGGTCTTCTTTGCCCTTCCTCGATCTTCATGACTTGACATTTGGCAGTTGCTGGACCCAGTGTCCAGCCTGTCCAGGTCCTCCCCTGGACTTCCTCCCATATCTCAAGCACTATATGACACCTACAAATTTGGTGCTTCTCTCAAAATATAATCATTAATAATACAATAATAATACGTACTGGAATCATCGCTTAGTTCTATAACCAACAATTTCAACCAGAACAATGGCTTCTATAACATAGCTGAACCACTTGCCAAGAAACTTCTTCATCGCTATCCCACATAAGAACATAGAACACTGCAGAAGGTCTGCTCACAACTTATCCAATACCCCTGCCAAGCTACCCAAGATTTTAGACTCTGTAACCCCACCCAGTAGATCATCAGATGCAGCATTCTCTACCTGACCTCAACATTCTGAACCTGACTATACATACTCACGTACCTTCCACCCCAGGTAGATCTGTTTGTGACTTGAAAAAGCCCACTGTGTGGACAAAACGTTGTCAATAAAGGATCACATTAAACTGCATGTGTGTTTGTTTCCACGTACTGTATAGTTCAGGTAACATTTTTCTTTGAATTATAATGAATGTAAATGCACTGGGAAATTACAGAGAAGGATAATGAAGTTAATCCCATATATCAGAAACCTTTCCTGTGTAGAAAGGCTGTAGGCACTGAAATTGCTCCCTAAAAAACAAAAACAAAATTAAGTTGCGATATAATTGAAGTGTACTAATGGAAACCGGAAGTAAATGGTGATAAAAATAATGATGAAAATATTTAACCAAAACAGGACTCTCAGCAATAGATTAAAGATGAGTGGAACAAATCTCCAGGAAGTGTTATTGAAGGAAGAATTTTTAGGTAGTTTTAAATATAGGTTGTACAAGTGGGTGGTAATTGGACTTTCTTAGCATGACCCAGTTAGACTACCGCAGTGCTCCCTGTTCTTGTTATAATAATAGTGAAGCATTTGGTGTGAGTGCTTTTTGTGAATGTAATCATATAACACTCATGTATACCTTAATTTAATAAGGAGGAAATTGTACAATTATAATTGAGGGGCTCTTGATCCAAAGAATTGATCCATTGACCCCAATGGAAATAAGTCACTGTCTGACTTTTTTTGGGTTATCCTAGGTTCTCTACACATATGCTGCTATGTATGATAATTCTATGTAACTGTATCTGTGTATACCTGAATAAACTTACTTACTTACTTACTTACTTACTATCCTGACCTCTCCTCCTTTTTAATGATCTTGATTGCCTTCTATTTCCCCAGCACTGTATGACTCCTACAGATTTTGTACTTCCACATGAATGGATCAATGGATGTCATGTCTGGTAAAAAAAATAGTAAAGGAAGATTTCAGGTTACAGTTAGATGTTTCAAATTTCTTCAGCAAATACATTAAGATCATTATTATTATAGGCATAGTGGTAATGAATTATGAAGATACTATATAATTGTTTTTCAGTTTTGTTTGACATCAAAAAGTGCCTTAGTGTCATTACTGAAATAGCCTAATTACAGATAATGCTTGCTAGATTATGATGGAAGTACATACTTTATTCTACATAAAAATAACTAACTTTTATTATTAAATGAATATGTATATATTGTAGGCTGACATGGAGCTCTTATCTCAATTTTTTTTTTTTTTACAGAAATTTACAATGGGGGAACCAGAACAGGTGATTGCTGAACCTGATGAGGTGGAAGATGTGGATGCTAGTATTGATGGCCTCCACCCACCCACACTTGAACAACATCACCCATGGCTGATTTCTTATTCGATTAATTCAGGTAAGGCTAATATATATACTGTATTACTTGCATCAAAATTAATTTAATGAGTCAAAATGACTAATAATTTTATTAAAAGGCTATAATAGACAATGCTCTAGTGTATAGTATAGTTACAGCAGGGCATCACAAATCTGGACAGGCCTGGCTGAAACCTTCCAGGATTTCTAAAGTCATGATTAACTGTTAACACATTTATTTATAGCTCGTATATACTTTACAGTACAAAACGTAAATATTAGAGTGAACATAACATTATTAACGAAACGGAGAATATGTATTAGTACATCATATCTTCGGCTTAAGAGACCAGATGACATGTATAGTGTAATGATATTGGCTTTGTATTGTTAAAAAAAAAAAATTTGGTTCCCAATTGCCTATTTTTGTGTGATTGTGCAGTTATCAATATAATGCCATTACTTAATGTACTTATCTTGATAAGGTGTTACTTTCATTATTAAATAGCAAATTGTAAACTTTAATTAAACAAGTGGCATAGGATCTTGGTTTTGTAGACTTGAGGGCTTTCCCAAAATTTCTAGTTTTAAGTCTTCCAAAAAAAAAAAAATTTTAAAGTTCTTTGAGTTTTGAAGTTTGTATTTGGGCATTTTTCTTACTATATTAATAATTTAAGTAATTGTTTTGTGTTGTCTTATTCTCATTGTCTTGCTATTGTATATCTTTGGTATGAAAATTGAAACTTTAAATTTTTGTCTTCAGTGCTTAGTATTTTCAGGAAGACAAATTTGCTAGATGCTTGTATAGCACTGTAGACTATTTATGCTAACTTTTTCTTCTTCAGCACTTTCATGGCTAGCTTTTAATGGATGGTACACACTTGGCTTTTTATTACTTTGCTATATTTTGTGGCGCCGTATAGAGCCAAAATGCCAGCAGTGGCTAAGAAAGCGAGAAGAATTTAAAGAAGCCGCAAAATATCACAAAGGTAAGCACTATTATTTAATTGCAGTATGTAGACTGACTCGTAGAGGAATCTTAGAGCTCTTGCTGTCAACTCAATCTCATGAAATACTTTATTATGAGCAACTGATAATTATTTGGAAGTTATTCTAGTGATATAAGTGATCAGTACTTTACTGTGTAATATTCCTCTGCTACAATAGATCCAGATAAAGTTCTGGCAAGAGAAAGGGCATTGGATGAAGCTCGCCTTCGAATGCAAGAACAGTACAATAAAGATGCACAGAAACAAGCTGAGAAAAGAAAAGAGGTAATTTTCTTATTAACTTTAAAAGAAGGTTGGATTGGATTATTCTAATTAAACTGTTGAACATTGGAAATTTTTGTAGATTTTAAATAATTTTGACATTTTTACCAAAATATTGTGCACCCTTCAAGGTAGGTTCCTTGATGTCAGTGAGGGGTCTTTTAGTGAAGGGAAATGGATCTGACCTTCCCCTCCTTGGTTCAAAACCTGTAGGCAAAGGTTAGTGGAAGAGTTTGGGAGGGTGGGTAAAGGTAGAAAGTTTAAAGTGAATATAGATAAGAGTAATGTAATGAGGGTATCAAACGATTTAGATAAAGAAAAATTGGATATCACATCGGAGTGAGGGAGTATGGAAGAAGTGTGTTTTCAGATATTTGGGAGTTGACTTGTCAGTGGATGGGTTCATGAAGGATGAGGTTAACCATAGAATTGATGAAGGGAAAAAGGTGAGTGGTGCCTTGAGGTATCTGTGGAGACAAAAAACATAATCCATGGAGGCAAAGAAGGGAATGTATGAAAGTATAGTGGTACCAACACTCTTACATGGGTGTGAAGTTTGGGTTGCAAATGCTGCAGCAAAGAGGTGGCTGGAGGCAGTGGAGATGTCCTGTCTAACGGCAATGTGTGGTGTAAATATTATGCAGAGAATGCAGTGTGTGGAAATTAGGTGGTGTGGAGTTAACAAAAGTATTAGTCAGAGGGCTGAAGAGGGGTTGTTGAGATGGTTTAGTCTTTCAGAGAGAATGGATCAGAGTAGAATGCCTTGGAGAGTGTATAAATCTGTAGGGGAAGGAAGGCGGGGTAGGGGTCATCCTCAAAAAGGTTGGAGGGAGGGGGTAAAGGAGATTTTGTGGGCAAGAGGCTTGGACTTCCAGCAAGCATGCGTAAGCGTGTTAGATACGAGTGAATGGAGACGAATAGTTTTTGCGACCTGACGAGCTGTTGGAGTGTGAGCAGGGTAATATTTTGTGAAGGGATTCAGTGAAACCAGTTAGCTGGACTTGAGTCCTGGAAATGGGAGGTACAATGCTTGCACTTTAAAGGAGGGGTTTGGGATATTGGCAGTTTGGAGGTTAACTTTTAAACTCATATCTGAGTGCCTCTGCAAAGACATTGATTATGTATGTGTGAGGTGAAAGTGTTGAATGATGATGAAAGTATTCTCTTTTTGTGTCACCCTGCCTCGGTGGGAGACGACCAACGTGTTAAAAAAATACAAAAGTAAAAAAATTAATATAGTAATTTTTTACAGCAAGAAGAGAAACGAAGGCTTGAACGCATAGAAGACTGGGAGCGCCACAAGCGAGGGGATGGTTATAGAAGTAAGACACGAACTGGCGCAAGTGGATCATCTGAGGTTGAGAGTAACAATGGTAATAAACCATCTAGGAAACCAAAACTCAGACCAGGTCAGTGCCACACTGAAATTTACTGAATACATAATAGTTTTTTAAATGTCTTGCTCCAAATGTTTTTTAGGCTGTACAGGTATGTTACCATTCAAAAAGTTAAGCTCCTAGAAAGATGAATACAGCCTCTCCTCACTTAGCGACATACTCGTTTACCGACGCCTCAGACTTACGACAGGCTCTCTGACCAGTACTCATACCTAAATAATGTATATTAGAGCTGATTTCCTCTATTCTGTTTAATTCAGTATACAGTGGACCCTCGAATTTCTTAATCCGTTCCAGAGAGTCTGATGAAAGGCAAAATTTACGAATGGCGAAACTATTTTCCCCATAAGAAATAATGTAAATCCAATTAATCCGTTCCAGACACCCAAAAGTATTAAAAAAAATTATTTTTTTATAAATTAAATATAGATTTACATACAGAAAAGAATGAGAAATCAAGTATAAAACAATAATAACATCACACTTATCTTTATTGAAGACTCTTGTTGGTGTACGGAAGACGGGAGGAGGGGAGAGGGTTAGGGTGATGTTCCTCCACAAATGTTTGCACCTCACTCCACTTTGCACAGATGCCCTTAATCTTTGAAGAAGGCACCCTCTTTCCTCTCTTCCTCCTCTGAAGCAATTTCCTCAGTTGGTGAACATAAAGCAGGAACACTGCAGCAGGCCTGTTGGCCCATACTAGGCAGGTCCTTCACAAACCATCCCACTAATGGAATATTTGCCCAACCTAATTTTCAATGCTCCCCAAGCAATAAGATTTGATAATTCTATTCACTCATGCGCAAATCCCACTCATATCAAATTTTGTGTGTGTATGTGTGTACACTCACCTAGTTGAGGTTGCAGGGGTCGAGTCCAAGCTCCTGGCCCCGCCTCTTCACTGGTCGCTACTAGGTCACTTTCCCTGAACCATGAGCTTTATCGTACCTCTGCTTAAAGCTATGTATGGATCCTGCCTCCACTACATCGCTTCCCAAACTATTCCACTTGCTGACTACTCTGTGGCGGAAGAAATACTTCCTAACATCCCTTTGATTCATCTGTGTCTTCAGCTTCCAACTGTGTCCCCGTGTTGCTGTGTCCAGTCTCTGGAACATCCTGTCTTTGTCCACCTTGTCAATTCCTCTCAGTATTTTGTAAGTCGTTATCATGTCCCCCCTATCTCTCCTGTCCTCCAGTGTCGTCAGGTTGATTTCCCTTAACCTCTCCTCATAGGACATACCTCTTAACTCTGGGACTAGTCTTGTTGCAAACCTTTGCACTTTCTCTAGTTTCTTTACATTGATTGTGTGTGTGTGTGTGAGAGAGAGAGAGAGAACCTATGAACGAACGAACCTACGAACCTACGAACGAACCAACCTACCAACGAACCAACCTACCAACGAACCAACCTACCAACGAACCAACCTACCAACGAACCAACCTACCAACGAACCAACCTACCAACGAACCAACCTACCAACGAACCAACCTACCAACGAACCAACCAACCAACCTACCAACGAACCAACCTACCAACGAACCAACCTACCAACCTACCAACCTACCAACCTACCAACCTACCAACGAACCAACCTACCAACGAACCAACCTACCAACGAACCAACGAACCTTCGAACGAACAAACCAACGAACGAACGAACCTACGAACGAACGAACCTACGAACGAACGAACGAACCAACCAACGAACGAACCTACGAACGAACGAACCTACGAACGAACGAACGAACCTACGAACGTACGAACCTACCAACCAACCAACCATGGCTGGTGAACATAAGCAGGAACACTGCAGCAGACCTGTTGGCCCATACTAGGCAGGTCCTTTACAAACCATCCCACTAATGAAATATTTGCCCATCCCAATTTTCAATGCTCCCCAAGCAATAAGGTTTGATAATTCTATTCACTCATCTGCAAGTCCCACTCAAATCAAATCGTGTATGTGGGGAATTACCTTGGCTGGTGTGTGTGTACTCGCCTAGTTGAGGTTGCGGGGGTCGAGTCCGAGCTCCTGGCCCCGCCTCTTCACTGATCGCTACTAGGTCACTCTCCCTGAGCCGTGAGCTTTATCATACCTCTGCTTAAAGCTATGTATGGATCCTGCCTCCACTACATCGCTTCCCAAACTATTCCACTTACTGACTACTCTGTGGCTGAAGAAATACTTCCTAACATCCCTGTGATTCATCTGTGTCTTCAGCTTCCAACTGTGTCCCCTTGTTACTGTGTCCAATCTCTGGAACATCCTGTCTTTGTCCACCTTGTCAATTCCTCTCAGTATTTTGTATGTCGTTATCATGTCCCCCCTATCTCTCCTGTTCTCCAGTGTCGTCAGGTTGATTTCCCTTAACCTCTCCTCGTAGGACATACCTCTTAGCTCTGGGACTAGTCTTGTTGCAAACCTTTGCACTTTCTCTAGTTTCTTCACGTGCTTGGCTAGGTGTGGGTTCCAAACTGGTGCCGCATACTCCAATATGGGCCTAACGACACGGTGTACAGGGTCCTGAATGATTCCTTATTAAGATGTTGGAATGCTGTTCTGAGGTTTGCTAGGCGCCCATATGCTGCAGCAGTTATTTGATTGATGTGCGCTTCAGGAGATGTGCCTGGTGTTATACTCACCCCAAGATCTTTTTCCTTGAGTGAGGTTTGTAGTCTCTGGCCCCCTAGACTGTACTCCGTCTGCGGTCTTCTTTGCCCTTCCCCAATCTTCATGACTTTGCACTTGGTGGGATTGAACTCCAGGAGCCAAATGCTGGACCAGGTCTGCAGCCTGTCCAGATCCCTTTGTAGTTCTGCCTGGTCTTCGATCGAGTGAATTCTTCTCATCAACTTCACGTCATCTGCAAACAGGGACACCTCAGAGTCTATTCCTTCCGTCATGTTGTTCACAAATACCAGAAACAGCACTGGCCCTAGGACTGACCCCTGCGGGACCCTGCTGGTCACAGGTGCCCACTCTGACACCTCGCCACGTACCATGACTCGCTGCTGTCTTCCTGACAAGTATTCCCTGATCCATTGTAGTGCCTTCCCTGTTATCCCTGCTTGGTCCTCCAGTTTTTGCACCAATCTCTTGTGTGGAACTGTGTCAAACGCCTTCTTGCAGTCCAAGAAAATGCAATCCACCCACCCCTCTCTCTCTTGTCTTACTGCTGTCACCATGTCATAGAACTCCAGTAGGTTTGTGACACAGGATTTCCCGTCCCTGAAACCATGTTGGCTGCTGTTGATGAGATCGTTCCTTTCTAGGTGTTCCACCACTCTTCTCCTGATAATCTTCTCCATGATTTTGCATACTATACATGTCAGAGTGTGTGTGTGTGTGTGTGTGTGTGTGTGTGTGTGTGTGTGTGTGTGTGTGGAGGTACCCTGTTGTTTCTTGCCTTCTTTACCAAAGGGCTGGAACTAGGAGTTTTCTTTTGGCCCATGGTTGCTTATTTAGCAGTTGTAAGCACAAACAATCGATTATTACAAAATTTATCGTATGAACACTTGGGATGATAGTCGCTTGCCCATAAACAATGCCACACTGACTGGGAATGGTGTGTGGGGTGAGTTTGTGTGGTGCGGATGCTGGGAAGCCATTCGTATACGTTCCGGATGAACAAAGAATGGCAAGGCAAATTACAAACCGCAAGGCTATATTTTGAGGAAAAAAGTTGCCGAAAGGCAAAATTTATGAAGCATGAGGCTTACAAAACTCAAGGGTCCACTGTACAGCACACTACTGTGTAAACATTTAAAAATACAGTGGTACCCTGAGTTTCGTACAGCTCCCAACTCGAATAATTATGTAAGTGTATTATTGTATTGGGGGGTCTGAAACGGACTAATCTAATTTACATAATTCCTTATGGGAACAAATTTGTTCGGTAACAGTGCTCGAACACCCTTCTGGAACGAATTATGACCAAAACTCTGGGTACCACTGTATACCAGAAATGTTATAAATGGCACAAAGGTGACATTAAGACAATATCAAAGATGGTTGACACAAACTCGCTACTGCTATAGTATGCTCCTCACATAGCAACAAATTCATTTAACGATGTGGTCTTAGAAATGGAACTCCATCGTTAACCCTTTGACTGTTTTGAGCTTATACATACATCTTACGAGCCAATGTGTTCGATGTATATAGTACAGTGGACCCCCGCATAACGATGGCATCACATAGCGATTTTTCCGCATACCGCTTACTTTTATCGCAAAATTTTTGCCGCGCATACCGATTAAAAACCCGCTCACCGATTTTCGTCCGAGACGCGTCCAATGTGCCCTCACATGTGCCGCCCGTCCCATTGTTTACCAGCCAGCCTCCGCGGTAACATCCAAGCATACACTCGGAATATTTCGTATTATTACAGTGTTTTCGGTGCTGTTTCTGGAAAATAAGTGACCATGGGCCCCAAGAAAGCTTCTAGTGCCAACCCTGTGGTAAAAAGGGTGAGAATTAGTATGGAAATTAAGAAAGATTTTGAAGGGTTTGGGGCTAACCCTGAGAAGCCTATGCCAGTTGTGGAATCCATTGTGCCTACTTCAAAGATTAAGGAAATGTGTGCACAGTGGGTTGAACTGCAAACCTTTATAGATGAAAATCACCCTGACACAGCTGTTGCAAGCCGTGCTGGTGACTATTTCAATGACAATGTTGTGGCCCATTTTAGACAAATCGTAAAGGAACGGGAGGTACAGAGCTCTATGGACAGATTTGTTGTGCGACAGAGGTCCAGTGACTCTCAAGCTGGTCCTAGTGGCATTAAAAGAAGAAGGGAAGTAACCCCGGAAAAGGACTTGCTACCTCAAGTCCTAATGGAAGGGGATTCCCCTTCTAAACAGTAAGAAGATAATGCTCTCCCCTCCTCCCATCCCATCAATCATCACCAGATCTTCAATAAAAGTAAGTGTCATGTAATTGTGCATGCCTTTTTCAGTTTGTGTGTATTAAAATTAACATTTCATGTGGTAAAAAAAATTTTTTTTCGTACTTTTGGGCGTCTTGCACGGATTAATTTTATTTCCATTATTTCTTATGGGGAAAATTCATTCGCATAACGATTATTTCGCATAACAATTATCCCTCTTGCACGGATTAAAATCGTTAACCGGGGGTCCACTGTACAGTATGGAAGACATATTATAGAAGTAGAGATGATTTTGATTGGTTTCGCTATGAAAAGGACCTTGAAATGGAACTCAAAGTAGCAGAAATGTTCGATTTTTGCCAATGTTCAAGAGTCGACAAATGACATCATTGTCCAATAAGTGTCCAACTAGCCATTCTAATACGCAGTCATGAATGGGTTGACATTATTTATACAATTATTACAGTAATGTAGTAGTCTGCATAACAGTAAATCTTCTACTTTTTGTTTATCTGGAGAGAGAGAGAGAGTTTATCTGGAGAGAGTTCCGGGGGTCAACGCCCCCGCGGCCCGGTCTGTGACCAGGCCTCCTTAGGTCAGTGTCCCAGGATGCGACCCACACCAGTCGACTAACACCCAGGTACCCATTTTACTGATGGGGAACATAGACAACAGGTGGAAAGAAACACGTCCAATGTTTCTACTCTGGCTGGGAATCGAACCCAGGCCCTCACCGTGTGAAGCGAGAGCGTTAACCACCAGGCCACCAGAGCCCCCTTGTGAATAAAAATTCAAAATAGAAAGCAAGAGTAATATAATAGGGGCCTGGAGACATGACTGATGAACAGAGAAAATGTTATTTTAGTGTCAGGAATGTCTGCATTGTTCATTCTGGACACTATTTTGAAATAGGCATATTTTTTAATTTGCCTGAAATTGACCAAATTACCTATTTCTGACCACTTTATTGGGTAGTTGAAATCGGTAAATGGGCAGTTTCTTGTACTCAGTTGATGGAACAAATGGAAATCTAAAGAAATAGCCGAGTTTGGTTGCCTGGAACAATGGAATTGGCCGAAAATAGGGCTCGGTGGGCGAAATCGCTGATGCGTAAATATCGCCGAGATTGCTAATTTCTCAAGAGTGTAATTCAGTAAGTTTTCCATCAAATTTTGTACTTATGGTCTGATTAGCATCAGGAAAAGATTCTCTATCATTTCATAATAATTTTTTTTTTTTTTTAATATTTTGCAACGCTGAGAGACATTAGGATTGGGAGTTGCGACAGTCAAAGGGTTAAGTGAGGGGAGGCTGTATAATGAGAAAATGAAGATGTAAGTTAATGTATTAAAGTGAGGCATAAAAAACTGTGGGTTATTCAGCACAGGGTTGGAAAGAGGCTTCTGTTTGCTAATTGAGGCCAACACTACCTAATTGCATATATCTAGTTTGTGCATAGATTAAAAAAATCCATTGAATACCAAGGTTGGCAAAGAGTGACCTTGTTCAGAAAATGTAGGACTTGGCTAACACTTAAGTTAGGAACACAATTAAGATCCAGATGTAGGTCACTGATTAGTTAAAGGACTTGCATTAAACCTATATAGAAATGGGAAACAATTAGGGTTTATCCATGGAAGGGGAAGGGTAGCTAAAATTCCTTGGATCAAGAGCCCTTCATTAATACCCCCCCCCCCCATCTTTTCCCCTTGAAGAGATTTAAAACAAGAATGCTTGAGAGGTTAATGTTATATTAGGACTGAAGAAGCCACTCGTGGCGAAACGTTTCCTTTAATAAATGTCCTGAACTGTACATAAGTGTCTTTTTCCACATGTAAAGGACCTGCCTAGTATGGGCCAATAGGCCTGCTGCAGTGTTCCTCCTGTCTTATGTTCTTATGGAAAAGTGCTTAACCCAGTGGTCATGTAACACCAAATTTTTTTTATTTTTGTGTCAATGAATCTAGAATAGCACTGACAGTCAGTGTGTGAATTAAATGTTAATGTTTATCACTAACAGAATACAACCCATTGACTGGAGACACTGGTGGAGGAACATGTGGATGGAGACCATCTCAACGTGGTGCCTCAGGAGGTGGATGAGGCTAAGGAAGGTACACACTAAAGTCATCTCATCATTATATCCTGGATTCTCAATTAAAATTCCTGATAGATACAAGATTATCTTAGCTTTTCATTGGAAAATCCATAAATGTCTAGGATAATGATGATTGTGTGTACAAAATACTGTTAGGGTACTTGTGATCCTGTTCTATACATTTTTTTCAATAAAGATTCTCAGTCATGCCTCTTATAAAGTACTCAACAGTCCCCTCTCAGAATCCAGGGGATGTCAAACAATATGATGCTTTGGACCAAACCAGTATCCAGCTGTGGTTCAAGGCGGATGCGTTACCTGGCATCTCAGGTTTTTCATACTGGTTAATGCATCGTCAAGTCACTCACTGATGTAGAAAAGTTTACACAGTGTATCGGTAACAATATCTAACCCATGGATGAAAAACTTGAATGGAAATGGGGGATTCTGAGAAGTGAAAATAATATGCAGTGTACAATGTATTTGTTCAAATATTACAAATATTTAATTATTGACTATGGTATTTATTTTTTCATAGTATGTATACTATATACTTGATAATATGTATGCATAATGTATATGTATACAGATGTTCATTGCTAGTAATCTTTGATGCATCATATAGATAGAAATTACAGTTCAATAGGAAAGCTGATTTTCAGTTTGATAAAATATCACTTGTCATAAAAAAAGTTAGTTTTTTAATTATTAAATTTTCTAACTTGTTAAAGAAAAGGCATTTCAAGAAAATTTTACATTTATCAACACATTTTGAGATTTGTCAAGTCACACCCAACAAACCATATTCTTACTAGAACAGTAATTGATTTAAGTATTCAAATTTCTGAAACAGAAAAGCCTGTGTCTAATTTATTATTACAGTAAACTCTCAATTTAATGAACTTCAGAATTTAGACAAAATCTGCTGGGTCAGTTGATGCAGAAACAACGAACAGGTTCATTAGTTACACAGTTGCTGATTGTTCAGTTATTACTGGAGACCCACTCTTCTCTAGTAGACCATTATACTGAGGGTTTACAGCATTTCTTTAATTTGGAGGAAACCTACTCTATCTTGAAATTATGACGTACCCTTCTGTACATATCAATTTAATACACACGCACACTGTTTTTGTCATATATATTAGTATACTGTCATGAAATATACTTTATAAAGATGTACTCTCTCTTTAAAACTTGCATAATAAAATAAATTGTTAATTTGAGCAAATGTGTTTTACAGTATCCACATAATGCAATAATGCAAAAGAATTATGATAAGTGGAAGCACGTAAAGTTATAATTATGATTGGTCATGACAGGGAAAGTAAAGAAAAATATCTGGCAAGGTTGAAGTAGTGAGAGAGAATGATTTCTAATGACCAGAATAGGAAGGCACTTGTATAATGTTCTTTAGATTATGAAACTAAATGGTTATAAATATGACCATAATTTTTAAAGGGGTGGACCAGTAAGCCAGCGGAAGGCCTTGGTCAGATAAGTAAAAGCTCCAATAGCAGGTCATCACCTGACTGAGACCCATGTCAGGAAATGCTTGCCCTGTTTCCTGACAAACCTTACCAAACCTAATATCTTAAGCAATTGTTTTTGTTATTCTTTCAACAAACTGGCAGTATCCCACCTAGGCAGGGTGACCTAAAATGAAAAATGTAAGTTTCTCTTTAAATTTAGTAATGTATACAGGAGAAGGGGTTACTAGCCCTTTGCTCCTGACAGTGACTTAATATTATTATTCATGGGAAGCACTAATTAGTAATCAGGTTGCATGTTTCTTGGAGGATTTCTAAAGAATTAGTTTGAGATTCATACTGTATATGTGAACACAGGACATTATTTTTGTGAAGTACTCTTAGGTTGTCTGCTAAACAGCATTATTTAACACTAACCATACAGGTTTAGTATTTTGGGATGGGGAGAATCTTGTATAGTATTAGTCACAGACCCCACAAGGGAGGTTCCTTGTTGCTGGTGAAGGGCTCTTCTCTTGATCTAGGGAATTGGACCTGTGCACCAGTTCCCTGAATACCTTCCATTCCCCCCACAGGCACTGTGGATTCGATGAAACCATTTTTTAAATCACTAGAGCTGGAGGAGGGGTGTTATTGTTGCAGTTTTATAATTGTAGTTAAAGTGCACATCTGGCAACAGTGATGCAGTGAATGATGAAAGTTTTTCTCTTTCGGGCCACCCTACCTTGGTGGGAAATGGTCGATGTATCAATAAAAAAAATATATCATTCAATTCTAGATTTGGTACTCTACACACTTCTTTCTTCACTCCTAGCTCAGTACCAACTGGAAATGTTACTTATACTTCTGCAATTTTTCATCCACATTTTTCAGTTCATTACATCATATTGTTTTAATGCTGTCTTCTATGCCAGACCTGTTGTGCATACTGTACTTCAGTTTTATCAGTTCACTTCCATCTAATACATTCAAAATAGTTCATATAGATTTTATTCTTTCACTAAATCCCTTTCAATATGAAAACAAGTAGAATAAAAAGCTTTAGTTGAGAAGCTAAACTTGCTTTGATGATTTATCAGATAGTGTGAGAGAGCCTTGGTGGTTGGGGGCCTTTGTTGATACAGGACTCCCATAAATCACCTTCACCCACCAAAGGGTATTATTAAATTGACATACCAAATGTTATGTAGTCCCATCGCATTTTCTCTGCTGGTAAAGGCTCTTGATCATGGGAATTTGACATGTCCTACCTTTCCTTGCATCAGACCTGGCTTCCTCCCATTTCCCCAGGCACTGCATGACCCTTGTAGGTTTACCATTTGCCCCCCCCCCATGAATGTAATGCAGTATGTATAGTAGTAATTGTAAATAAATGTTAAATACGAGAGCTTCAGAACAGGTGAAAATTGCTTGCTATACCCTGAGTGGTTTTCTAAATGCTCTTCCCTCTGCTTTCTCAAGGAAGGCTCCTTGATGCTGATGGGCTCCTGATCAAGGACCTTCCCCTTCCCTAGGTACACTACACAAATTACCCACACACGAGAGAGGAGCTTACGACGACGTTTTGGTCCGACTTAGACCATTTACGTTTCGGTCCAAGTCGGACTGAAACGTCATAAGCTCCTCTCTTTTATGTGCAGGTTATTTGTGTATTCCAGTCTCGGTATTGTGCCTTTTTGTTATTTATTTCCTTAAGTACTGTATGACCCCCCCTACACACTTAGTGCTCCCCATGAATGTAATAAATTTTTTGTTTTAATCTGCTGCTGAGCTAATGTGAGAACTTCTCCATTTCCTCTGCTGAGGAAATTACTGCTCTTGAGGAATACCTAACCTGTGGAGGTCATTACATCGAAAGCCACCTTGCCAGCATAAAGAAACATTTCTTGATATGAGTTGATTTACAGTATGGTATGCTATTTTATGTTCAGATTTGAGAGCAAGCACTTTGTAACATTCCATCCACCCAAAATCTGGGTCACTTTTATGTTGAGGGAAAAATGGAGCATTTTGTAATTGTTTTTCATGGAGTGCTAAACCTGGTGAGGTCTCAGTGCCTTGAGGAAATAAGAGATTTCATCCAAGGAAAGGAAAGAGAGGGTAACTAGTTCTTAGAACCAAGTGCCCTTGACTGGTGTCAGGACATCTTGAAAAAAAAACATTAGACTTGAACTTAAGTCTTTCATGTACAGTGGAACCTAGAGTTTTGGCCAGAAGCTTGGTCGAAAGTCAAAGAAATATTTCCTGTAAGAAATAATGTACAGTAAATCCAATTAATCAATTCCAGACACCACAAAAAATAACTATAGTATTATAAATATAGTACATAAATGACTAGATAACTCGTATTTACATACCTTTATTGAAGACACTTGTTGGCATATGGGAGAGGGAGGACTGATTATTGTTTGGAAGGAGAATCCCCCTCCATAAGAACTTCTGGTATCAAATTCCTATCTAGGGCTACTTCCCTTCTTTGTTTTTTAATGGCACTAGGACCAGCTTGAGAATCACTGGACCTCTGTTGCACAAATAAACTGTCTAGAGGTCTGTTTCTGGAATCTAGCATTTGCCTGAAATGGGACATGGTTTTGTCAATGAACATGTTGCAGAGATGCCTTGCTCAGGGTGATATTTCTTGGCAAAAGCAGCTGTATAGCCCTTGTGGCTTAGCGCTTCTTTTTTGATTATAATAATAATTGGCAAAAGCAAAGCTTGCACAAATCTTCTTAATGTCTGAAGGTGGTGGTTCCTCAGCTGTGATATGTTGCTGTTCCAGATGGTCTTGTAGCTCTTACTTGTGATCCTCCACCAACTCTTCCACATCCTGGCAATCACCCCCAACCCCATGGACAAAGACATAATAGATTCCACAACAGGTGTAGGGTTGATCTCAAAATCCAACTTGGCCACAATTTTCTCCAAGCAGAGTTCAAAGTCCTGGAAGTCACTCCCTGCCAAGGCTTATGCAGTTGTAAATATTGAAGTGATTCCTCCAGAACTCTCTCAGGGTCAATTCAATGTCTGAGGTCACTTCAAAGCACCTTTGAAACATTGCTTTCATGTAGAGATTTTTGAAGTTTGAGAGGAGTGGTGTTAGGAGGCAACAACTTTACAGTTAAAAAACTGAAGTCCATAGACAATTGATCTACCAAGTTTGGAAGATGAGCAGAAGCACTGTCCAGTACCAAGAGGCACTTGAGTGAATTTATTTTCCTGGAGGTATTTTTTTCACACTTGGGCCAAATACTTCATGGACCCAGTCAGTGAAAATTTACATTGTTAGCCCTCCACATCACATATATTGTTTTTCTTGAACACTGGGATTTTCAGTGATACACCAGTAAAGGCTTCACTTTGAAATCCCCACTAATGTTAGCCTATCCTTCATAGGCTTGTGTCCTGGCAATGCCTTTTCCTCCTGCATGATATATGTCCTCTGGCATTTTCTTCCAAAAGAGGCTTGTTTCATCACGACTGAAGACTTGTTGGGGGATGAATCCTTCAACCTCTACATAGTCCTTGAATTTGTGCATGAATTTTTCACCCACTTTTGTCTGAACTTGTAGCCTTGCCATGCCTTACAACACTGTATGCCACTATGCTTCTTAAAGTTGTCAAAACAGCCTCTGCTGGCCTTACATTCAATATTATTATTATTATTATAATCAAGGGGGAAGCGCTAAACCCGGAGGATTATACAGCGCCTGGGGGGGGGGGATGTGGAAGGCATTCAGGCTTAATTCGGGGAACTGGAGCACAGATCCAATTCCCTAAATCAAGAGCCCCTCACCAACATCAAGGAACCTTCCTTGAGGGGTTACATTCAATAACAGCATTCATTCCAGGGATTTTCTTTGAGATCCACGTGCAATTGCCTCGCCTTTTCACAAATGATCATCTCTAAGACATTATGCTGTATAGCCCTTGTGGCTTAGCACTTCTTTTTGATTAGATTATTATTATAAGACACTATTGCCTGTTTAGTGTATCATTGATCCACACCATCAGCATCTTCGATTGTCTGCGATCTATTTTTCTTCAGCATATCTACCCCTTTCGCAACATCAGCTTCCCTGATTTCTTTCTTTGCCAGGATGGAACTGATAGTTTTGTTTTTGCCATACATCCTGGCACGCGCATACTACTACTACCATCATATTTTTCGACAATTTCTTTCTTCAATTATATCATGTTTCTCATTTTCCTTACCAAAGGGCTGGCACTAGGAAATATTTTTTTGGGCCCATGGTTAATGATGTACTATCATCAAAAAGAAGCACTAAGCCAAGGTTAATTATGTAACAATCACACAAAAAACAATGGATTAAGAACATAAGAAAGGAGGAACACTGCAACAGGCCTGTTGGCCCATACTAGGCACGTCCTTTACAATTCATCCCACTAACAAACATTTGACCAACCCAATTTTCAATGCCACCCAAGAAACAAGCTCCGATGTGCAAGTCCCTCCCACTCATGTACTTATCCAACCTAAATTTGAAACTACCCAAAGTCCTAGCCTCAATAACCCAACTAGGTAGACTGTTCCACTCATCAACTACCCTATTTCCAAACCAATACTTTCCTATGTCCTTTCTAAATCTAAACTTATCTAATTTAAATCCATTACTGCGGGTTCTCTCTTGGAGAGATATCCTCAAGACCTTGTTAATATCCCCTTTATTAATACCTATCTTCCACTTATACACTTCGATCAGGTCTCCCCTCATTCTTCGTCTAACAAGTGAATGTAACTTAAGAGTCTTCAATCTTTCTTCATAAGGAAGATTTCTAATGCTATGTATTAATTTAGTCATCCTACGCTGAATGTTTTCTAACGAATTTATGTCCATTCTGTAGTATGGAGACCAGAACTGAGCTGCATAATCTAGGTGAGGCCTTACTAATGATGTATAAAGCTGCAGTATGACCTCTGGACTTCTGTTGCTTACACTTCTTGATATAAATCCCAGTAATCTATTTGCCTTATTACGTACGCTTAGGCATTGCTGTCTTGGTTTAAGGTTGCTGCTTACCATAACCCCCAAGTCCTTTTTGCAATCTGTATGGCTAAGTTCTACATTATTTAACTTATTGTGAAATGTTGGGATGAATGCACAGGGTAATGTTCACTGTAGGATTATTATTATAATAATCAAGGGGAAGCGCTAAACCCGGAGGATTATACAGCGCCTGGGGGGGGGAGGATGTGGAAGGCATTCAGGCTTAATTCGGGGAACTGGAGCACAGATCCAATTCCCTAAATCAAGAGCCCCTGGCCAACATCAAGGAACCTTCCTTGAGGGGCTCACTGTAGGAGAAAAAGCCAAACTGACAACACAGGCATGGGATGCTTTGTTTGGGTGCGGACAGGTCTGGTACGACAGCCAAAACTCAAGACAAAATTTAGGTGAAAAAAAGTGACCAAAACTTGAGGTTCCACTGTAGTTATTTTAAGAGCCCAGCATATTAAAGAAAAAGGGATGAAAATTATCCAGTATTCACAAATCCTGGTATAGGTCCCCCTCAAAAGTTCCTTGATGCTGATGAGGGAAATTGCATCTGTGCTCCAGTTCTATGAATTGAGCCTGAATACCTTCCACAGGCACTATAATCCTATGGGTTTAGTACTTCCCCCTTATTTATACTTCATAATATCTGGTATAGGTCAAATTATATTCATGGGGGAAGCACTAAACCCATAGAGGTCATGCAGTGCCTGGGGTATAGGTCAAAGCATAAAGGAATGGGGGTGTGAAAATCAATTTTTTTTTTCGTGATTACATATCGTAGACAAAATATTAAACCTACATGCATCTTCCAAGAAATTTATCAGGGGAAGCTCTGAATTCAGAGGAGTCAGTGTGGAGAATGGGGACACTCAGGTTGATCAAAGGAAGGGGGAAGGGGTTGTTGGTGCCAATGAATAGCTAATTGAACCTGACCTCACTTTCCTTGGATCCAACTCAATTGTCCTCTAATCCCTGACGCTGTGATTCTTACGGCTTTTAGTGTGCCACCCCTCTCCAACATAATTTAAGGAAAGAGAGGATAAATAGTCTTAAACCAAACTCCCTTACAGTACACTAATAAAATCACTAATGCATCGTAAAATAATGAAACCCACTAATATAATAAAGTATTGTGTATTCTCTAATCAAAATTACACAAAATACCTCATTTGTAATTTAGTGCAAACCAATAAAATTTTTTAGCACAATGCCAATTGGCATCACTACTTTTGGATTTAAAATTAATAGAATATCTATTCAATTAAGTTTATTTTTATGTAGCGTTTGGTAAAAATTACAATTCTTTAGCAGTAAAATTACTAAAATAAAAATCTGGCTTAGCCCTAAAAATATTTTACATTACATGGTGGTTGGGCTATAGTGTTTCAAACTGCAAAAACAAAAATAAATTTTATTGAACATGTTCATAAAAAAAAAAAAAAAAGGTTTACGCTTACACTAACATTTATTAACCAGTTAACACTTTGTTATTTAATTTAGTATCTTCCAGTTAACACGCTTCTTAATACTACTACCTGCATATTAATTTAATAAAACATTCTATACTTATATTTACATTACATAACTCTCACTGATATGAATCAACTGGCACTTTCATCGATAATTCGAAATTATTTGGGTTTGTAAAGGCATTTATTTTCCAACCCCCCCCCCCCTTTTCTTATCTAAATAGCCACGGAATAAACATTTGATATGATTATGAGGTAACTAGCATGACTAAAAGGAGTTCCATAATCTAGGGCAGGATTACATCATTAAGGTGAACAAAACACAAGTAATTACAACATTTTAATAACCATAAGAAATAGGAATTTCCTTGAGAGCATTTACATTGAACATTGTTCAATCACTTACAGTGTGTCCACCAGAATTTGGCTTCAAATGACTGGAAACTAATGAATGTATTTAAACCATTACTCTATGAACTGCAACAAAAAATTTGGTAACATCCTTAAGTTATTCCAAATGAAAGATGAGTTATTTACAAGCATGATAATCCTTATGATTTACTATCTTTCAGTGTACGAAATATTTCTATAGTAACTGCACCAATAGAGAAATATTTTATGTGCTCATTTTGGTTGCATTAGTCCACCCTAGTAAACTTCACGACACACTTTTTCTGTGTAGCTGCATATAGTTCTTTATAATAAAAAAATATAATAAAATGGTCCATGATTGATATTTACAGCCAGATAAGTCCCACTGATGTCTGCTTCAAGGGACAATTTCAATACTTAATATGGTACACTGCCAAAACTTTAATAAAGAAATACGAGTTTAAAAAAAAAATAAGGGGGGTATACCACCTAGGACAGCAACTGCATGTGACACACATTATTTAAACATGATGTGAAATCACAAAGTTTCTGCAAATCCCTGTATTTCATCCTCTGATCAATGACTTTTGATGAATTGCATATAATCTTCCACATTCAACAATCTAGTTTAATAAGCAAGACCTATTGAACAAAATACAGTCATCCAATTTCCTGAAGTACCATTCAGCACTGTTTCAAGCCTATGTGATTTTCAAGGTCATAAGGATGTTTAAGCGAGTCATCCTGTGTACCATTTTATATATACACACACACTCACACATCATATACTGCTTGCACTTGATCATATATATAAATATAAAAATATATAATATATACAATCAGTGCCGGCTCTGTGTTCCAAATCTTAACAAGTTGAGGCTGGGTCAAGTGGCACAAGACCCTTGGTGATCAATGCAGCATGCAAAGCATGAACTGCAAGGCCCCCAACTCCAGGGCAGTTCCACATAAGGCTGGTTAACTTACATTCCACGTATTAGTGGATGCATCGGTACCTGGAAATACAACACTATTATACAAACTTTTTTTTTTAAACTTTGAGTTGGTTGAAGTATCCAAAATTTACAGAACTCAATCTTTAAAAATACAATACTAAATTGTACATGTGTATATTATGTGAGGGAGTTTACTTCCTGGTAAAAGTAGGTCTTAGACAGGGATGTGTAACATCACCATGGTTTTTTTTTTTTTTTTTTTTTTCAACAAGTCGGTCGTCTCCCACCGAGGCAGGGTGACCCAAAAAAGAAAGAAAATCCCCAAAAAGAAAATACTTTCATCATCATTCAACACTTTCACCACACTCACACATTATCACTGCTTTTGCAGAGGTGCTCAGAATACAACAGCTTAGAAGCATATATGTATAAAGATACACAACATATCCCTCCAAACTGCCAATATCCCAAACCCCTCCTTTAAAGTGCAGGCATTGTACTTCCCATTTCCAGGACTCAAGTCCGACTATATGAAAATAACCGGTTTTCCCTGAATCCCTTCACTAAATATTACCCTGCTCACACTCCAAGAGATCGTCAGGTCCCAAGTATCATTCGTCTCCATTCACTCCTATCTAACACGCTCATGCACGCTTGCTGGAAGTCCAAGCCCCTCGCCCACAAAACCTCCTTTACCCCCTCTTTCCAACCCTTTCGAGGACGACCCCTACCCCTCTTTCCTTCCCCTATAGATTTATATGCTTTCCATGTCATTCTACTTTGATCCATTCTCTCTAAATGACCAAACCACCTCAACAACCCCTCTTCTGCCCTCTGACTAATGCTTTTATTAACTCCACACCTTCTCCTAATTTCCACACTCCGAATTTTCTGCATAATATTTACACCACACATTGGGCAATGTGTGGTGTAAATCACCACGGTTAATATATTTATAAATGGGGTTGTAAAAAGTAAATGCTAGGGTGTTGGGGAGAGGGGTGGGTTTAAATTATGGGGAATCAAATACAAAATGGGAAATGACACAGTTACTTTTTGCTGATGATACTGTGCTTTTGGGAGATTCTAAAGAAAAGTGGCTAAGGTTAGTGGACAAGTTTGGGAGTGTGTGTAAAGGTAGAAAGTTGAAAGTGAACACAGAAAAGAGTAAGGTGATGAGGGTATCAAATGATTTAGATAAAGAAAATTGGATATTAAATTGGAGAGGAGTATGGAAGAAGTGAATGTTTTCAGCTATTTGGGAGCTGACATGTCAGCGGATGGATTCATGAAGGATGAGGTTAATCATCAGAATTGATGAAGGAAAAAAGGCGAGTGGTGCGTTGAGGTATATGTGGAGAAAAAAACATTATCTATGGAGGCAAAGAAGGGAATTTATGAAAGTACAGTAGTACCAACACTCTCATATGGGTGTGAAGCTTGGGTTGTAAATGCTGCAGCGAGGTGGTGGTTGGAGGTAGTGGAGATGTCCTGTCTAAGGACAATGTGTGGCGTAAATATTATGCAGAAAATTCGGAGTGTGGAAATTAGGAGGTGGTGTGGAGTTAATAAAAGTATTAGTCAGAGGGGTTGCTGAGGTGGTTTGGTCATTTAGAGAGATTGGATCAAAGTAGAATGACATGGAGAGCGTATAAATCTGTAGGGGAAGGAAGGTGGGGTAGGGGTCGTCCTCGAAAAGGTTGGAGGGAGGGGGTAAAGGAGGGTTTGTGGGTGAGGGGCTTGGACTTCCAGCAAGCATGCGTTAGCGTGTTAGATAGGAGTGAATGGAGATGAATGGTATTTGGGACCTGACGATCTGTTGGAGGGTGAGCAGGGTAATATTTAGTGAAGGGATTGAAGGAAACTGGTTTTTATACAGCCGGACTTGAGTCCTGGAAATGGGAAGTACACTGCCTGCACTTTAAAGGAGGGGTTTGGGATATTGGCAGTTTGGAGGGATATGTTGTGTATCTTTATACGTACATGTATATGCTTCTAAACTGTCGTATTCTGAGCACCTCTGCAAAAACAGCGATTATGTATGAGTGAGGTGAAAGTGTTGAATGACAATGAAAGTATTTTCTTTCTTTTTGGGTCACCCTGCCTTGGTGGGAGATGGCTGACTTGTTAAAAAAAAAAATAATTATATACATATAAAGGCTGAAGAAACATCAGTGCCAGACATATTTAAGATTATGAAGCTGAACCAATTATTAAAGGCTGTCCCAGGATCTTTGTGGCTATTTACAACCCAGCTGGCCCCAAAAATGATGTAAGAGGAATGTGTATCACCCACCCAATGGGTAAAAGATGAACATAATGAAACAAATCATGGTTCAACCAACAATGTAAGGAGGTTAAAACCGGAAAGATGCTTTTAACCCTTTGACTGTCGCAAGCCCCTTTTTGAATCTGTCATTCTATGTCGCAAATTTTTTTTGAAAAAAAAAAAAAAAAAAAAAAAATCTTATGAAACGATAGAATCTTTTCCCGATGGTAATGACACCAAAAGTACGAAATTCAGTCGAAAACTCACAGAATTACGCTCCTGCGAAGTTAGCGGTCTCGGCGACTTCAACTTTGAGCCCTGTTTTTGGCTAATTCTGTTGTTCCAGTTGACCAAACTCATAGCTATTTCTTTGGAACTCCATTTTTTTCTATCAATTGAGTACAAGAAACCGCCCATTTACCAATTTGAACTACCCAATAAAGTGGTCAGAAATTGGCAATTTGGCCAATTTCATGCAAATTAAAAAAGATGCCAATTTCAAAATAAGGTCCAGAATAAACAATGTAGACATTCTTGGCACTAAAATAACATATCCTCTGTTCATTAGTCATGTCTCTAGGCCCCTCTTATATTACTACTGCTTTCTATTTTGAATTTTTTTATTCATATAAAATTTACTGTTGTGCAGACTACTGGATTATTGTAAAAATGCTATAAATAATATCAGAGCATTAGTGAAAGAATATTAGACTCCCCAGTTGACATGTATTGGACGCGTGGTGTGATTTGCTTACTCTCGAACATTTCCACTACTTTGAGCTCAATTTCAAGGTCGCTTTCATCGTGAAACTAATCAAAATCATCTCTATTTCTGCAATATGTTTTCCATTTTATCACAAGATACCATGAAAACGAGAATACAACGATAAATACTATACGAAAATACACCTCAAAGTCGGCGTTTTAATAATAAAAAAAAAAGTGGTCAGTTTTTTTTTCTCATTATGCACTGCATGCTGCAGGATTTTTTTTATGTGGTGCACACTGACCACACATACCCATTCTCTCACATGTGGGCCTACCAGCTTTCTCATGCTTGATCTGAAGCCATTAAGATTATTGAGTATATATACGTCCAAAACACTGGCTCCTAAGATGTATATATATAACCAAAACAGTCAAAGAGTTAAGAACAAAGGAACTATTGGAAGAGGCAGAAATATCTTCAGATGAGGGAAGGAGAATGTTGTAAAATGGACACAGCATCTAAGCCAAGACAAAAATCAAGCTGCTCCATTACCACATTAGAAAAAAAAAAAAAGGTATCACAAGGTAGTGTCATTAATACTGAGGAAAAGATTAGGAAGGATGTAATGAAGATTCCACACAATTGTAATGAAGATTCCACACAATTTAATATTAATTTGATATCAAGAAACTATAATAATGTGAATGCATCCTACTCGCTTCAAGCACTTATCCGACATGATTCTCATATCTTTACAAATTCTTTTCATTCTAAGGAAGGGTCTCCCAGTGTTGTACATCCTGTACTCGTTTTGAGATTTTTCTTGCCACTGTTTTAAGATTTTTCTCTGCCCAATGATAAACATTTGTTTGTACTTTGTTCTCTACTGTGGAAATTTCATGCTTCATTTGATACCTGCAAAAGATAATAAAAACTGTGGTTGTGTTTATCTATCTGCTATGAAGATGGGAAATATCAGAACTTTCTTCTTTGCTAAGGCTACACATTTCCTTTTATTTATGTAGTGACCATTTTGGTCTTTCAATTTCCTCGTACGTGTACTGTCTAAAGCAATTGGTTAAGGCCTTGGATATTGGGTGTCAGTGGTTCTGCTGCTGTTCTCAGCACCCTTAATGTTATTTGATCTCCATTGTTTTTTTCATGGCAAGATCTTTCGGAATTATTATAATTATAATCAAGAGCTAAACCTGTAAGGGTCAGTTCTTTCAGTAACTTCACAAATGTCCAGACTGCTGTTTTCAAGTAGCTCCTATTACTACAATAATCACAGAAGTAATAAGACCATACAAGTCACACAGCCCCTGACTTGTATGGGCCTGTATGACTTTCTAGAACCTTCTAAGTTTTTTTTTTTTCATTCGTCTCATGTTTCTTTAATGTCCCTCCCTACTTTACATTATTATTATTATAATCAAAAAGAAGTGCTAAACCACAAGGGCTTCCCTACTTTATAGCCTTATCGCTGGATCACATAGTTGGCATTATTACACAGCTATTGAGTATTATAATCAAAACTAAGAACTAAACCCAAGTATGGAGTAGCTTGGCTTTCAATGCTATATAAATTCTGAAATGTCCCTCCCCACTCATTTAGCATATTCATTCCTAGCTCACATTTCTCCATTTAATTTGCTTTGAACTACTTCCAGGCCCTTTTGTGGCTACCTTAGCAGCTTCACATTCCTGTTGCGAGCCATGGATTCTGTTTTTCTTCTTTCTTTCACATTCAAGATGAACCTTTGCTTCAATACTTAACCTGTTATTTTATACCCATCTTCTGTAGGCACCCAGCACTTCCTTATGGTTTATTTCACTTGTCATTCATTAAGATTGTCCTCTGCAAAAGTGGGACAAGAAACAACTTGGAAATTGAACAGACCACCCAGTAGCACTGGAGCATGTAGCCAAAGAAAGAACAATGATGAAGCATGTACCATTATCTTGTAGAAGAAAAAGAAGGTTCAACTATGCATTCTATTAACTGAATTAAAGACAATTTTTTTTTTTTTTTTAACAAGTCGGCCATCTCCCACAGAGGCAGGGTGACCCAAACAGAAAGAAAATCCCCAAAAAGAAATTACTTTCATTATTCAACACTTTCACCTCACTCACACAATCACTTTTTGCAGAGGTGCTCAGAACACAACAGTTTAGAAGCATATACGTATAAAGATAAACAACATATCCCTCCAAACTGCTAATATCCCAAACCCCTCCTTTAGAGTGCAGGCATTGTACTGAAATAAAGTTCAGTTTACAATGATTGTCATATTAACATTTAGAAAATAAACATTATGGTGATTAAAATCACAAGACCAAGATTTTCTTGTATTAGCTTTATGTAGGAAAAATTTCAGAAAAATTCAGGGGATATTCTCACACAGTTGATGCATTCATTAAAAGTTACTTGCAGAAAGTAGCCTCATTAAAACAGATACAAATGATTTTTAATCTTTGTAAATGCTTTCATTTCATATTACAATACACACCAAATTTTTATAAACAAATGCATTAGTTTATTCTGGAGTCAGATAAGATCAAAGCTTACTCGTAAAGATCAAAGAACTGGTTCTCAGAAGATGGCAAATTCAACCCTTGGGGAACTCAACCTAAACTTCTCCAGTTCTCAAATCGGCCTTTTATCATCATCCTCCTTAAATTAACTATTTAATCATACCTCACTGATGCTTCTTACTGTAAGGTATATTATATTTAATACTGATACTGGTATAGTGCTCCAGCACTTGTGGTAATACCAGTATTGAAATTAATATTCAAATTATTAACCATTAAGATCATTTCAATAATGAACTATATTACTATTAAAACATTCCTGTGGGAGCACTAAACCTATAGGTGTCATGAGAAAATTGGAGGCAATCCCTCACCAGCATCAAGGAACCTCCCTTGAGTATTAAGAGTAGAATACAAAATTTGGAAGAAAAAAAAATCAGCTAAAGAAAAGGAAAACTTGATTACCATGAATCAAGTCTGACTACTCTGAGGAACATTTGCATCAAATGAAAACTCATTTGACAATTATACGCAGCAATTTGTACAAATATGTCGCTTCTCTGAAATAACACTGTTACAAAATAGTATAGGCTGCCTATTGTAATACCCACACTTTGCATCAGAAAAATAAGACATGATCCAAGGTAATGTTGATAAAACAACTAAGTAAGTTCCTTCAGACCAAGGAAGACAAAATGGTAAATTATACACACCAATTCTATTCCGAGACCCCAGTTAAAGCAGGAGCAGCAGGTGTTGGTGAGCTCATGTGGCGACCTTGTTCCTTTACAATGGGATAAAAATATGGATGTTCCATAGCTTCATGAGCCGTGAGGCGCTCTTGGTGGTCATAGCGTAGTAATTTGTCCAAAAAGTCAAGTGCTTCTGGCGATACTAAGTGCTGATTCTCACTATGAACAAACCTTTCCCACCGCTTTCGTGAATGCCTGTGAAATAAAAATTAATGTATTTACATGAAATAAATGGTATATATCTATATTACTAGATGACAATAAATTATGAATAAATACTGATAAGACACCACAAGTACAACTCTGCTCCTGTAACTACAAATAGGCAATCACTGCACATTTGAACCTGTTCAACAGAAAAACATGGTTATAGTTCAGAATCAAAAAAGGGGTTTGGGATATTGGCAGTTTGAAGGGACATCTAAACTGTCATACGAGCACCTCTGCAAAGACGGTGATCATATACTATGAGTGATGGCGAGTGTTGAATAATAATGAAAGTTTTCTTTTTGAGTCACCCTGCCCTGGTGGGAAATGGCTGACGTGTTGAATAAAAAAAAAAAAATTATTTTTATGTAGTAAACAAGTAGTGTTTTTCCATTTTAAAAACATTTACTTGCCAATGTAAGCAGGGGAGAGAAAATTTGGTAATACTGAGACCACTTTAATATGTACAAACAGTAATTAAAGATAAAGATTTGAAGTTGCAGACAATGCTACAGAATGAGAGAGAGAACATCAGTGAGACTCATGAAAGAACGTATGTAAGGTTGAGCAGAGATGTCCGGTGCTAGGTAAAAGTGTTAGCAGTGTGGTACTATGTAAGGGTGTACAGGTGTCAGGAGTTCTGTAAAGATGTACAGGCATCTGGTGCTATGTAAAGGTGTACAGAGATGGCCGATATGTAAAAGGTGTATGTACTATAGGTACTATATAAAGTGTACGTATGTGGCTGGTACTACGTAAAGTGTATGCTAGTTTCCCGTATGGCAAAGGTGTCTGGTACTATGCAAAGGCATATGTAGGAGTTTGGAGCTCTATAAAGTGCATGGAGGTGTGAGGAACTATGGAAATGAGTATGGAGACATCTGGTTCTATTAAAGATATACCGAGGTATCTAGTGCTATCTTCAGTTGTATAGAAAAATCTGTTGTGCAAAGATAAATGAATGGATTAGTGTTACCTTGACTTAAGAGTTTAATTTGTTCCGTGACCGAGCTCGTAACTCAATTTGCTCGTATATCAAATAAATTTCCCTCATTGAAATTAACTGAAATGCCATTAATCCTTTCCATCCCCACAAAAAAGAAACCACCCCAGTAGAAAATACTTCAATATAACGCTAATATCAACTCTACGGCTTATTTATCTATCAGAATTGATCTAATGATATAATAAACACTAAGTAACATAGAAACATGATATATACTCTAGAATGAATAAAATAGGCCATAATATGGAGTGTGTCCAGGACCAGTCCGAGCACATAAAATCATTACTGTTCCTTGCTATAACATGTTCTTTGGTCCTGGGTAAGAGAAAACAGAGATTTTGAGAGGCTAACTATACTAGATCACTAGTGCAGTGATATATGAATATCTCAGAAGTTATTGACTTATTTCATGAAGCCCACCATTTATTATTGAAGTAAATGCAATAATATTGACAGAAATCACAAAGAAGATTGTTCTACAATTGGCTTGTGGAATATTGGAAATATTCCAAATATTTTGGGATTAGTGTGGGAGTAAAGGGCAAGATATTTTGCAAATGTCATAAACTTAGCAACTTTATTTTTTGCAGAATAACTGAAGATAATTACAGTTACCTCCAGTAAGAACATTGCACTAACATTGTTTTACAAGTACCAAGTCCCAAAATCACCTTTCATTGTGCAATTTAGGCCGGGGTTCTTGCCAAATGTTATTTTCAGTAAATTTTTAATTTTTTTTTTTGCTTGTAACTCGGATTTTGGCTGAACTCAAAAGCAAAAAATCGACCGAGCACTGCTTGTAACTCTGAAAACTCTAAGTTGGGGCACTCATAAGTCAAGGCATGACTGTACAGTGGACCCTCGCCTAACGAACGCATCACATAACGTTAAATCCGCCTAACAAAGCGTTTGAGTGTAAACATTTTGGCCCGCATAACGACAAAAAACTTGCCCAACGTGATTCCTCACAAACCTGTCCGTCCAGCCTGAGCGCCTCGGCTGCCTTGTCGTCATTGTTTACAAGCCAGGGTGGCCGGTTGCATGCATACATTTGATACATTTTGTATTATTCCATTGTTTATAGTGCTTGTAACTGCTAAATAAGCCACCATGGGCCCAAAGAAAGCTTCTAGTGCCAACCCTGTGGTAAAAAGGGTGAGAAATACTATCATACCACAGTCAGGTGTTGCTGCACCATGGTCAGCTGCCGCTGCAGCGCCACATTCAGCTGCCGCTGCAGCGCCACAGTCAGCTGCCGCTGCAGCGCCACCGTCAGCTGCACCGCCACAGTCAGCTGCACCGCCACAGTCAGCTGCACCGCCACAGTCAGCTGCACCGCCACAGCCAGCTGCACCGCCACAGCCAGCTGCACCGCCACAGCCAGCTGCACCGCCACAGCCAGCTGCACCGCCACAGCCAGCTGCACCGCCACAGCCAGCTGCACCGCCACAGCCAGCTGCACCGCCACAGCCAGCTGCAGCGCCACAGCCAGCTGCCGCTGCAGCGCCACAGCCAGCTGCCGCTGCAGCGCCACAGCCAGCTGCCGCTGCACCGCCACAGCCAGCTGCCGCTGCACCGCCACAGCCAGCTGCCGCTGCACCGCCACAGCCAGCTGCCGCTGCACCGCCACAGCCAGCTGCCGCTGCACCGCCACAGCCAGCTGCCGCTGCACCGCCACAGCCAGCTGCCGCTGCACCGCCACAGCCAGCTGCCGCTGCACCGCCACAGCCAGCTGCCGCTGCACCGCCACAGCCAGCTGCCGCTGCACCGCCACAGCCAGCTGCCGCTGCACCGCCACAGCCAGCTGCCGCTGCACCGCCACAGCCAGCTGCCGCTGCACCGCCACAGCCAGCTGCCGCTGCAACCGCCACAGCCAGCTGCCGCTGCACCGCCACAGCCAGCTGCCGCTGCACACCGCCACAGCCAGCTGCCGCTGCACCGCCACAGCCAGCTGCCGCTGCACCGCCACAGCCAGCTGCCGCTGCAACACCGCCACAGCCAGCTGCCGCTGCACCGCCACAGCCAGCTGCCGCTGCACCGCCACAGCAGCTGCCGCTGACACCGCCACAGCCAGCTGCCGCTGCACCGCCACAGCCGCCGCTGCACCGCCACAGCAGCTGCCGCTGCACCGCCACAGCCAGCTGCCGCATGCAACCGCCACAGCCAGCTGCCGCTGCACACGCCACAGTCCAGCTGCCGCTGCAACCGCCACAGTCAGCTGCCGCTGCAACCGCCACAGTCAGCTGCCGCTGCGCACCGCCCACAGTCAGCTGCCGCTGCACCGCCACAGTCAGCTGCCGCTGCACCGCCACAGTCAGCTGCCGCTGCACCGCCACAGTCAGCTGCCGCTGCACCGCCACAGTCAGCTGTCGCTGCACCACAGTCAGCTGTCGCTGCACCACAGTCAGCTGTCGCTGCACCACAGTCAGCTGTCGCTGCACCACAATCAGCTGTTGCTGCACCACAGTCAGCTGTTGCTGCACCACAGTCAGCTGTTGCTCCACCACCATCAGCTGTACTACTAGATGATGTGGAGTGTGTGTTGTTGGTGTGGCTTAACGTGAAACAATTACCGAGAAACGAGTAATCCCAGAGGGTTAGCCACCCAGGATAACCCAAGAAAGCCAGTGCATCATCGAGGACTGTCTAACTTACTTCTATTGGGGTCCTTAATCTTGTCCCCCAGGATGCGACCCACAACAGTTGACTAACACCCAGGTGAACAGGAAAAAAATGCCTGGAACTAGTGCTCATATTGGTGAATTGAAGGCCAGCAAAGGTTTGTTTGAGAGATTTAAGAATTGTAGTGGCATACACACTGTGATATGGCATGGTGAAGCTGAAAAATTCATCCCCCAACAAGTGTTCAATTGTGATGAAACAGGCCTTTTCTGGAAGAAAATGCCAAACAGGACCTACATTACTCAGGAGGAAAAGGCACTCCCAGGACACATGCCTGTGAAAGACAGGCTAACTCTCATGTTTTGTTGTAATGCTAGTGCGGATTGCAAAGTGAAGCTTTTACTCATGTATCACTGAAAATCCAAGAGTGTTCAAAGAAAAACAGTGTCTCATCACTCATCAATACTCTTCAATAAAGGTAAGTGTCATTTTAACATTTATGTAGTTATTGTGCACGTCTTATTGTTTTCTTTGTAGGGAAATGTATATTTCATGAAAAAATTTTTTTTAATGCTTTTGGCTGTCTGGAACGGATTAATTCAATTTCCATTATTTCTTATGGGGAAAATTAACTCGGCTAACGATAATTTCGGCTAACGATGAGCTCTCAGGAACAGATTAATATCGTTAGGCGAGGGTCCACTGTATATACAAAATTATATTAAGGTTATGTAAGAGTGACTTATGACGTTTGAGTGGATGACAGCATAGTAACAGAGGATACAGTTAAAAAAATTAAATATTAAACATTAGTTCACCTACCTTCCAAGAATATCATTGAACCTAGGATCTAGCTCAATTTGATATTTCTCAACATATTCATACAACTCTTCAGTGCCCAACACCTTGGCAATGCGTACCAACTGGTCATAATTGTCGTGACCGTGGAAGAAGGGTTCTTTACGGAATATCATACTCGCCAGCATACAACCCAATGACCACATATCAAGAGAGTAATCATACATCTGAAACAAAAAATACTCTTGTGTAGCAAGCACAGTACAACAAACTTCACTCATCAGCTTTGGTTCCCATACATTTATTTACCTAAGCTCCTTTAAATTTGCTTAATAATCTTCAAATTCCGTATATACCAAGTTGTATCACATCTGCATGCCATCAATTGACTGTATATTTAAGCCAGATCTTGTTCAGCAAGATTAATGCACTTTTGCTCCTGCTATTTTATTGAAAATGGTACAATACCTAGGTAACAAATCCACCTAGGATATATTTATTTTTGCATAAAAATGAGAGTATGTATAATTTCCTGTTTGTAAATATCTGTGTTTGTGAGAATAAAAGAATATGAGAAATGTAGACAGTATGCCTACTCCACATTTGAAATAGCTCCAACTACTAGAGTAGTTGCTGGCCTAAAGCCTGTTTTTGATAGCAGCCACCAGAGGGCTAGCACTGAGATCAGTCCTTGTGGCTAGCTCTCACCCTCACTCTGACACTGCCTTCCCTAAGGACACCACTTGCCACTCCCCTTGGAAGCTTGGCTTTGGGCTATCTTCATTCACGTCTGTCTTGGAAGAACTCTCCCAATAAACCACACTCTAGTCTACAAGCGTTTACGTACCCTGCATTGCCCCTACACGCCAGCTATCTTCCATGCAAAACATACACATTACAGAAAGAATGAAATGAAATGAAGACGTGAAAAGGAGAACGAGAGAAAATCTGAAAGAATGTGAGCAATGCATATATAAACATCAGATAAGCTTATCCTAACAATGAATTTCCTAATTAGAGTCAAGTGTGAGATCTCACCAAAAAATGTTTTAACACCTGTCCATTTGCTTCCCAAATTTCTTGAAGGAGAGTTCCCAGGGAAAGTGAGTTATCATACATGCATTAGAAATTCTTACCTGGTGTATCTAGTGTTTGCAAAAGATAATTAAAAATTAGGAGAATAATTTTTATAATTGTATACAAAATGCAACAATAGAACTCTAGCATTTCTAAGAAATGCTTTACAACTGCCAAAAAATAGCAAGTGATCAAATGTTTAAATAGGGAAAAATCTGAGAGCAAATAGGTGTCTGTGGTCAATTATAAGCTCTGATTAAATTAAAAATTTAGCTATCTTTAATACTTTTTTGTTTATAAGTTATGAGAGAGGCATTAGTATATATTATATAGGACTCCCATTAGAAAAGTTGTTAAATGCTGACCTGGTAATCTACGAGTAGTTCTGGACCCTTGAAGTATCTGGAGGCCACTCTAACATTGTACTCTTGTCCTGGGTGATAAAATTCCGCCAACCCCCAATCTATGAGTCGTAATTTCCGATGTTCATGATCAATCATGACATTGTGGGGTTTAACATCTCGATGCATTATTCCCATACTGTGACAATAGTCTAGAGCCTGTAAGAGAAATATAAAATGTTGACAAATAACATACAGAAAAAAAATTTCTTCCTCCCATGCCAATGCTTTCTTCTGCTTTTAACTGCATCCTTCAATTTTTCAAGAGTCCATTGATTAAATCTGAATGAAGCATTTATTAATGCAGTGTAAATATGTGGCAGATGCAACTGGCATTTAATCTTCACAAGGTGAAACACAACCTAGTGTCCTTAAGGATTATAGTACTCAAGATCTACGGCATACTGTACTACTACTTAACCAACATTTTATACAATGTGAGTATATCTGAGAACAGAATGAAAGCTTATAGCTTTTTGACCCTTATGTCTCCAGTACCTAAGAAATATTAAGTCCAGACATTATCGTTAAAAAAAAAAAAATACTCGGTGTAGGTGCTTTATCCTAAGATATAATAATTAAAAAAATATCCACATCAAGGCTGTCACAGCTCTCCCCAGTGCACAGTTTTTGGGTAAGCATTAAACTATAGGAGTTGCATTAATATTTTTGTATGCATATACAGGGTTTACAATATCAAATCCTTTCCAATACAACCCACACTTTTGGGATGAATATAGAGATGATTTTTGGGTACATCCTGGACTTTTATCTGTTGCCACTTGGTAACAGTCAATATGTCTCTGAACTTTGTCCACAGTTTCCTCTTTGAAAGTGGGAGTTACATGCAAATTATTCTTGCAAAGATGTGACAAACATCAAATCCTCTTGAAAAAACAAGATTTGGAAAAACTTGCCATAACCAGGATTAAATTTATTTTTATTAACATATCAGCTGTTTCCTACCATGGGGGGGAGGGGGGGGGCACCTGAAAAAGAAGAAACCCTTTCATCATCATTCACTCCATCACAGTCTTCCCAGAAGTATGCTACAGGTACACGACAGTTTAAAAATTGCAACATATTTCCACCTCTCCCAAGCACAGGCACTGTACTTCCCACCTTCAAGACTTGAGTGTGGCTAAGTGGTTTCCCTGAATCCCTTCATAAATATTACTTTGCTCACACTCCAACAGCACGTCAAGTCACAAAAACCATTTGCCTCTATTCACTCCTGTCTAACATGGTCACACGCACTTGCTGGAAGTCTAAGCCCCTCACACACAAAACCACCTGCACCCCCTCCCTCCAACCTTTCCTAGGATAACCCCTACCCCACCTTCCTTCCACTACAGATTTATACACCCTACAAGTCATTCTATTTTGTTCCATCTTCTCTAAATGTCCGAACCACCTCAACAACCCCTCCTCGGCCCTCTGGATAATACCTTTAGAAACCCTGCACCTCCTAATATTCAAACTACAGCATAATATTCACACCACACACTGCCCTCAGACAACACCTCCACTGCCTCTAGCCTTCTCTTTGTTGCAATATTCACCACCCATGCTTCACACCCACATAAGAGCATAGGTACCACTATACTCTCATACAATCCCCTCGCTTCCATGGTAATGTCCTGTCTCCAGGTTCCTCAGTGCACTGCTCACTTTTTCCCCTCATCAATTCTATGGTTCACCTCATCTTTCATAAACCCACCTGCTGACAAGTCAACTCCCAAATATCTGAAACACATTCACTACCTCCAATCTGATATCCAATCTTCCATCACCTAATTTTTGTTATTCTTATCACTTTGCTCTTTCCTATGTTCACTTTCAATTTCCTTCTTTTATACACCTTCCCAAATTCATTCACCAACCTCTACAACTTCTCTTCAGAATCTTCCAAAAGCACTATCTTCAGCAAAAAGCAACTGTGACAACTCCCACTTTGTGCTATATTCCTTATCTTTCAATCCTACACCTCTTCCCAACACCTAAGCATTCATTTCTTGCAACCCCATCTATAAATATATTGAACTATGGTGACGTCACACATCCCTGTCTAAGGCCTCATTTTACTAGGAAATAAACTCCCTCTCTCCTACATACCCTAACCCAAGCCTCATTATCCTCATAAAACTCTTACTGCTTTCAGTAAGCTACCATCTATTCCATACATTTGCAACATCAGCCACATTGCTCCCCTATCCACTATCATATGCCTTTTCCAAATCCATAAAATCTTTGCATAATTATCCAGTAGCATTGTAAAATCAATGAAGCAACAACAAAATCAGCTGGCAACTTAAAATTAGTCCAGTATCATAATTTCAGATGCATCCCTTAATTTTGATATACTGTACTGTAGGAATAATCTAAGCTATTAGTGCTTGCCAACTTTTAAACTAGCACAAATCTTGCAATTTATAAACATTTCCAGTAATGATGGAACTTCCAAAGGTTAGGACTGCAATGTACAATATACAGGAATGAAACCAAAAGCACTTCTTACCTTTATAAGCTCATAGAGATAGTATCTAATATCATAGTCATTAAGCGTCTGGTATAGCTGTTTGAAATCAGTGTTGTTAACATGTTCAAACACCAATGCTGGTGTGCGAGAAACTGGATCTTTCACGACAGCCTGGAGTGTGATGATGTTGGTCCCACCTCGCAGATTTTCCAGTATCTTAATTTCTCTCTTAATCTTCTTCTTCTTGACAGGCTGAATAATAAAAAAATGCATCTAGCAAAATGCATACACAACCCTCAGCCAACTGTAAATACTCAAAGTGTAAAACAAGAACAATGACTAAAATACCCCAACCCATAACACTAGGGCATTTGAGCTCAATATACAAAATATTTGAAGATGGGTTCACAGCTAAAGGACAAATGAAAAATGATCCCTTAAAGGCTGATTTTAGAAAATTTCTTTAATACAAGGGATTTAAAAAAAAAAAAACATTTATCTTACAGCTAGAAGATAAAAACAAAATGTATATTCCTTTATATACATTTTTTTTTTTCAACAAGTCGGCCGTCTCCCACCAAGGCAGGGTAACAAAAAAAAGAAAGAAAATCCCCAAAAAGAAAATACTTTCATCATCATTCAACACTTTCACCACACTCGCACATTATCACTGTTTTTGCAGAGGTGCTCAGAATACAACAGTTTAGAAGCATATACGTATAAAGATACACAACATATCCCTCCAAACTGCCAATATCCCAAACCTCTCCTTTAAAGTGCAGGCATTGTACTTCCCATTTCCAGGACTCAAGTCCGACTATATGAAAATAACCGGTTTCCCTGAATCCCTTCACTAAATATTACCCTGCTCACACTCCAACAGATTGTCAGGTCCCAAGTACCATTCGTCTCCATTCACTCCTATCTAACACGCTCACGCACACTTGCTGGAAGCCCAAGCCCCTTGCCCACAAAACCTCCTTTACCCCCTCTCTCCGACCCTTTCGAGGACGACCCCTACGGCGCCTTCTTTCCCCTATAGATTTATATGCTTTCCATGTCATTCTACTTTGATCCATTCTCTCTAAATGACTAAACCACCTCAACAACCCCTCTTCTGCCCTCTGACTAATACTTTTATTAACTCCACACCTTTTCCTAATTTCCACACTACGAATTTTCTGCATAATATTTACACCACACATTGCCCTTAAACAGGACATCTCCACTGCCTCCAACCGTCTCCTCGCTGCTGCATTTATCACCCAAGCTTCACACCCATATAAGAGTGTTGGTACTACTATACTGTCATACATTCCCTTCTTTGCCTCCATAGATAACGTTTTTTGACTCCACATATACCTCAACGCACCACTCACCTTTTTTTCCCTCATCAATTCTATGATTAACCTCATCCTTCATAAATCCATCCGCCGACACGTCAACTCCCAAGTATCTGAAAACATTCACTTCTTCCATACTCCTCCTCCCCAATTTGATATCCAATTTTTCTTTATCTAAATCATTTGACACCCTCATCACCTTACTCTTTTCTATGTTCACTTTCAACTTTCTACCTTAACACACATTCCCAAACTCATCCACTAACCTTTGCAATCTTTCTTTAGAATCTCCCATAAGCACAGTATCATCAGCAAAAAGTAACTGTGTCAATTCCCATTTTGAATTTGATTCCCCAAAATTTAATCCCACCCCTCTCCCGAACACCCTAGCATTTACATATACTTCCTTTACAACCAAATCTATAAATATATTAAACAACCATGGTGACATTACACATCCCTGTCTAAGACCTACTTTTACCGGGAAGTAGTCTCCCTCTCTTCTACACACCCTAACCTGAGCCTCACTATCCTCATAAAAACTCTTTACAGCATTTAATAACTTACCACCTATTCCATATACTTGCAACATCTGCCACATTGCTCCTCTATCCACTATCATATGCCTTTTCTAAACCCATAAATGCAATAAAAACTTCCCTACCTTTATCTAAATACTGTTCACATATATGCTTCAACGTAAACACTTGATCTACACATCCCCTACCCACTCTGAAACCTCCTTGCTCATCCGCAATCCTGGAAATATAAACATATATGCAGTATAATGTGATCCTTTATTGACTACATTTCGCCCATACAGTGAGCTTTTTCAAGTCACAAACAGATCTACCTGGGGTGGAAGGGACGCGAGTATTTATAGTCAGGTTCAGAATGCTGAGGTCAGGTGGAGAATGCTGCATCTGATGATGTACCGAGTGGGGTTACAGTCAAAATCTTGGGTAGCTTGGAAAGGAGATTGGATAAGTTTGTGAGCAGACCTTCTACAGTGTTCTTCCATTCCTGTGTTCTTATGTGGGATAGCGATGAAGAAGTTCCTTGGCAAGTGGTTCAGCTATGTTATAGAAGCCACTATTCTGGTTGAAGTTGTCGGATATAGAAATAAGTGATGATTCCAGGATTCTTCGGTATTGAGTGTTGTCTTCTGTGGCGATAAGTCTTGAGTTTCTGTAGTTTATCAAGTGGTTGTGTGAATTACGGTGTTGTACACAGGCATTCCTTGTGTCGTCAGACCTGCTTGCGTACTGGTGTTCTGAAATACGTGTTTGGAGGTCCCTTGATGTTTCGCCCACGTATAATTTGTTGCAGTCATTACAAGGGATTATATATACCCCTGCAGAGGGTGGAAGCTTGTCCTGTCTATCACTGGTAATGTCCTTGATGGTCGTGGTTGTGGAGGTAGATACTTGGAATGAGGTCTTGGAAAAGATGTTGGAAACATGTTTGGCAATGGAGTTGGTGGGGAGGACTATGTATCTCTTCTTGGTAGTGTCTTCTCTGGGTGTGTTGAAGATGTTTAATGCCTGTCGTCTGCAGTCTCTGATGAAGTGACGAGGATAGTGGAGTTTAGAAAATACTTGTTCAATTATCGTGCATTCTTCAAGAAACTCATTGCTGCAGATTCTAAGTGCACGCAGGAAGAAGCCTATAATTACACCACGTTTAGTTTTGGTGTCGTGGTGAGAGTAGAAGTGGAGAAGATCATTTTGGTTGGTGGGTTTTCGATAGACTTTAAAACGAAGTTCGTGGTCAGCTTTGCAGAGCAGAACATCAAGGAAAGGAAGAGTGTTGTCGACTTCTTCTTCAAGTGTGAACTGGATTGAAGGCTCGACCTGGTTGAGCTTGTCTTGGAGAGCTTGAACGTTGAAGCGTTTAGGAGTTATGAGGAGAATGTCGTCAACATAACGGAGCCAGGTGACAGACGAAGGAATAATGGTGGAGAAACGTTCGGCTTCTAGATGTTCCATGTATAGGTTCGCCAGGACCGCACTGAGTGGCGAACCCAAAAACTACAGACACAATGACTCCGACTTCCAAAAAGGCTATCTTCAAGGCATCATTTCAGAAGCCATCTCAACAAGCAGCTCCCCAGTCATACCTCGACGTTACATCAATGCACTCAAAGGTTTAGCAGAAGACACGACCATCAGGGTCACCACCGCTGATAAAGGAGGTGGTGGTGTTATCATGAACACTGACAATTACAGGAACAAAATGCTCAATCTACTTAATGACCCAGATACCTACAAACCTCTCACGACTAACCAAGTGGACAACCTTACTAAAACTTTTCTTCAAAGGACTCGCTGCATTCTGAGGGGCTCAGAACAAGGGAAGAAACTTCTGCACACCATGCCCAGCTACCCCAGACCTGCCAGAATGTACGGCCTGCCAAAAACTCACAAGCCTGGTATCCCACTGAGGCCCATATCCTCGGGAATAGGCAGTGCTCCCCACCAGCTCTCAGGAATTCTCGCAAAACACCTCTCTAAACTCTTGGGTACTATCAGTCCAGCACATCTCAAACACTCGGGTGATCTTCTCAATCGCATTCGCAACATCAACATCAGGAACAAGAAACTTTCCAGCCTTGACGTGACTTCCCTATTCACCAAAGTACCTACTACACAAGCCATCGATCTCTTGCGCAGGAAAATTGACGATTCACTTGATCTTCCCATTCCAGCCAGCGATTTCATTGACCTTGTTGAACTATGTGTTGGCTTTACGTGTTTCTCTTTCGAAAATCACTTTCAGCAGACTTTTGGACTACCCATGGGTTCGCCACTCAGTGTGGTCCTGGCGAACCTATACATGGAACATCTAGAAGCCGAACGTTTCTCCACCATTATTCCTTCGTCTGTCACCTGGCTCCGTTATGTTGACGACATTCTCCTCATAACTCCTAAACGCTTCAACGTTCAAGCTCTCCAAGACAAGCTCAACCAGGTCGAGCCTTCAATCCAGTTCACACTTGAAGAAGAAGTCGACAACACTCTTCCTTTCCTTGATGTTCTGCTCTGCAAAGCTGACCACGAACTTCGTTTTAAAGTCTATCGAAAACCCACCAACCAAAACGATTCTCTCCCACTTCTACTCTCACCACGACACCAAAACTAAACGTGGTGTAATTATAGGCTTCTTCCTGCGTGCACTCAGAATCTGCAGCAATGAGTTTCTTGAAGAAGAATGCACGATAATTGAACATATTTCTAAACTCCACTATCCTCGTCACTTCATCAGAGACTGCAGACGACGGGCATTAAACATCTTCAACACACCCAGAGAAGACACTACAGAGAAGAGATACATAGTCCTCCCCACCAACTCCATTGCCAAACACGTTTCCAACATCTTTTCCAATACCTCATTCCAAGTATCTACCTCCACAACCACGACCATCAAGGACATTACCAGTGATAGACAGGACAAGCTTCCACCCTCTGCAGGGGTATACATAATCCCTTGTAATGACCAACAAATTATACGTGGGCAAAACATCAAAGGACCTCCAAACACGTATTTCAGAACACCAGTACGCAAGCAGGTCTGACGACACAAGGAATGCCTGTGTACAACACCGTAATTCACACAACCACTGATAAACTACAGAAACTCAAGACTTATCGCCACAGAAGACAACACTCAATACCGAAGAATCCTGGAATCATCACTTATTTCTATATCCGACAACTTCAACCAGAATAGTGGCTTCTATAACATAGCTGAACCACTTGCCAAGAAACTTCTTCATCGCTATCCCACATAAGAACACAGGAATGGAAGAACACTGTAGAAGGTCTGCTCACAAACTTATCCAATCTCCTTTCCAAGCTACCCAAGATTTTAGACTCTGTAACCCCACTCGGTACATCATCAGATGCAGCATTCTCCACCTGACCTCAGCATTCTGAACCTGACTATAAATACTCGCGTCCCTTCCACCCCAGGTAAATCTGTTTGTGACTTGAAAAAGCTCACTGTATGGGCGAAACGTAGTCAATAAAGGATCACATTATACTGCATATATGTTTATATTTCCATTGTGTCGGTATTTTATACCATTTATTTCCATCCGCAATCCTACATTCTGTCTTACCTCTAATTCTTTCAATTATAACCCTACCATACACTTTTCCTGGTATACTCAGTAAACTTATTCCTCTATAATTTTTAGTCTCTTTTGCCCCCTTTCCCTTTATATAAAGGGACTATACATGCTCTCTGCCAATCCCTAGGTACCTTCCCCTCTTTCATACATTTATTAAACAAAAATACCAACCACTCCAACATTATATCCCCCCCTGCTTTTAACATTTCTGTCATGATGCCATCAGTTCCAGCTGCTTTACCCCCTTTCATTTTACGTAAAGCCTCACGTACCTCCCCCACACTTACATTCTGCTCTTCTTCACTCCTAAAAGATGGTATACCTCCCTGACCAGTGCATGAAATTACTGCCTCTGTTTCTTCCTTAACATTTAAGTTCCTCAAAATATTCTCGCCATCTACCTAATACCTCCCTCTCCCCATCTACTAACTCCCCTACTCTGTTTCTTAACTAACAAATCCATGCTTTCCCTAGGCTTTCTTAACTTGTTTAACTCACTCCAAAATTTTTTCTTATTTTCATTAAAATTTCTTGACAGTGCCTCTCCCACTATCATCTGCTCTCCTTTTGCACTCTCTCACCACTCTCTTTACCTTTCTTTTACTCTCCATATACTCTGCTCTTCTTATAACACTTCTGCTTTGTAAAAACCTCTCATAAGCTACCTTTTTCTCTTTTATCACACCCTTTACTTCATCATTCCACCAATCACTCCTCTTTCCTCCTGCCCCCACCCTCCTATAACCACAAACTTCTGCCCCACATTCTAATACTGCATTTTTAAAACTATTCCAACCCTCTTCAACCCCCCCACTACTCATCTTTGCACTAGCCCACCTTTCTGCCAATAGTTGCTTATATCTCACCCGAACTTCCTCCTTCCTTAGTTTATACACTTTCACCTCCCTCTTACTTGTTGCCACCTTCCTCTTTTCCCATCTACCTCTTACTCTAACTGTAGCTACAACTAAATAATGATCCGATATATCAGTTGCCCCTCTATAAACATGTACATCCTGGAGCCTACCCATCAACCTTTTATCCACCAATACATAATCTAATAAACTACTTTCATTACGTGCTACATCATACCTTGTATATTTATTTATCCTCTTTTTCATAAAATATGTATTACTTATTACCAAATCTCTTTCTACACATAGCTCAATTAAAGGCTCCCCATTTACATTTACCCCTGGCACCCCAAATTTACCTACTACTCCCTCCATAACATTTTTACCCACTTTAGCATTGAAATCCTCAACCACCATTACTCTCACACTTGATTCAAAACTCACCACGCATTCACTCAACATTTCCCAAAATCTCTCTCTCTCCTCTACACTTCTCTCTTCTCCAGGTGTATACATGCTTATTATAACCCACTTTTCACATCCAATCTTTATTTTACTCCACATAATCCTTGAATTAATACATTTATAGTTCCTCTTTTCCTGCCATAGCTTATCCTTCAACATTATTGCTACTCCTTCTTTAGTTCTAACTCTATTTGAAACCCCTGACCTAATCCCATTTATTCCTCTCCACTGAAACTCTCCCACCCCCTTCAGCTTTGTTTCACTTAAAGCCAGGACATCCAGCTTCTTCTCATTCATAACATCCACAATCATCTCTTTCTTATCATCTGCACAACATCCACGCACATTCAGACTTCCCACTTTGACAATTTTCTTCTTATTCTTTTTAGTAATCTTTACAGGAAAAGGGGTTACTAGCCCATTGTTCCCGGCATTTTAGTTGACTTTTACAACACGCATGGCTTACGGAGGAAAGATTCTTATTCCACTTTCCCATGGATATAAAAGGAAAAGTAATAAGACAAAGAACTATTAAGATAAAATCAAAGAAAACTCAGATGAGTGTGTATAAATAAATGTGTACATGTATGTGTAGTGTGACCTAAGTGTAAGTAGAAGTAGCAAGACGTACCTGTAATCTTGCATATTTATGAGACACAAAAGACACCAGCAATCCTACCATCATGTAAAACCATCACAGGCTTTCGTTTTACACTCACTTGGCAGGACGGTAGTACCTCCCTGGGTGGTTGCTGTCTACCAACATATCTTGTGTTATATTCCTGTCCTGTAATTGCCTACATTTCCTACATAGTATTTACAACACAATTGTAACACTGATATATTTTAGCAAGTAAACACTCTTACTGTTCTACCTTGAGAATCTTGACAACACATTTTTCATTGTTGTTGATGTTTACAGCCTCGAACACTTCAGAGTATTTGCCTCGGCCAAGTTTTCTCACGAGTTGATAATCATCTTGTTGCCTGAAACAAACATTCACAAAATCTGAACAGGAAGAATATAAAGGAATTAAATTAGAATTATAAGAATGGAGAGGCAATAAACCTGTAGGGAAAGCCATACAGCCTGGGAATGGGAGGCAATATGGTTTGATCCAAGGAATGCATCAGAGAACCTTCCTCGAGGGAAAGGTTCTGTAAAAAATACCCATGAAATAGTAAAAATATGTTCATATAAGCAGTTAAATACAATAAAGATAAAAGATATCCACATGCCTAAGTAAATATACAAATGTGCATGCACGACTGCCTTTAGTTTTAGTGTCAGATGAACTTTACATGCAGCTCCTGGTGTCATCAATGGAAGAAGGTATAATGATTCTGTTAACTATCACCAACTGATGTCATACAAAACTCCAATATCACTTCTTACTACAATAATTTTATGAACGTGCACTTTACCTTCATTTTACATAGCACATTTTTCATACTAAAATATGATGAAATGTTGCAACCAAATTAATGAACTTCATACCCCCATTCTATAACATGAGATTCATAATCCCAATATTCATGTGGTCTGTGGGCATTGACATCTGCATAAACCCGAGCACGGCTTGCCAACGGCATCTTGTGGAGCCCCCGGTAAACCGTCCGACCAAACCCAGCCAGGTCTGAAATTAGGAAAGAAAAAATTACAATACAGCATTGCTGTATATTGTAACCAAGGAAAACACTAACCCCATACAAGTCTTGTATTAAAAAACAATTTCAAATATGTAACAACTAGTGTAAACAAGGGGGTCAGTCATGCGAGTTTAAGGTCCACCAAATGTTATCCCAATACCTATAGACCTAGAATGAATTTAAAAATTACAATTATGATCCTTCACACAAAACCTTTTATCATCATATAGTAATATATTAGTTGTACTATATAATACTAACAAACTGATGAATTATACACATACACTATCTGGGTGTGTGTATTGTACAAAATAAACATGCCCAAATATTGTACGTCTAATTCATCAACCATCATATCATAGATTCCAACAGCTTCTTATATCAGCTTACTAAATTCTGAAAAAAAAAAAAAAAAAAAAAAATATCACAGCCATATATCACCATATGGTGACCCAAAGAAAGAAATATAGTATCATTCATTTAACTGCTGTCCTGAGAGTTCATGGACATCAATTCAGATGAACCATTAATATTCACAACTAATACTGTGGAAATTTTATACAGTATTGTAATCCCTCTTAGATCTTTCTGAAGATAAGTGTCTTACCACCAAAATTGTGATATACAGCAATGATGAGTGGTTACTCACCATTGCTGTATATCATAGAGAATGGGACCCATTGACTATGAGCCATCATTCCAACTAGCTCCAGAGCAAGTGCTCCACTTTACCAGTAAAACACTGGTTTTCATGATGTACATTCTCATTTGCTCCCAAATGTGATTATAAATTACTGGGCTCTCTTCTCTGTAAGCTTGAATATGCTTGCAAGTTAGCAGGGCATAACATGTGTCCCTTCCCCCCAATGCACGATCTGCTGCTACCAAGTGCTTCACCATATGCTTTTAATGCACAATTTTTGTCACCAGTGGACAAACATTAAAAATCACTTATTTTCTAGTTGTCTTTCCAGAAAACAAATGTGGCAATTTGAATGACCTGAACCTAAACATTGTTACTAAGTTCAATGGGAGGTGCTAAACCCATAGGGGGTCATATATTGTTTAGGGGAATGGGAAGCAACTGGGCTCAATCTATGGGGATCAAGGCTCTCTCACTAGCATCAAGAATCCAAACTTCAACATTCCTACCTATCCTTCAGAGTACAAGAACTGTACTTTCCATCTCAAGAGCTCATATTTAACTAACACATATAGAAATTTCTGTAGGTAGTAGGTTGGTAGACAGCAACCACCCAGGGAGGTACTACCATCCTGCCAAGTGAGTGTAAAACGAAAGCCTGTAATTGTTTTACATGATGGTAGGATTGCTGGTGTCCTTTTTTCTGTCTCATGAACATGCAAGATTTCAGGCATGTCTTGCTACTTCTACTTACACTTAGGTCACACTACACATACATGTACAAGCACATATATACACACCCCTCTGGGTTTTCTTCTATTTTCTTTCTAGTTCTTATTCTTGTTTATTTCCTCTTATCTCCATGGGGAAGTGGAACAGAATTCTTCCTCCGTAAGCCATGCGTGTTGTAAGAGGCGACTAAAATGCCGGGAGCAAGGGGCTAGTAACCTCTTCTCCTGTATATATTACTAAATGTAAAAGGAGAAACTTTCGTATTTCCTTTTGGGCCACCCCGCCTCGGTGGGATACGGCCGGTGTGTTGAAAGAAAGAAGTAGGTTGGTAGACAGCAAGCACCCAGGGAGGTACTACTGTCCTGCCAAGCAAGTGTAAAACGAAAGCCTGTACAGTGGACCCCCGCCTTACGAACGCATCGCGCTACGTTAAATCCGCCATATGAAGCATTTGAACGCAAAAATTTTGCCACGCCTCATGATAAAAAACTCGCCTTGCGTGATTCGTCCGGGACGCGTCCCACAAGTGGCCTCAGCACCAGTGTTTACAAGCCAGCCAGTGCGGTCGCATCTACGCATACATTTGGTACATTTCACATTATCCCAGTGTTTTTAGCACTTGTAACTGCAAAATAAGTCATCATGGACCCCAAGAAAGCTTCTAGTGCCATCCCTGTGGTAAAAAGGGAGAGAATTAGTATGGAATTGAAAAAAGAGATTAAGGAAATGTGTGCAAAGTGGGTTGAACTGCAAACCTTTACAGATGAAAATCACCCTGACACAGCTACTGCAAGCTGTGTTGGCAACCTGTACAATGACAATGTTGTGGCCCATTTTAGGAAAGTCTTAAAAGGAACGGTAGGTACAGAGTGGCATTAAAAGAAGGGAAGTAACCCCAAGAAAGGACTTGCTACCTGAAGTCCTAATGGAAGGGGGATTCCCCTTGTAAACAATAACTTCCACACACTCCCCTCCTCCCATCCCATCAATCATCACCAGATCTTCAATAAAGGTAAGTGTCATATATTCTATTCTTAGTAGAGTAGTAATTGTGCATGTCTTCTTCAGTTTGTGTGTATTAAAATTAATATTTCATGTGGTAAAAAAAATTTTTTTTTCATACTTTGGGGTGTCAGGAACGGATTAATTTGATCTTCATTATTTCTTATGGGGAAAATTAATTCGGCTAATGATAATTTCGGCTTACGATGAGCTCTCGGGAACAGATTAATATCGTAAGGTGGGGGTCCACTGTATTTGTTTTACATGATGGTAGGATTGGTGGTGTCTTTTTTCTGTCTCATAAATATGCAAGATTTCAGGTACATCTTGCTACTTCTACTTACACTTAGGTCACACTACACATACATGTAGAAGCATATACAGTGGACCCCCGACTAACGATGAGCTCCCAACTCGACCAATTATATAAGTGTATTTTTGTAAGTGCATTTGTAGGTGTATTTTTGGGGGGTCTGAAATGGACTAATCTAATTCACAATATTCCTTATGGGAACAAATTCGGTCTATAACGGCACCTGAACAGACTTCTGGATTGAAATAATATCATTAGTCAGGGGTCCACTGTATACACACACTCCTCTGGGTTTTCTTCTATTTTCTTTCTAGTTCTTGTTCATTTCCTATCTCCATGGGGAAGTGGAACAGAATTTTTCCTCCGTAAGCCATGCGTGTTGTACGAGGCGACTAAAATGCCGGGAGCAAGGGGCTAGTAACCCCTTCTCCTGTACATATTACTAAATGTAAAAGGACAATCTCATTTTTCCTTTTGGGCCACCCCACCTCGGTGGGATACGGCTAGTGTGTTGAAAGAAAAGAAAGACATCTAGAAATTTCTATTTGCATGTCACTCATGAGTTTTTAAATAAAGTGTCTTTAAGAAAATGCACTGACTGATGAAAATTTCTTCATAGAAAATTATTTAATGTTAGCTTTAGAAAGAGAAAATTACGAAGCTTAAAAACTCAGGCTTGTAATTAAATCAATTTCAAATACAAGCTTTATACACTACCACAGTTTTAGCTACAATACATTTTGTCACAGCTATGGAAGTTAGTTTTACTTTAATTTTTTTTTACCTTTTTTATGTTCCATCGACTGATAATTTATCTCCGGTGTTCTGAACCAGCTGAAAATTCTCTCTCTCAAAGCAAATGGCAATGCTTCGATATTGCCTAAGTACATCACCGAGACTAGTATACTGTAGAGCAAACTAGCCAGCTTCAGTAGATTTGTTTGCTCAGATTTCAAGGTATATTAATGTACTGTATTTGGTGGGTGCAAGATTAGATACAAATATCTTATCACTGATAAAACCAGTGATAAAGCTTACAATGTTTATTAGTTAAAATGAACTTTACTGATGGGAGGAAGTGCCATAAAAATTTTGGGCGTTTTAAATTTAATGACTATTGGTTATTTGCAAGTAATTTTATATATCTATATACATAATTTCAACAGGTTGCAAAATTAAAAATTAAATACTTAAAAATTTAATTATTTAATAACTATTCATACATGATAGTATGAATAACATTATCAAAAAAGTAAATCAACACAGTACACTACATAAATGTAATGCAGTACCTGTACTTTTTTTTTTTAGAGTACATAATTTCTTCACATAGTAAATGTAACTTTAATTTTTCACCTATGGTGTCCCTGACACCCTAATTTGCCCCTTGGTGGTGGGAGTTACCAAGGGGCAAATAATGGGAAATAACCACTCGGTACATCAGGTAGTCAAGTTCTATAACTGGTACTTAAATTTCATACAAATCACTAACTCTGGTCTCAATTTTTAGGGCTCATTTTCTACTAGTTCAATATTATTTACATTGCTTACTCTCCCCAATGTAATACTAGTTGTAACATTTACAGAGCAATCTGGCCACATAGGTCATTCCTCAATTGAAACTAATGATTTTAATACTGTATTTTTAATAGCATCAACCCAAACCTCTACCACAGTCATTTCTGTGGTTTTCTTTTATTTAAAAGTGCTAGCACTAAGCCTAGCACTATAATACAAGTCTCCATGGAGAGGGGCCATTTCAATAAAATCCCATTATATCCAGATGTGAATAAATTCCATCTCCTCAGGTAACCAGCCCAGTAACATTGTAGGATCAAACGTATAAACTGCCACAAGCGAGCAGAGCACTGAGACTCCGCTCATGGATGTGGGAAACAAGCAGTCCTAAGGCCAGTGTCAATTTCTTCCACATCCTTGCTAGAAACTTCTCTATAATGTACCTTATTTACATTAGGATAAAATCATTTTACTGCCCAAAAATATATATTAGTTACACAGCAGATTAACAATAAATAGTAAATCTTACAAAGAAAAGCCCAAGATTATGCCCAAGTTTAAAGCCAGGACCAGACTAATATTAATAGTATTAAATTGGACATTCTATACAAAATCACAAATTTTAATACAAATTTCAGTGAAAAGTGAATAGCATTTTGTGAAAGACCTAATTAGAGATTTAATATTAAAATAAAACAATTTCAAGAGAATTAAAAAGCAAATATGGAGATTAGTAATGCTGTAATAATGGTAGGAGATATAGTATAAAAAAAAAAGGAACATGGTGAAATATATAACTTGATGAGTGTCGTCTATTGGCAAATATTAACCAATTACAACATACCACATCACTAATCAATGCTATACTGAAATACTTATGGTAGAGAAGAACAAGATGAAACTGAATCCTTTACTCAAGTTTGTATAAAAATAAGTTTTGTATATTTACAAATAACTGAAGATAATCACTTACGTGAAGAAAATTTACAAGATGCTAAAAAAATGCATGTTTACAAAAGATATTTTATATATAGCAGATTTAATTAAAATCCAAACAGATAATCATTTTAGGGGATATTAAGATAGCTAAAGATGTAGCAAAAAATTTAATGGATATTGACAAACAACAGAACCAAGAGATAACACCATGTAATTGGCAGGCAAATACAAGATGGCTCATGGACCAATACTTAAGGCAAGCGGCAAGACCCTTTAAAGGCTGGTTTCACTGTCAACTGTTGTAAAAAATATAGGAAAAAGCCATCAGAAAAGTTGATGAAACACTTGGAAGTGGGATATCCCACTGGCTAGTAAACAATTCAGATTTTGGTTTGGAAATGTCTATATATTAAATCAATTAAGTTATTAGTAATGCCACACTGTTTAAGAAAAAAATGGATAGGCAGAGTGGATTTACCTAGACTTTTGACAAGCTCCCCATGAGAGTATTTTGGAAATCTCAAAACATGGGAGGAAAAGGCAAACAATTACAACAGACGAGACAAAGTGTAAAAAGAAATGAGGAAAAAATATCTTGCTAGGGAAATGTTACCAACTGGGTGCCACAAGGATCTGTCTGAACTTTCCTTTACAAAATTTTATACAAAGTGACTTAGAGAGAATAGAAAACTACAAATTTGTTTTCAGTGTTTTTAAAAAAAGGATATGTCTCATGCCCTGGGGGAAGACGCAATTTTGTAAAAAAAAAATCCTGTATAAAGGGAAAGGGAAAAAACCTTTAATTTTACGACTTTTTCGCCTTCACAGGGCACCCCTTTTTTATTGTTTTCCTGTGCAACTACCAGGGATTGATATTAAAATTCAAGAGCCCCAAAAACCCCTTATCCCTTTTTCTAGGTTTTGGTTTTTTTTCACTTCATCAACCCCCCCTAATTCGACACCTTTTTAATAGTGTGGATTCAGTGTCCTACTTAACAGGAAAGTTTCAGATATTACAGGGGAAAACCCCATCTTTTTTTGTCTAACCCCAAAACATAATTTTAAAATTTTTACAGCAAATTTATATAGCAAATTTGCAGAATTTAAAACCCAGGATAACCCAAAAGCAAGCAAATAAAAATTCTAGAGTAGCATAAAAAATTTCTAGAAAAAAATTTAGTGGTAGAACATGGAAAGGTTAAAATAAAAAGATAAAGTGGCCAAAAAAAAAAAAAAAAGGAAAATTTGAAAATCAAATTTAAAAACAAAGAAATCAATAGTTACTATTACTTTCAAATTCAGCATTTAAGTTAATTTCCTCCCAAAAATTTAAAAATTTTCTCAAATTATAAATCTTATACACCCTACATCATGCAAATGAACAACTGTCCAAATCTTTCTTTCTGTGTTAGGGGGGAAAAATTTAAACCAAGGATAATTTCTTTTAAAACCCTTCCCCTTTTTTATTTAAAACTGATTTAAATCAATAATATTTTTCCACTATGCTTCCGTTGAGAATTATTAAAAAATGCTAAAAAAAGTCAATAATTTTTAAAACTACTTACCTTCAACTACAACAAATACATACAAAACCAAGGCAAAAGCTCTTCACAAAATAAATTAAATTTTAAGCTTTTGTAAGAAGCAATTAAAGAATTAACCAATCAGGGCCCCTAAAAGTGTAGAATTAGTTTTTAACCAAATTTAGCCTACATCTACTTACTTTTCCTTAGAATTATTACATGTAAAGGCACCAGGTGGGCAAATCACACTGGCCCCGACACATAAAAAAATGTAGAAAAAAAACAACACTATTGACACTACCAAATGACCTTGAATTACGCGTGCTTCTTTACATAAAAATAACAATAACTTATAGAAATGATAACAAGAAAGGCTAAGTATCTCGTGTAAAGGTCAAAAACGCAATAAAATCTCAACCTAAGAGGAGAAAGAGGACTTAAACAGGAACAAGTCTGGAGCCGACAGTACCTCTCCTGGCCAACACACAAATTTCCCCACTACAAACAACACCATTTCACCACTTACCTATAACATTCCTGACTGCGATCTTGAGTTACAGCTCTTCCTAAAGGCCTCCTCGATTAATTCCCAGTAAAAATTTGGAGTTGGTAAGTCAAAAAGGCGGTGTAATGGGTGAGAGAAGGTGGATGAGTGTGCCGGTAGTGTCCAATATGGCCGTCTCGCGCTGCTGGCCGCCTCAATGTGGCCCTCCCTCTAACACCTATTGTAGAGTACACCACGCGCTCAATAGATGGCGACACCCGCTACACACACCCCATCTACACTACACTACACACCCTCACTCACACATCACTACCTCTACACATAACCTGAGAAAGTTATTATCTTAGTAATATATGTTACGTAAGCAACCCTTCAGTCTTAAGGCTGATAGTGATATCCTAATGTATACGTATCTACACTCGCCCCCTACTATACTACACCACCCCTCCCATAATCACTACAACCCCCCTCATTACTACAACCCCCCCACACATCACAAACCCCTCCCACATTACTACAAACCCCCCTCACATTACTAAAACCCCCCCACACATCACAAACCCCTCCCGCATTACTACAACCCCACTCACATTACTACAACCCCCCACACATCCAAACCCCCCCCATACACAACCCCACTCACATAATACAAACCCCCCCACACATCACAAAACCCCTCCCACATTACTACAACCCCACCCCACATTACTACAACCCCCCCACACATCACAACCCCCCCCACATTACTACAACCCCACTTACATTACTACAACCCCCCCCCACATCACAACCTCCCTAAACAAATAGCCTAGTATTAAACAAACCCCCGTACGCTTTCACAAACCTACATATATACACCCCCCCCACATCACAAACCCTCCCATAAGACACCCACTACAAAATACTATGTACCTCACACAAATCACTATACCCCTCACATTATACAACCCCACAAACACTCACACATAACAACCCCACAATTGATCTACAACCATATTATACAACCCACACATCAAACCACACCAAATTTGTTAATACAATATGTACTATTAAACCCCAACTATATATACAAAACCTGACGTCATTCACAAGTCAAAAACCCCTACTGATATTACACAAATTGCCACTCAACATATACTACAACCTCTACACATAAAACCCCTCGGCATTAACACAACCCCCACAAACACAACCCCCCAATACTACTAACCCCACTCACAATTAGCATCCCCCCAACATCCACTCCAATTAAAAACCCCACTCACATTACTACACCACCTCCCACATACAAACCCATATTAGTATCAACCCCATCACATAAAATCCCCCCCACACTATCACTAACCCTCCCACATTACTACAACCCCCACACATCACAAACCCCTCCCACATTACTACAACCCCACTCACATTACTACAACCCCCCACACATCACAAACCCCTCCCACATTACTACAACCCCACTCACATTACTACAACCCCCCACACATCACAAACCCCTCCCACATTACTACCAACCCCACTCACATTACAACCCCCACACATCACAAACCCCTCCCACATTACTACAACCCCACTCACATTACTACAACCCCCCCAACATCACAAACCCCTCCCACATTACTACAACCCCACTCACATTACTACAACCCCACACATCACAAACCCCTCCCACATTACTACAACCCCACTCACATTACTACAACCCCCACACATTACAAACCCCTCCCACATTACTACAACCCCACTCACATTACTACAACCCCCCCACACATCACAAACCCCTCCCACATTACTACAACCCCACTCACATTACTACAACCCCCCCACACATCACAAACCCCTTCCCACATTACTACAACCCCACTCACATTACTACAACCCCCCACACATCACAAACCCCTCCCACATTACTACAACCCCACTCACATTACTACAACCCCCCACACATCACAAACCCCTCCCACATCACTACAACCCCACTCACATTACTACAACCCCACTCACATTACTAAAACCCCACTCACATTACTACAACCCCCCACACATCACTACAACCCCCCACACATCACTACAACCCCCCACACATCACTACAACTCCTCCCACATCACTACAACCCCTCTCACATCACTACAACCCCCACACATCACAACCCCCTTACCATCACTACAACCCCCTCACATCACTACAACCCCGTCACACATCACTACAACTCCCTCACATCACTACAACCCTCTCACATCACTACAATCCCGTCACACATCACTACAACTCCCTCACATCACTACAACCCCGTCACACATCACTATAACTCCCTCACACATCACTACAACCCCCCTCACATCACTACAACCCCGCACACATCACTATAACCCCCTCACACATCACTACAACCCTCTCACATGACTACACTCCCTCATATAACTACAACCCGGTCACACATCACTACAACCCCTATACATCACTACAGCCTCCCACACATCACTACAACCCCACACACATCACTACAACCCCCATACATCACTACAACCTCCCACACATCACTACAACCCCACACTCATCACTGCAACTTCCTCACATATCATTACAACCCCCACACATCACTGCAACCCATGTACATCACTACAACCCCCACACACTACAATCCCCCTCACTCATTACTACAAACCCTTCACATCACTACAAGCCCCTCACATCACTACAACCCCTACACACCACTACAGGAGGAGGCGGGGTCATAGTGGTACCATCCACTAGTCGAAGTAGGTCTTCATCCAAAGGTTAGACAAGTGTTGAAGAATTCTTTGTAACAAGATCCCATGATCTTGTCCAACCTTTGGACGAAGACCTACTTCGACTAGTGGATGGTACCACTATGACCCCGCCTCCTCCTGCTTCGCCTCACCTGACTACAGTATATAAGCCACGTCTACGGCCCTATGCTGTGCATTCTACAAGATTGATGGACTGAACACATCGACTCCAGGCTGAGGGACTGATTACCTCAAACTCCTCCTCTCCTTACACCTTTCTGCTTTGTATTGGACTGATGAAGCCACTGTGTGGCGAAACGTTTCCTGAATGAAGATTCCCATATGCTGCATAAATGTCTCAATCTTCAACTTGTCGGTTTTTCAAACCGTTCATCGAGACACTATATTTCCCACGTTGTGTAAACGTAATATGTGAGGGTATAGTGTAGTGGGCATATGTGTGGAGTTACCAGCATCAACCTTGAAGGATGGGGTGAGAGGCGGGGGGTTCCTAATGTGACACTGTATTACCTGGAGAGAGTTCCGGGGGTCAACGCCCCAGCTGCCCGGTCTGTGACCAGGCCTCCTGGTGGATCAGAGCCTGATCAACCAAGCTGTTACTGCTGGCTGCACGCAAACCAACGTACGAGCCACAGCTCGGCTGGTCAGGTACCGACTTTAGGTGCTTGTCCAGTGCCAGTGTAGTATTAGCAAGATAGTGTTTTTTTTACCAGGTTGTGCACCCACCTATATGTTGTTACAGGGGTCGATCCCTAGCTCCTGGCCCCGTGAACAGGTAATAGGCGAGATGTAGTGTTTGAGGGGGTTTGTAGTGATGTGCAGTGACGGACCTACAATTTTGGGCCCTTGAAGCTTGAACTGTTACGGGACACCTTTTCATACAGTAGACCCAATATTTTTAAGTTATTTCTGGGGGGCCTTCCGGGATTAGGATTAAGTTTCATAGCAGATCCGCCTCTGATGATGTGTGAGATACTTGTAGTAATGTGAAGGGATTGTAATACCCATAATACTCTGCACACAAGGGAGGCTTTTGGCATGTTCACCCACCTACTATAATTCATTGTGCAGCTATGTATTATGTCTAAATAAACTATATCAATATGATGTATGAGGTGGTTGTAGTGATGTGAGGTGGTTGTAGTAACCTATAATGACGACGATTCACCTCCAGACCTGGTCATGGACCGACCCGAAGGGGCGTTGACCCCCACGGACACCCTCCACGTATACGAAATGCGTTTCAAAATGTCTTTACCATTACCTATTCATATGCAACTACTAAATGCAGATACAGCCTAACTGCTATCATTACAATCATAACTAAACGCTAAACCCACAAGGGTCATATAGCGAAAATACAGCCTAAGATGTGAAAATCTGCAAATATGATTGAAATAAAATGATCTTGGGGTTCTATGTTACACAAAAGAATCACCAGAAGTACAAATAAACCGTATAGCTTCACTGGCATACCCCCTCAAGGGAGGTTCCTTGATGCTGGTGAGGGGCTCTTGATTTAGGGAATTGGATCTGTGCTCCAGTTCCCTGTATTGAGCCTGAATGCCTTCCATACCCCCCCCCAATGTGCCTGGAGTTTACCTGGAGAGAGTTCCGGGGGTCAACGCCCCCGCGGCCCGGTCTGTGACCAGGCCTCCTGGTGGATCAGAGCCTGATCAACCAGGCTGTTGCTGCTGGCTGCACGCAAACCAACGTACGAGCCACAGCCCGGCTGATCAGGAACTGACTTTAGGTGCTTGTCCAGTGCCAGCTTGAAGACTGCCAGGGGTCTGTTGGTAATCCCCCTTATGTGTGCTGGGAGGCAGTTGAACAGTCTCGGGCCCCTGACACTTATTGTATGGTCTCTTAACGTGCTAGTGACACCCCTGCTTTTCATTGGGGGGATGGTGCATCGTCTGCCAAGTCTTTTGCTTTCGTAGTGAGTGATTTTCGTGTGCAAGTTCGGTACTAGTCCCTCTAGGATTTTCCGGGTGTATATAATCATGTATCTCTCCCTCCTGCGTTCCAGGGAATACAGGTTTAGGAACCTCAAGCGCTCCCAGTAATTGAGGTGTTTTATCTCCGTTATGCGCGCCGTGAAGGTTCTCTGTACATTTTCTAGGTCGGCAATTTCACCTGCCTTGAAAGGTGCTGTTAGTGTGCAGCAATATTCCAGCCTAGATAGAACAAGTGACCTGAAGAGTGTCATCATGGGCTTGGCCTCCCTAGTTTTGAAGGTTCTCATTATCCATCCTGTCATTTTTCTAGCAGATGCGATTGATACAATGTTATGGTCCTTGAAGGTGAGGTCCTCCGACATGATCACTCCCAGGTCTTTGACGTTGGTGTTTCGCTCTATTTTGTGGCCAGAATTTGTTTTGTACTCTGATGAAGATTTAATTTCCTCATGTTTACCATATCTGAGTAATTGAAATTTCTCATCGTTGAACTTCATATTGTTTTCTGCAGCCCACTGAAAGATTTGGTTGATGTCCGCCTGGAGCCTTGCAGTGTCTGCAATGGAAGACACTGCCATGCAGATTCGGGTGTCATCTGCAAAGGAAGACACGGTGCTGTGGCTGACATCCTTGTCTATGTCGGATATGAGGATGAGGAACAAGATGGGAGCGAGTACTGTGCCTTGTGGAACAGAGCTTTTCACCGTAGCTGCCTTGGACTTTACTCTGTTGACGACTACCCTCTGTGTTTTGTTAGTGAGGAAATTATAGATCCATCGACCGACTTTTCCTGTTATTCCTTTAGCACGCATTTTGTGCGCTATTACGCCATGGTCACACTTGTCGAAGGCTTTTGCAAAGTCTGTATATATTACATCTGCATTCTTTTTGTCTTCTAGTGCATTTAGGACCTTGTCGTAGTGATCCAATAGTTGAGACAGACAGGAGCGACCTGTTCTAAACCCATGTTGCCCTGGGTTGTGTAACTGATGGGTTTCTAGATGAGTGGTGATCTTGCTTCTTAGGACCCTTTCAAAGATTTTTATATGGGATGTTAGTGCTATTGGTCTGTAGTTCTTTGCTGTTGCTTTACTGCCCCCTTTGTGGAGTGGGGCTATGTCTGTTGTTTTTAGTAACTGTGGGACGACCCCCGTGTCCATACTCCCTCTCCATAGGATGAACACAGAGTTCCATGAGTCTGGCCCTGGGGCAGAGTGCATGGGCATGTCATTTATCGCCTGTTCGAAGTCATTTGGCGTCAGGATAACATCGGATAGGCTTGCGTTAATCAAATTTTGTGACTCTCTCATAAAAATTCATTTTGATCTTCGACTCTCAGTCTGGTTAGCGGCTTGCTAAAAACTGAGTCATATTGGGACTTGAGTAGCTCACTCATTTCCTTGCTGTCATCTGTGTAGGACCCATCTTGTTTAAGTAGGGGCCCAATACTGGACGTTGTTCTCGATTTTGATTTGGCATAGGAGAAGAAATACTTTGGGTTTCTTTCGATTTCATTTATGGCTTTTAGTTCTTCCCGCGATTCCTGACTCCTAAAGGATTCTTTTAGCTTAAGTTCGATGCTTGCTATTTCTCTGACCAGTGTCTCTCTACGCATTTCAGATATATTGACCTCTTTTAGCCCCCCTTTTATCCCCCCTTTTATCCCCCCTAATTCTACGCCTTTCGAGAGAGTGCAGATTCAGGGCCCTCAGTCTATCCTCATAGGGAAGATTTCTGATGGTATAAGCAAACACTATAACATATTTATTAGAAACGTTTCGGTCCTGGGACCTTGATCACTTCTAACATACAGAGGTAGAAAGACATTATATATATATAGGCGGAGAGTGATAGATAGTTCCTGACTATGGAACTGAACTTCTCCAGGCTGAGGGACTGACAACCTCAAATTCTGCGACTTCAAGGGTGATGGACTGATTACATCGTCTTCACATCTCTACTGTTCCTGCCTACTTTCTGTATTCGACTGAAGAAGCCTACTGTGTAGGCGAAACGTTTCGGAATAAAGTTGCCTAACTGTTGATAAATTAGACACATGTGCAACTCTTGGGTATCTTTATTGAGGAAACGTTTCGCCACACAGTGGCTTCATCAGTCCATACGTAGGAGAAACTTGAAGAACAGGAGGAGAATGAGGTAATCAGTCCCTCAACCTTGAGTCGATGTGTTCAGTCCACAAATCTTGAATAGAATACGGCATATGAGCGGAGAAGCAGCTTATAAACCGTATGGCAGGAGAGGTGCAGCAGTCATAGGTGGTGTCACGTTTGTTCAGTGTGGAAGTAGGTCGTGCCCAAGAATTAGGCAAGCGAAGAATTCCAAAGTATTAAGATCCCAAGAAGTTGCAGTGTCTGACAGGTTTGTAGATGAATGGTTCAGAGAACCGACATGTTGATAAATTAGACACATGTGCAACTCTTGGGTATTTTTACTGAGGAAACGTTTCGCCACACAGTGGCTTCATCAGTCCATACGTAGGATAAACTTGAAGAACAGGAGGAGAATGAGGTAATCAGTCCCTCAACCTTGAGTCGATGTGTTCAGTCCATCAATCTTGAATAAAATACGGCATATGAGCGGAGAAGCAGCTTAATTCTTGGGCACGACCTACTTCCACACTGAACAAACGTGACACCACCTATGACTGCTGCACCTCTCCTGCCATACGGTTTATAAGCTGCTTCTCCGCTCATATGCCGTATTCTATTCAAGATTTGTGGACTGAACACATCGACTCAAGGTTGAGGGACTGATTACCTCATTCTCCTCCTGTTCTTCAAGTTTCTCCTATGTATGGACTGATGAAGCCACTGTGTGGCGAAACGTTTCCTCAATAAAGATACCCAAGAGTTGCACATGTGTCTAATTTATCAGTTTCAGGATGATTGAAAACTGGAGTATAACTTGGATGCCAAAGTAGTGGAGGCAAATTCAATACGCAGTTTCAAGAGGCAGGAAGCAGCCAAGTAAGTAAGTAAGTAAATTTATTCAGGTATACACAATACAGTTACATAGAATTATCATACATAGCAGCATATGTGTAGAGAACCTAGGATAACCCAAAAAAGTCAGACAGAGTGACTTATTTCCATTGGGATCCTTTACTTATTTCCATTGGGATCCTTTACTTATTTCCATTGGGGGCCAAAGACTGTTCAGCACAGCTGTAAATATACACAGGTTGAGTACACGTATTTTTTATGTATTCTTGGACAGTCTTTTTTTTATCGAATATCTTCTAGATAAGATTATCTTTTTTGGTTAAGTTACCCACTACAAGCTGACAGATTTCATTATTTCTGCACAAAAACCATCCTGAGTGATGGGGGACGATGGGAAAAATTGTATTGGATTTTAATAGGGAAGTCTTCATGTATAATGATATGTGATAGGGAAATTAACATGCGGGATCAGCCAGGCTGTGATGCGTACGTTGGACTATGTGGGGCCATCAGTAACAGCCTGGCTGATCAAGCCCTGATCCACTTGGAGGCCTGGTCGTGAACCGGGCCGCGGGGGGCGTTGACCCCCGGAATGCCCTCCAGGTAGATGTATGATGGAACATGAGAGCATAACTTATCCCTTGATACAATTAAAAAAATTCTTGTGTGGCGTATGACAGAAAATAAAAATCCTACATGATAAAGGAAATAAACAACTTTGTCTACAAGTGAGGGTAGAGTATACAAGTGACATTTTAGGTACATTAGACAAATTTTTGGGTAGAATATAAGCTGTGTTTCAGGGATGACTGACTACCTACCTACATCATTATAGTCAGGTGTTGTAGGGTGACAGTGAGGTGTAGTCTTAACCTTTTATTTTTATACTTCCTTGATAATGTCAGAAGTCACGAAAGCGCTTAGAATTTCGCTATTTTTTTCAAAGTGGTTGCTCTGCGTATTATATATTATATATATATATATATATATATATATATATATATATATATATATTATATATATATATATATATATATATATATATATATATATATATATATTATATATATATATATATATATATATATATATATATATATATATATATATATATATATATATATATATAAATATAAATAAATAAATAAATAAATAAAATAAATAAATATATATATATATATATATATATATATATATATATATATATATATATATATATATATATATATATATATATATATATATATATGTATTTATATATATATACGATATATATATATATATATATATATATATATATATATATATATATATATATATATATATATATATATATATATATATATATATATATATATATACGATTATGTCCTACTGAATTTTAATTTTATTGTAATAAATAATTTATTGATTATTATAGGGAAATTAATATATATTTCTTACCTTTTTTTTTTTAAGTGTCACTGACTTTATATCAACATCATCTAGTGTTAAATATAATCTATAGAATATAACTATAAAAACTAGGAATATGATAAAAAAAAGCTGTTTTAAATTATTACAATGACTGGGAGAAATAAGAGACATCTGCCAGAGAAAAAATATATAAGATAAAAGAAAAGTTGGATGTTGGCGGTAATATTTGTAGAAGTGAGAAGCTTACTTAATAAACTCTCTTAATGTCGAATATAGCCATTTATCCCTTCAACACACCCAGCTAAGAATAAAATTATTATCTTTGATATATATAGAGAAGCATATGGGTGTATATACAATAATTTGATGTATATATTTGGTGTTTATAAGTAATTATCTGAGTTTGTCTGGCAGTGTGTTTCATTGTGTTGTTGGTTATGGCTGCCGCCTGCCACCTCTGACAACACTCTCTCTGTCTTATATTACCCACACTCAGCCGCGCTCATCTTCCAGCCAGGTGAGAAATGTTGATGTTATGGGTGGTGGTGGTGGTGTGTGTGGCCTTGTAAGGTGGGTAGATGAGTGTTAAATAGGATGCTGGTGCGCAGGACCGCCATGTTTGTTATGGTAGTGTTGTGGGGAAGGTGGCGACTGCGCAACCTCATCACTCGTTTTTAAATGTTTTATCTGCATATTGATGGATGCTGTGTGTGAAGATCATTGCTCGGTGTATGTTCTGGCTGGTGGTAGGCGCGACACTAGGCCTGGGTTTGGTTAAACGGGTTTTTTTTAGGTATACACTCGGTGTTTTGGTTAACTTTCCGATGTACGTCAAGTTTTTAAGTCGCTCGTGAGAGAGATTTTCCCTGACTGTTACTGGTAATATATCATGGCCTTATTAATATATACCCTGGGAAATTATCACTTGTCACCATTGTAATAAAGATATGAAACTAAACTACCATTGCAAGCTTATACTTTATTTTTTTTTAAATTGTGGCTATAGATTTAATTCATTAATATTGTGCTGTAACAGTTGTCTTTATTGCAACTATTGTATAAATGTATAAATATATGTAATATGTAATGAACTTGGCTTTATTGGTTATCATAATTTATTTACAAAGTAATTTATCAGTTTGTAGTCGATTATGACTTTCTGCACCAGTTGAACGCTTATATTATATTAATGTTTTTTATTTAATAACTACAGGTGTAAATTTTGTTCATGTCAGTGCTGGTTAACTTTTACTTACCTAGAATGTATTTTAAGATTCTGGCAGAAGTGCTTTAGTGATACTGGTGACTTTTACGTAAAAGAAGGACATGTATGCATTGATCAAGACGTTTATTAAGGAGACTTTTTGCCATGAGCGGTTTCTTCAGGATTAAGATATTACAAGATATTACAGGGACCCCAGTGGAAATAAGTCGCTTTGACTTTTTTGGGTTATCCTGACTGGTAATTCATACTATGTAGGATAATTGTACTTATGTGTACCTGTACCTAAATAAATTTACTAGGACTGAAGATATCACTTCACTGTTTTAGGAAAATAGAGAAGATAGGATAACAAAAGACTTGGCCTGTATTAACAAGTTGCAGCAATGCAAATGATGCATTCAAACTTTTTTAAAACCATCATCACATTCTTAATGATATTGCACCAATAAGAGTAGGACAACACAAACCCTAACCCAGGATGACAAGGAGTCCATCTGAAGAGTCGCTTCAGCGAAATATCTAGGAATATCACTTTCGTAATAATTTAGTGAATAATATAGTGAAACTGATTAAATGACAAGTTAAAGTTGTTTTGTAGGTTGCAGTACCTATCTACTTGGCTACACAAGGCCCTACATTTACCTCATATACGATGTCGTCTATTGTATTTCACCAACTCCTCAAGGAACATTCCTTGAGGCTGCTGAGGGCTCAAGATGCAAGGGATTTCACCTGTCCTCTTCTTTGGATCAAACCTGATTGCATTCTATTTATCAAATCCTGTATGACCCATGTGGCTTTATTGCTTCCCCTTGATGTAATAATTGTTCTTCATGGTACTCTAATAAAACTTATCTAGTAAGATGGTGAGATTCATCCTGGGGCTGGGTCAAAGAGAACACAGGCCACAGTGAATTACAAAAGTTGGAAATATTTAACATGGCAGATAGAGTATAACATCTGAAACACAACCATGTATTAAAACTTGTATTCATGAAGCCTGGTCACAGATGGGGCCGCGGGGGCATTGATCCCCGGAACTCTCTCCAGGTAAACTCCAGGTAATAAATAGTGCTGAACATGCAAATTTTATAAAGGTTTAGAACTAAAGCCAATAGTATAGTACAATATTAGGGAAACTGGAAAGAAAACCGTTTTATAGTACCCACAGTAGGTGGCCAGGCCTGGAACACCTATTATAAATGATAAAAGACCTGAAATGAGTTGCCTGATCATGTCAAAGCCAGTCTCAATATAAAACATTATGAGAATGGAGTCTAAGAATGTCTAATGAATTGAGCTGCAGAGGCAAGATAGTGATATCTTGTATTGTTAAAATAATATAAATTGGCAGACATCATCTTTGTATAGAATATAAAACTTTCTAGTTGATAGTGCAATGATAAGGCAAACTTTCTCATTTTTTTTTTTCTGGAATTCAGTATTGAAGAGTTCAACTGATAACTTTAAACTTTCAAAGGTTAATTTTTTTAACAAACATTAATAAAATGACTTTTTTCATGTGCCTGTTCATGCTGATTCCAAATATGTGTACCAGCAGGAGGAAAATTATGGCATTTTGAAATATATGTCAGCAATTGATCTCTTAAAGCATTCATAACACTTGGTATATAGATAGGATTTTGCTTAGCATTTGTCTATTGACTCATATGGCCAGAATTGCCCCAGTACAGTCTTATGTTACTTTGAAACTATATGAACAATGATTTGTTATTTCATGGAATAATGTACGTATATTGTTGGCTCTTAGTTTAAATATATATGTCCTGTTTAACTATATATTAATAATGTGTCCAGTTATAGAACTACTACTGTTTAAATATTTTAATGTGCTTTATTATTGACAAAGGCAGAATGGTTCAGGCCCGGAGGGCCCGGGTTCGATTCCCGGTGGGTGGAAACATTTCGACACGTTTCCTTACACCTGTTATCCTGTTCACCTAGCAGCAAATGGGTACCTGGGTGTTAGTCGATTGGTGTGGGTCGCATCCTGGGGGACAAGATTAAGGACCCCAATGGAAATAAGTTAGACAGTCCTCGATGACGCACTGACTTTCTTGGGTTATCCTGGGTGGCTAACCCTCCGGGGTTAAAAATCCGAATGAAATCTTATCTTATCTTATCTCTCAAAGCCTTTTATTTTCTTACAGGCAAAAATACGAATAAAATGCGAGGTAGCTCTCACTTGGGATTCATTGATGGGTCAGCAAGTAGAGTCATCTACCCTTCGACCAATATCTCATGGTAAGATACATGGTTCATTTTTTTCTTAATTTTTATGATGCATTTTTAACATGTGTATCTGAAATGTCAGAAAAATCAAAGTAATTTTACTGAAAGGGTACACTAGAATTTATGAAAAAGTACAGTATTTTAATTTTATTACTTTTCTGGGTCTTTGCTCTCCTATATAATGCTCTTTTTTTATTCTGATCAATCCAGAAATTTTTGTTGTATTTGGTTGCTCAGTTTCTGAATTATATTTTAGTTAAGATGCTGTATATTATTATTCAGAATATCTGACCATCAGCTCATGTTGTGTTACCATTTATTTAAACTCCATTTACTGGGATGTTTTAATAGATATTGATACATTTCCTACACAACACAGTATGGTATATGGTTTTCGGAAACTCATTAACGTATTCATATACTACATCTAAGATTTTTCCATTTGATGCTAAAACTGTTTATCTATTTGTAGCTATAGGAGAAGGGCTAAGCTCAGGGTGTGTTTTGGTAGTACATCTATAGTATAATATGTTTCCATTTTTAATGATTATTGCACTTGCTGTAACCTCTTATAACCCACTCATTTGCTTTTCCACTATGTTTATGAAGAGCTTTCTAGTATACTTTCAGTAGCTCATCTTCAGTTGTGTCCGGCTGTCTTCTTGTTCTCGTTCTTAAGTGTTAGAGAACTCTAACATTTTTTCACATCTTAATAACCCCATTTAAGATAATAAGTTCTTCATTGACGTATTGGTTAGAAGACAAACGTCCTGTTAAGTATTCCCAGTGCTATGTTAAGAAGTTAGAGAGGTGCATGGGCTGGATGATGAGCAGCCATAAGAAGAAGGAGGCAGAGTTTCTTAGCAAGCTGGTGGACCTCTTTGACATTGCTTTTGTGGATGTCTTGAAGCCCAAGATTCAGAATGACAGGGCCTTCCTTCTAGCTCATAGGAATAACCTGTTGTTTGTTCAGAATCTGTGTATCTGGACTTCAGATGGTCTCTGGACTGAAATGGAAGTGATCATTTCATTTTCCTGTAGTTGGTGGGATCCTCCCTTCTTGTTTGTCTTCCACAGTTGAAGCTGGCAGTGGCAGATTGGCCTCTCTTAGAGGATTTGGCAGGCATTTCAGTGTTGTGCAAGGGGCTTATGATCATTTTGTTGGTGTTGTCTTGGTGGGCATGAGAGCCTTCATCAGGTGGCTTTTAGGTTCTATCTGCCAGTCCCTAGGCAAAATGAGGACTGGGAGAAGCACTACCAGATTGTCAGTGACCTATCAGTCTACTTGTTGGTTAATAAGCTGATGTTGGCCATCAGGAAGAAGGTGTTCAGAAATTCTCTGACAGATATGGAATAAGATCTGAAAGATATCTGGGAAGTACTTCCTGAGTCCACTGGTCAGTCTTCTCCATTGTGGACAGGTGGGGGATGGCCCTTCAGAGGTGGCCAACACACTATTGCAATTTTAATGATTACATTGACTTTTATCTTTTCTAGGTATGTGTGGTTGCTACTTATCAGCAAGTTCTTCCGCTGCATTGGGGTGTTTGTGGCATATGATGCAGTTCAGTCCATCCACGTTGTCTACTTTCTCCTTCTGGTAACACTGCTGTGAGTAATTAATGTTTTATGTGTTTGAAAAGGGAATAACAGATTGTAACTTTTATTTTCAGCCCTTGTTCCAGCCTCAGATATATGGAGGCATTCCTCTTTCCCCTGACCACTGATGCCTGTAAAACGAGTGAGTAGTGTAAGAATAATCATTCATAATCAGTTTAGGGGAGACTGTTTTTTTTTTTTTTAACACGTTGTCCGCTTCCCACTGAGGCAGGGTGACCCAAAAAGAAAGAAAAAAACTTTCATCATCATTCAACACTTCCACCATCACTCATACATGATCACTGTCTTTGCAGAGGTGCTCAGATATGACGGTTTAGACATCCCTCCAAACTGCCAATATCCTAAACCCCTCTTTTAAAGTGCAGGCATTGTACTTCCCATTTTCAGGACTCTAGTTTGGCTAACCGGTTTCCCTGAATCCCTTCACAAAATATTAACCTGCTCACACTCTGACAGGCCGTCGGGTCCCAAAAACCATTCGTCTCCATTCACTCCTATCTAACACCCTCACGCATGCTTGCTGGAAGTCCAAGCCCCTCACCCACAAAACCTCCTTTACCCCCTCCCTCCAACCTTCCTTCCCCAATAGATTTATATGCTCTCCAAGTCATTCTACTTTGTTCTATTCTCTCTAAATGACCACACCACCTCAATAGCCCCTCTTCAGCCCTCTGACTAATACTTTTAGTAACTCCACACCTCCTCCTAATTTCCACACTACGAATTCTCTGCATAATATTTACACCGCACATTGCCCTTAGACAGGACATCTCCACTGCCTCCAGCTGCCTCCTCGCTGCAGCATTTACAGTCCATGCTTCACACCCACATAAGAACATAAGAAAGGAGTAACGCTGCAAGAGGCCTACTGGCCCATACTAGGCAGGTCCTTTACAATTCATCCCACTAACAAAACATTTGCCCAACCCAATTTTCAATGCCACCCAAGAAATAAGCTCTGATGTGAAAGTCCCACTCAAATCCAACCCCTCCCACTCATGTACTTATCGAACCTAGATTTGAAACTACCCAAAGTCCCAGCCTCAATAACCCAACTAGGTAGACTGTTCCACTCATCAACTACCCTATTTCCAAACCAATACTTTCCTATGTCCTTTCTAAATCTAAACTTATCTAATTTAATCCATTACTGCGGGTTCTCTCTTGGAGAGACATCCTCAAGACCTTATTAATATCCCCTTTATTAATACCTATCTTCCACTTATACACTTCGATCAGGTCTCCCCTCATTCTTCGTCTAACAAGTGAATGTAACTTAAGAGTCTTCAATCTTTCTTCATAAGGAAGATTTCTAATGCTATGTATTAATTTAGTCATCCTACGCTGAATGTTTTCTAACGAATTTATGTCCATTTTGTAATACGGAGACCAGAACTGAGCTGCATAATCTAGGTGAGGCCTTACTAATGATGTATAAAGCTGCAGTATGACCTCTGGACTTCTGTTGCTTACACTTCTTGATATAAATCCCAGTAATCTATTTGCCTTATTACGTACGCGATAAGAGTGTTGGTACCACTATACTCTCGTACATTCCCTTCTTTGCCTCCATGGATAATGTTCTTTGTCTCCACAGATGCCTCAACTCACCACTCGCCTTGTTTCCTTCATCAATTCTGTGGTTTACCTCATCCTTCATGGAATTAGTCAGCTCCCAAATATCTGAAAACATTCACTTCTTCCATACTCCCTCAGAATTAGTGTGGGAAATTAAATCATCACCCAGGTTCAGTTCATGGGAAATTGAATTATCACTCAGAATTAATCTGCAAGAAAATAAATTGTCACCCAAAATAAAATATCAATCCATGGGAAGCTGAATTATATGCAGGCAACCTTTAGCCATTAAATCTTAAACATCTAATATAAGATGTAACTGTTGGGGAGGATTGACCACACAATACAGTGGGACCTCAGATATCGAACTTTCTTCGGTCCAAAAGGCTGTTCAAGTGCCTTTACTGAATGAATTTATTCCCATCAGGAATAATGTAAATTAGATTAGTCCATTTCAGACCCTCAAAAATACACTTATAAAAGCACTTGCAAAAATACACTTACATAATTGGTCGTGTCGGGAGCAGTTCGATTTTTGAGGTTCCACTGTATAGGCAAGCACAGCACTTGCTTATGGAGGTACACATGATCCTATGTCTACTTCTTATACAATGCTGTATTTATTACTCTTGCTTATCCTGATACTCTGTGCTAACAGAACATCTTCAATGATGGATACACAAATAACCCGCACAGAAGAGAGGAGCTTACGACGACGTTTCGGTCCGACTTGGACCACTTACAAAGTGACTTTGTAAATGGTCCAAGTTGGACCGAAACGTCGTCGTCAGCTCCTCTCTTCTATGTGCGGGTTATTTGTGTATCGTTCCAGTCACGGTATTGTGCCTTTTTTTGTTATTGTTATAAATGATGGATGCTTTTTAGTATATGTGGTTATTTAATCTTGAATTAATCCATAAATGCACAGTATTTATTATCTGCACCTTTTAGAAAATGACTAGATTGAAATTGAATTGTAACATATGCAGAAACATCAGATCCATGAAACATCAGTCTATTCAAATACACTCTTTTTATTAATATCTAGATTTGAGTGGTAGACCATTTGGTCTGTGTTGTTTGTGAAAGCGCTGTCATAAGGGAAGGAAAAAAGGACATCACTCCTCTCTTGTTGAAATACTAATATGTATATGAAATGTTAAGAGGTTTGACACTGATAGGCAGTTCCTGGGGAACACTTGGTTATTTTCATATCTTATTTATACTACTTGGAGGTTAGGCAGTAAAATAACTGCACTTTCAGTCCTAAGCTAACTCATCAAACCACTTAAAAAAGTGGTTTGGTGGATTATCTTAGGACTGTAATGTATCTACTTTCATGTAATGGAATCTAGAAAGTGTGTTGAGTGTGGTTTCTTTAAATCATATTACCTTGGAGGGTTAGAAAAGTAATGCTTGATCTAATGTATGTTATTAGTTATTAATGTATGGGAGATTTTTATACTACCTAACATTGAAGTGTAGCTATTTTAGAAGATTTTAGGGCTGTGATAAAGTATCATTGTTTTAATATGGCTTTTGGTATTTACTGTAAGCTATTATTTTGGTCAGGACATGTACCAATTGAATTCATATGTATTGTGCATTATGAAACCCTTTATGTTCGTGAATCTAATGATTGCAGTTCTGTATTTTGTATGCGTCTGGGGCTATATGTACTGTATAATTTATAGGTGCCATTTGGTTTTATGTGCTCCTTAGCATGGCTCTGAGATGCTTATAGTTTTGACACACTGGCATGCCTTTGTTTTCTTGTGCAGATCAATATTATTGATAGTAGTGTCCCTGCTGATGTTAATGTATTCATCTGGATTAAGAATTTATGCTTTTAATGCAATTTTATTGGTATAGTACCACTGTATGAATAGTCTCCCTCTGCACATGTGGAAACTCATATTAATGAGAATCCATATAAAGTGTAGATAAATATTGTATAAGAAATCTTAACATTTTCTTTAAATTTAATACTGTAAATCAGTTAAAAAGATACTTGCAAGCATGGGTTGAAAAGAGAGTTGATATTATTTAGTATGGATTTTTATTATGTACTTCATTATTGTAAAATAACATCAACTCTCTTTTTATCCCCTAGGTGCTGAGCAAGCTGCAAGGGACGTTTTCTCATACTTGCGATAGCCTCGCTAGGATTGCACATCCAGGCAGTAAAGCCTTGTACATTGATCAGTTTCTTGTGGAAAACCATATACTGTGTAGAAAAAGACTGTTAAATATATTGAAAGAAAGCTTAAGAAAGGACATTTTTTATATTCTGTAAATATACAATATTGACAAAATGTCTTTACGGGAAGGAACTCGTGGAAAGAAGATATCAGTACTACACATGTTGGGAACATGGGAAGGGAAAATTGAAGGCTGCAACTGTCCTTCTTGCAAAGAGTGTGATGCTGGAGAAAAGAATTTGGCATTGACCTCAAAAAGTCCCTCAAAAGTGTTAAAATCTCTGAAAGGTTCCAAACCACTGACTAAAAAAGTTAGTATTAAAGTTAAAACAACAAAGGTAATAGTGGATAATAACAAAGAAGAATGCATCTCTGGGAAGAAGGTATCTCCCAAAAAACACATTTTATCGAAAGTTGCAACTATTATAAAAAATGCCAAACCTGAGGTAACTTCATTCAAAACTGTGGAGGACAGTAATATTTTTGACACTGTTGACCATACTAGTGATAGGGAAGACTTTGAAGGCATGAAAGCTATAAGTGATGATTGCATTAATAGCAATATTGCTGCTGCTCCATCAGACTGTAACAACTTTGAGATAGACCCTACTTATGTATGTGATACAGCTGTGGACATTGAGGAAACAAAGGGTGAAAATGCAGAAGAAATTGTAGGTAGAGAGAGGGTAGTAAAGGCTGAAATAGGAGAGAGGGTAGAGTGCAGTTCCCAGTCAGATAGTAACAGTAATGTAAAAGCTGACAATTTTGCAAAATGGAATGTGAAGCCTTTTCTGGAGGCTAATACTGTGAGTAGACAGGAGGACAAAGAGGATAGGGTATTTGTTGAGTCTGTTAATATAAAGCAAGAACTTGTTGAGTCTTTTAAAATAAAACAAGAACCCGAGGAGTACTTCTCTGATGAAGAGGAAGTTGAGAAAAATGCACGAGGAAAGCATCAGTTGGATGTGAAAAATGAATCCCGGATTAGTAAAAGAGCAAGAATGGTTACATCAGAAATAGAGAATATATATGCAAAACCACGAATGATCTTCACAGGTAGAGGTGTTGTGAGAAAATTTGAACCAGGAATAGATAGAACTCCAAAATCTAAAAGAGGTAGAAAATCAAACAAACCTGCTGTACCTGTAAAAGTAAAGCAAGAACCCAAGGATGTGGAAGAAAATGAGGAAGAGGAGAGTGAATTGGACCAAC